AGTTAATAGAGACTCGGTGGTACATATGGAGGCCGTGCAGTAACTAGAGACTCGGCGGTACACATGGAAGCCCTGCAGTAACCAGAGACTCAGTGGTACATGGTACATATGGAGGCCATGCAGTAACTAGAGACTCAGTGGTACATGGTACACATGGAAGCCCTGCAGTAACCAGAGACTCAGTGGTACATGGTACACATGGAAGCCCTGCAGTAACCAGAGACTCAGTGGTACATGGTACATATGGAGGCCGTGCAGTAACTGGAGACTCGGTGGTACATATGGAGGCCTTCCAGTAACTAGAGACTCGGCGGAACATGTGGAGGCCCTGCAGTAACGAGAGACTCGGTGGTACATATGGAGGCCGTGCAGTAACTGGAGACTCGGTGGTACATATTGAGGCCTTGCAGTAACTAGAGTCTGGTTGGTACATATGGAGGCATTGCAGCAACAAGAGACTCGGCGGTACATATGGAGGCCTTGCAGTAACTAGAGACTGGGTGGTACATATGGAGGCATTGCAGTAACAAGAGACTTGGTGGTACATATGGAGGCCCTGCAGTAACTAGAGACTCGGCGGTACATATGGAGGCCTTGCAGTAACTAGAGACTCGGCGGTACATATGGAGGCCTTGCAGTAACTAGAGACTCGGCGGTACATATGGAGGCCTTGCAGTAACTAGAGACTCGGCGGTACATATGGAGGCCTTGCAGTAACTAGAGACTCGGCGGTACATATGGAGGCCCTGCAGTAACAAGAGACTCGGCGGTACATATGGAGGCCTTGCAGTAACTAGAGACTCGGCGGTACATATGGAGGCCTTGCAGTAACTAGAGACTCGGCGGTACATATGGAGGCCTTGCAGTAACTAGAGACTCGGCGGTACATATGGAGGCCCTGCAGTAACAAGAGACTCGGCGGTACATATGGAGGCCTTGCAGTAACCAGAGACTCGGCGGTACATATTGAGGCCTTGCAGTAACTAGAGTCTGGTTGGTACATATGGAGGCATTGCAGCAACAAGAGACTCGGCGGTACATATGGAGGCCTTGCAGTAACTAGAGACTGGGTGGTACATATGGAGGCATTGCAGTAACAAGAGACTTGGTGGTACATATGGAGGCCCTGCAGTAACTAGAGACTCGGCGGTACATATGGAGGCCTTGCAGTAACTAGAGACTGGGTGGTACATATGGAGGCCTTGCAGTAACTAGAGACTCGGCGGTACATATGGAGGCCTTGCAGTAACTAGAGACTCGGCGGTACATATGGAGGCCTTGCAGTAACCAGAGACTCGGCGGTACATATTGAGGCCTTGCAGTAACTAGAGACTCGGCGGTACATATGGAGGCCCTGCAGTAACAAGAGACTCGGCGGTACATATGGAGGCCTTGCAGTAACTAGAGACTCGGCGGTACATATGGAGGCCCTGCAGTAACAAGAGACTCGGCGGTACATATGGAGGCCTTGCAGTAACTAGAGACTCGGCGGTACATATGGAGGCCTTGCAGTAACTAGAGATGGGTGGTACATATGGGGGCCCTGCAGTAACTAGAGACTCCGCGGTACATATGGAGGCCTTGCAGCAACAAGAGACTCGGTGGTACAAATGGAGGCCCTGCAGTAACTAGAGACCTGTCGGCATGTGGAGGCCCATATTTTATAGAATTTGTTTCAAGCTCAATTTGATTTATGTCATGTGCATAAGGTTGCAGAAGACCACGAAACCCGTGACGAGTAGCCTCATATCTAAAGTAACAGGCGCAATGACGCTTCAGACCAGACGCTAGCCTTGCTCCAAGTCTGTACTGAAAGTTACGTCCACTGATGTGCAGTTATTCTATCCCCCTAATAGGCAAGTCTAGATATGTGGACAGTACATGGACTCCAGTCTCTTGTTGCGACAACATGTTATTATTGTTTACATAATCTAAAAATTATGATTTAAACTAATAATTATTACCTTAGAGATGTGTGCAAGTTTTTATCAGACGCTAATATCAGAGGACCGGCCATGATAATAAACATGCAGTGTGTACTAATTCTTACCCATTCATAATCAAATAATCAGATCAAATCAGTAATGAAATTTTCTACCATTGATAGACAAAGACCAAAGACGTACATGTATGTACGCTCGTGATAAGACACACATCTAACTTCTAAGTCCTATATATCATGGATCCGAGTCTGTAGATTGACAATGGTTTCGTGGAAGGAAGCACGCACGGCTGTGGAATAGTAGGCGTTGTGTTGCTGTACTCCTCATCCTACTGAGTATCTATATATTGGGTCAAATACGCACACAGCGCTCCTAAGGCAACGTCTTTATCGATTCTTTCATATCACGTATATGGCTCCATCACATTGTCTCGTGTTAAACCTACGCATGACCACAAGCCGTGTTTACGCGATACATTCAAAGGGAGATAACTGTTATTGCTTTAGAGCAGAAACGGTCGCTTAGCGACTGACCAAGATGAATGACACTGACATTCTGGATTTTGAAATCAACTCTTCCGTTTTCGCAGCGATTTCCAGACGCACTAATATGAAACTATTCCTGTAAAGATATTACTTTTAATGTCAAATTATTATGTCCAGTTAGTATATACTGTTTCTGCTTCATAAAAAACACACACTTGATTTGTTAATTATGAACATTTGTTTTAATTTTTCATCAATGTCTACTGTACTTTTGATATTTTCGTACACAACTGACTTGATAAGAGTATATTTTGTAATATGTCTTGCCTGCTTTTGAAAGCATTAATAAAGCCTTTGTGTTACGCACAATAAATTTAAAGCTTAATGGGTTATCTACAAGTTGACCAATACCTTTTTTTTAATCTGCAGAACATTTAAATGCAGTAGTTGAAAATAACCAAATATCAATATTTTAAAAGCAGACAGTTATTTTCTGCAGACACACACACACACACACACACACACACACACGTGTGCTCTTGGAAGAGCTTGTGGTGACAAATCAGCTGTGACACACCAGGGATGCTGGCAAGAGGACCCCTGCTGACAGTTGCGTACCCTGGCCGCGCCAGAAACCTATGAATGTGGGTTCGAATACCGGTTCGCCCCGATTATGTCAGCACCATACCCGTGCTCGTGGGTTTCACCGAAGTGGTAAACGTCTGAGACGTCACTTCGGGCTTTCCTCCAACATTAAGCTGACACGCCGTGGTATAACTGCAATACTGTTAAAAGCGGCGTTAAACACAACTCACTCACTCACTCACTCACTCACTCACTCAAGTATTGCCTCATAAACTTTACATTTGCATTTATGGCGGGAATATCAGCGATGAGTTCTCACTCAATATCAACAGATATAACGAGCAGAAAAGCAAAATAGTCTTTATTTTTTACGGATTTTCATTTAGTAAAGAATATCGTGTCATTAGGAAATAAGAATTAGAATAGTCCCAACAAAAGTGTGTTTGTTTGATGTTTTAACGCTACAATCTATATGAAGGACCAGACACAGCTGGGATTATTTCATAGTTATATCATGATTGATTTTACATTCTTAAAATTAGACAATGGTATTTCATCACAAAATCTACACTAAATGGATATTATCTAAACATTGATATTGCATCAGTTGTTGAGATTTAATCACCTGCAAAACAAATTTTGAACCAAATCTTTTTACACAGAATTCCCAAGCTAAAGGTTAGTTTTTTTTACCACTGTTGCAGAAATGAATGATGGTTAAATAGACTTAATAAAATTTAACAACAAATCTTTCTTTAAATAAAAAATACCAAAAAAACCCTCGGTATACTCTTTTGCCCCTTAGTTTTATACCAAATGTGGGGGCACGGGTGGCCCAGTCGTCTAAAGCGCCGCGATTCGCTGTGCAGAGTTGCGTCCCTTGGGCAGGCCAGAAACCTATGATTGTGGGTTCGAATCCCGGTTCGCCCCGATTATGTTTCTAGGTTGGTCAGCACCATACCCGTGCTGGTGGGTTTCACCGAACTGGTAAACGTCTAAGACCTGCATCGCTTCGGGCTTTCCTCCCACATTAAGCTGACACGCCGCGATGTAAGTGGAATACTGTTAAAAGCGGCGTTAAACCCAACTCACTCACTCACTATACCAAATGTATAAACGTCCTACATTCTAGAATACGCATCTGCAGTATTGGCTGGTTGGTCTGTAAAATGAACCGTTAGACTAAAAATGAAACAGTTAGAAGCAACAAGGATCGCCACAGATATTTGAAATTATATTTCAAAAGCTGGTTTATTTTATGAAACAGGATGACAACCATAACTTGTATAAGAAGCAGACAGAAACAGATTTGTACATTCTACAAATGTCTTAACAACAATGTTCCAGATTATATTAATATTTAATTCCTTCAATAAAAACATTTTACTTATTATAACCTACGAAACAAATTCATCTCTCAATCTTCAGATTTGGAGTATCTAATCGTCACAGCAAATTCATCACAAATATTTAACAGAAAATACTTAGCATTTTTCTATATGGCGATCCAAACTCAGATGGCAGTGTCAACGACTTCCTTTTAAAGCTAAAGCTTAGTATATTCCGTCAATTAAAATATTAAAATTCATGTTTTTGTGTCAATCATATTTTTTTGAAAATAATACTGTTCATTACATGTATTGATATATCAATAATTTGTATTTTTGAAAAGGAAAGGATCGAGTACTTGGTTGTCAATAAAATATGGTTGATTCCAAACATAAAATTCGACTATTTATCTACATATCGGCAGTGAGGCCATAATATACAGGTATAGGCTTGGTTTCTGGCCTATATTTGACTCATAGACCCTTTTGTTTGGCGTGATGGATCAACTGTAATTTTAGCTATGAATAATAAAAAGATAATGTGAGTTATAAGAAAGTGAATATAATTTACTCAGTGAATGAAGCACAGTTGGGCTCGCCTGTAAATATAGAAAAGTCTCACATGATAATGACAGAAAGACCCGGATGATGACATCAGACTTCATTTGGCCGCCATCTTTGTGCTGCAGTCATCTGAGAAGCAGGTTCCCGTTGTTCCTTTAGATCTTCAAATCGACGATTGAAATTAGAATTATAAGCCACTATGTAAGTGCATTTGAAGTATTATTTTCATTCAGCCGTGCATTGAGTTGATATTGCGACAGTAACCCAAAGAAAAGGATATTATTAGCCGAGGCACATTGCTACAGATTGCAGAACATCGCTTCCGCTTTGACAGACCATGTTGTCATCATTTATGACGGTATCAAATAACTCCATCAATCTTTCTTATTTAGATCAGTATTGTTTCGACATTTATGTTTGAAATGAAGAATTTAATATGATGATAAATCTATGAAATGTATGTAGAATACAAATAGACGTTTTGACTGCCTGCGTCAGATTCCAGTTGTCAAGTAAAGTGCCTAACATTAGCCCTGTCGAAATATTTAGATATGCTTCGTAATATTGCGACTGTCTTGATGTAAAGACAACGTAGGTCATATCGTTCACTGTTTTCGTGGCAATAAACGAGTCAGCTAATGGTGTATTCATAATGAAAATATGTCATGTACAATTTCGACATAGCATTCTTGTTTGGTTCAGGACCATTGTCAGTTCCACGTCACTTGGCCTTATTATAAGTAGCATCAGAAACATATCAGTCTATTTTTCACGCAGCAGTAAACAAAGAGATCTTAACAGAGAGATTGATAAGTTATCTGTGTCATTTTACCAGTATTCTTTAAGGAGGAAATGTATGTGTGAAATAATGACATGTTAAACAGTGTTTCCAGTGCTTTTGTCAGGAACCCTGGGGTAATTGACCCTATGTCAAGGCAAATACCCCCCTCCCTCCCAAGCAATAATTTATGTGGTCCCCTGGCCATATATTGCAGTTTCACAAGTAAATGGTCACTTGTACCGGAAGTACTCGTATCAATTTGGATGAATGTGTTATGGTGTAAAACATTGGGTAAAGGGAAGATCTAAATCACCTCAAGAGAAAAGCTAGCATAAGTTCTTTGATTAAGGTTACTGGTAGTATGTTTTGCAAAGCAAGCTGTTGCCCTAGCCTATGTGCATTTCGACAAATATATGCCTGTATGAACCACTTCAACGTGCAGGGATAAACATGGCTGCTTGTCTGTAAGCCTGAAATGAGTGAAAAACCATAGGGACTAGTTGTTTCCTCAAGAAAATCTATTTATTTACCATAAACCCCCAGTCCTAAATGAGCTCCAGACAAGCTAGATTTGACCAATAGTGTCTACCCCTGACATATCTTAATATTTAAAAGAACTCTTTGAGTTTTAAGAAAACATTCCTTAGGCAGAACAGATGTAGCAGGGCGTGGAGTCATCCCACAGATGACATCCTTACCATGTAAGCTTTGCAATGATGAATGTATGGCTTCTGATGGGCCAATGACAATGTTCGAACATGCAATCGGGGACACTGGTCGGAATGAATCTCTGAATATCAAGCTGCAACCCATGCCCTCCAACTCACATGAGCAGTCAGGAACGTTCACCACTCGTTAACCAACATATTGTCCAACTCACTCAATCAGCTCCTTTTCATTTTGAAAAAGAACAAAATAAGTTTAATAATGAAGCATGATTCATAAGCTTTGCTGTGAGTCGCTTATTGATTGATCCTTTTCAAAAGGCCTTGGTGTGAGGGTGTATATCTGCGAGACAGAAATTAGTACAATTTCAGCTTTTTAGGCAGTGATTAGTGTGACCATTTTCATAGCCAATGAGCCCATGGATGGAATACATTTTCATGTGTACCCATTAAATGATTTGTCAAAGTTGTGAAGTATGTAATGATGTACTGCAGAATAGGTCTGAAAGTTTGCTCTCAAAATCCATTTTATGAGTTGTTTCTAGACAACAATTATATAAGATCTGGCTGAATGATGGACTTAGGATTATAAAGACAAAACATGTTGTATCAATTTTTTTGATATGACATATTTCAGCTTAGTGAATATCATATCATATATCGTTGTATATGTATGACTGAGTTTGAGGTCTTTGTAATTATATTTTATTTCAGAAATCAGACAGAAGACTTTATGTTGCTTAGTATGTTTTCATTTATTCCTTATTACAGTTTTCATGACAAAAAAACTGTCATCCAATTATGTTTTTACATGTAAAATGAAATCATATTGCATTGCACATCTCAGAATCTACATGAATGATGTCTCATTTTCTTAAAACAACAGCACCGAAGTGAACATGTCTTTTTTTCAACTTGTTTAGGTCAGAAGACAATCCCTATGTAATAGTAAGGTATAATTTCGAGAAATTAAATCAGGGGGCTTTCAACTGACAATTCTTGGTATGGCTATTAATATTAAATGAAGACACTGAACATGGGGGAAAACGTGATCAAAGGGAGATCACTCTTGATTCGTACCTGCTGCAGCTTTGATTTAAACAAAATCAGCATTATTGAATCAAATGTTGGAACAAATTATCAAAACATTGAAATGTTCAAGTGTATAAAACTAGTTATGTTTAATTTTGTTGAAATTAACTAATCATTATTTGAATCTAATGAATACAGTTTGAATAAGATTTCTTATATGCAATTTTTTTAATATGTAAATAAGAATGATTAACTTGCTGCTGCACTTATTAATGCTTATCAAGATACTCTTTGGTAGACCATGGTAGTCTTAGCAAAGTTGCACAGAGCATTTGGCAAACTTTGGCCTTTTAACATATTAAGTAAGGTAAAAACTTTGGATTTGTCAGTTGGAACCCCTCTGATATTTTTGTCCCTCTGCCATGACTCTGAGCATTGCATGAGCAGAGCCTACCTTTTGGAGGATATGGGTTTTGATGTTCTTTCCTTTTGAAGATCTTCATTCATTAGGCATATATCATTCTCTTTGTTATTTCAACAGGTTAAGGAGATAGATTTGAATTTCTCTCTACATTTTTATGACATTTCTATTTTTGATATGCATAATTAATGTTGAGGTTAAGGCCGTTTATCCAGCTTTTCCTGAGTATTTTATATAAGCAATTTTGGACCGATTGCACTTATTTACGTTTATGTTTTTGGCTTCATGATACTGGTTTGATTTTCAGTTTCTTTGTTATTTTCATGCCATTTACCTATTTACCATTTTGTCTTTCATTGTTTTATTTTAGCATATTGTTAGTTTCTATTGTGACGTTGATGCAGACGAGTGACTTTAGGAATTTTAAGTTACACTAATGGACATGCAGCAATGAGAAGTATCATGTTAAATAGGTTATCGAGGATTGGATTGTCTGGCCCAAACTTGATTATTAACAGGCCGCCATCATATAGTTGGAATATTGCTGAGTGTGGCGTTTAGACACATACACACACTTTGGTCCACCAACTAGCGTGATAAATAATGAATACAACAAAATGATATGAAACAGATCAAAGGGAAGAAACATGTCAAAACAGTACTAACATCAGGAAGTTTAATTTATGTTCACTTTGATATTTAGTCAACATTGTCAAAAGAATCTGTTTCCTTGTTACATTTCAGTTGTAGCATTTTGCATCAATACCAATTTCTAGTGACATATTGGTTGCAAACATTATATTTTGAAAATGAGTTTTTGCAAACTTTATGTTCTGATTGTTGAAGTTTGAAGCAAAGACTCAGAATAATTATCTTTATGGTTCAGATTGTTAGCCTTTTCAAATATTTACCTTTTACGAAACAAGACGAATAGATGATTTCCTTGAAATACCTACCCATTTCAGGAGATTTTCTTTTGCATTTTGTACACTTCTTTTCAACCAATTTTGACACTCTTGATATGGCATGCGCCTATTTTGATTTGCGATGTGATTATTGACAGGAAGTAAAAGGAGGAAAACAGACTCGAGCATGTTTTTTGTCAACACTTACAGTATTAACATCAAGGGGTAAAATCTGAAAGTTTTTTGTCAAGGTAGTTATATTTTTGTTTGCAGTATCTACATGACAAAGTTTTTGTTTTTTTTAATTTAATTTTAGGATATGGTGATATGTTCTCCAATGCTTGTCTGCAGAATCTTCTTGAAATGTTTTGGTGGAGTAAGGGGATAGCTGGATTTTGGACATCAAGAAGCATGGTGCTGCCAATGCTTCAGTATTTTCATTCATAGGAAATAGTTGATTTTATAGCAATGATCAAGGATGGTTCACTACGACAAATACCAGTGTTCAAAATTAAGGGAGTTCTGGGGTCCTTTAGATTTGCTCATACAGTATTAGGATCTAGGGAATCATTAAATGTTCAATCCTTAACCACGAGGGTTTTGACAAGGACCCCATGACTTTCATAACTAATTTTGAAGACAGTATACATTACCTTGATATCAGGCATAAAACAAATATGATGTGGTTCTGTTTAGGCGGAATAGCCACTGAGCAGTGAGCATGCCGAGTAATAATTTGGACCAGTAAGCATAGCATAAGATAGGTGTAATATTGTACACCAAAAAAAAGATTGCAAATATTTTGCAGATTACTTGAACATGTTGACCATGACAATATTTTTTACTTTGTCAGTGCTAGCCAGTGCAAAGTTGTTTCCAACTCTGAATAAAAAATGGCTGACATAAGCCCTTCATTTGTTTTCTGAAATGTACTGGGAAATTAATAGTTTTGACCAGTTTTACAAATTGTGTAACAGATACAGAATAATCCATAAAAGACTGAACTGAACTGAAGAGTTAGGAAAATGTAAACATTAATCATTCTCAAAGCATCCTGACTTAATCAAATTTTAAGAAACATTTTTTGCACCTTAAATTTTCACCACATCATTTATGTTTTAGGCATAAGGGTATGTTGGTTAATAATATATTATGTATGATGCCAATGGTTTGTTTGCCACATCAGGTCTGCACCACCAGCACAGAACCCCCAAGCCGGGCCAGGGGGGCCACCGTAAGTACACGCTACATGTGTCGCCGTTGTTGTAGTAGTAGTCATCTTCCCTGGGCAGAGAAACTTTCACCATTTCGAAATTCCATCCTTGCCACAGCGTTAGTTCTCACACACAACATGGACATATTCTTGCGTGGGTTGCATAAACACAATCGTAATTCCCATACTTTAACACTTTTGGCAGTCGTAGCAGTGACGTTACTTTGTGGAAAGGAGCCCAGGGCTATTTTAACAATATCCATGGACTGCTTACAGCTTCGCTAATAATGCTTTTCAGGACTTTCTTAAAATTGAGCTGGTAATATTCATATTCTTTCAGGGTTATTTTGCTCCCTGATCTTATTGTTTACATTAAATGATCTTTAAGAAAAGCATCATTTGTACTATTGATCAAGTTATCAAGAACAAACATTTAGATGAATCTTGTGTGAACTGTGTGGCAAGGATAAATGGAGAAATATGAGAGACAGTTAGAACCCCAGGAAAATGGTTGATAAAAAGGCCACTTGTGTTGTATCTGTTAGTGTTCTTCTCTTCTTCTCATTACTCTCATAACCTGCATGGCTTCAGCATAACCAACTGAGGAGGAGGAAGATTCATGTTATATTTGTGCCCATTTGCACAGAGTAGTTTTAACTGACATGAGACGATCAAGAGGCTTTGATCTTGTATCAAGGTAGATGTCTCCATGTGTTAAAACTGTTCTGTACAAGAGGGCCTTGGGCTATTTGAATAAGCATGCCATTTTGCTTGTGTTAACAGTTACCGTATATGTTGTAGGTTATATTGTGAGAATTAACTGAAAAGAAAGATTGATATACTGCCTTATGTAAATGTAAATTTTATTATTTGTACAGCATTAAACTGGTGTCAGATGTTTTATTTCCTATTGATGTTATTTTGTGCAAATGTTCAAATGTTAGTTTCTGTATTTTCTGTGTCAGTGTTTACCAATTAATATGTTTTTGAATTTCTCTGGCAACACTTTTTTTATTTCTTGGTTTACGGATGCGCTGCTCTTTCAAAGTCCAAATGTTAAAAAAAAATGAAAATGAAAATTACCCTTTTTTTTAATTAACCCCGATCATTTCGTCAAAAAGTTCAAGCAAAAAAAGATTTAATTTCCTCGTCAAGTGTAAAGCAGAGGGAAGTCACTCTGATATTTCTTGCTTCCTTCTCTTATACCATCAAAGCTTGTCAACGCAAAGCTGAGTGGTGACCGGTTTAACTATTTCAACACTGTTGGCTGGTCAAGAAGCCACGATCCCACACTGGAGGGTAGACCGACCAAGTCACCTCAAAATAGTTTATAAATTTATTAACCTACTTGTCATATCATTCATTTATTAAATCTGCCACATTTCACAATGTCTGAAATATGTATTCCATTTGATTTTATAAATTTTTATCTATAGATTAAAAATTTATTCACTTGACACTATTTCCCCCAATGATATTGAAAATAAAATTCTTGGAGACACTTTGACAATGGGTCCTCATCGAACATGTCAAACAGCAAAGTAAAGACATTTTAAGCAAATCTTTGAATATATTATACAAAATAATAAAAGATATCTAAAAATTGCCAAACTGACATCTAAGTTATTATTTCCATCTTTTCATGCATCGCGTGTAATGTCCATCAAATGACATCTCGGCTTTCGTCGCCTAGATTTCTCGGCTCGGACATGATGTCTTTAATGCCAAAATATATGCATAAGAAATCTTTGTTACAGCTCGTAACCTAACACTATGCATCTATCATGAAAGAACATTTATACTAAGTTTTCATATAATAATAAGATCCACAGCAAGGCTTTTATAAGATATCATTGTGTAATATTTATACAACATTTCATATAATTATAGTTTAGCAAGTAATACATATCATCACGTAAAATACAAAATATCACTAGTTTCAGTCATAGCTTTTTAGATAGATGCTAGCCTAAGGTAACGGGAATCAATCTCCCCGACATGATATAACATTTATACTAAGTTTAAATGTTATATCATGATACATCCATAAAGTTCCATATTTTTAATACAGATAGCGATTTCATGCTTAAAAACGTTCAGAAAAACATGATTTAACTGAAACATTTAGCTAAAGTCTGAAAATTACCAATGCTGTAATTTGATTGGCTGCTTAAATTTGACCAATCACAAAGCTTGTAGCAGATTATGTCGGTGAAACAATGTAAGTTATTTTAATGTATACTGACATGGCAGGAAGGAATAGGTAAGTGGATTTTATGAAATCTTATATTTTCCGAAAATCGTTAAATTTTCACTTCAATGGTCCTTAATCTGGACTATGTGAATGTTATGAATGTTTTAGCTTACATTATTTTTATTTAAGTTGTTAATAAATTATTTAAATAATGTAATACACATAACTTTTATATTTATAAACAATAGGATAACCTAGACCTTTCAAATAGTGTATGGCCAAACATGTAACAGCAAAGGTGTTTTACAAGCAGATAATTTCCTTGATAAATGTTGGCTTCATCTATCACACAAGAGTCTCTTCGAATTTGGTGTCACAGCAGTAATCTTATTTTACTTTTTTTACTCCAGGATATTTTTTTTCACACCTACCTAACTTTTTAGGACAAAATTCAAGTGAAAAAAATGTGAAAGGCTTTTTTTCTTCTTTTTTTTAAAAATTAGCTTGCCTCACTTTTGAAATGGGTTTGAAATCCGTAAACCAAGAAATAAAAAAGTGTTACTTTAGATGAAGTTTTCGTGTATTGGCTATTATCGATTATGGAATCTGATTTGCCAAACTGAAATTTCATGATTATTATTAGTCAGACCATGGTTACCTTGCACCAAGTTGTCTTAAGTGTAGCAATATAACTCAAATCCATTTGAGAAAAATTGTCCATCATACATGTCATATACATCATGTAAACCTACTTGAAAGGAAGCTCTCAGATCATATATATTGAGCTTTCAGAATTGAGCAGAAATAATGTTTGAAGCGGTTTCATTTTAAACAAGCTTGCTTTTTTTGCCTAGTCAATTTCATTATCCAAAGAAGCACAATATCAAGATAATCACTCTGTTTCTCAGCAGTCCTTAGCTTGTAAACAGTGTCAGAGGAGAGTAATTGAAGACCATGTGGCATGATAAGCTGATTTGGTTTGAATCTGAGACTTGGTCTTTAAGTTCAATACCTGAGCTTTAGGGTTTCACCAATGTGATAAATACCTATGACTAATGTCACTGTGGTCATTCCTCCAAGATGTACCTGACACTTGATTTTTTTATAGGTATTTCTTAGTTGACAGATGACTAAGGAGACAAAAAAAATTATGTATAACTTCTTTATTATTCTGTAATAGTGACGCTTTAGCATTCATCCTTGTGCCGTTGTCAAGCAAGACTATCTTGACAACGGTATAATGATCTATCCCGAAATGTCATGATTACAGAAAAATAAAGAGGTTGTTTGCCTTAAACTTTTTGTCTACTTTGTAACTGATGTAACATTAAACCCCACTCACCCCCTCATTCACTGCAGATGGACTGAAATCTGATTATTAGGCTCAGGCTGTCAGCCAATGTGTTGTTGGTCAGTCCAGTAGCGCTCTGTTTCTCTGGGCACAAACTATTGAAGATAAGCACTCTGTGGATGTTCTCTGTTTAGAGTCTGCACGTTCTGTATATTGTTACATGAAGCTCATTTGTTGATGAAATAATTTGTCCGGTATTTTGTATTTAATCATGACGTTTAATATATTATTTGTAGTTAAATGTCATTCTGTCATTGCCTGTCATTTTCATGAGTGGTGTAAGTTTAAAGACAGCGGTAGAAACACTTTTAGTACATTTTTTTAATCCTTATAATATAACATATAGCAAAACCCTTGAAATGGCAAATGGCAAACTAATCCTTGTCATACCTTAACTATTGGGCAGTTTGGCAATTACAACAGGACTAGTGCCAAATTCTAACACTGTTAAAGAACAATCAAGATCAAAACTAAATGCTTTCAAAAACAGAAATATTAACAGGCAATTTGTTACTTCATAAGATATAATTTGGTTGTGCAGATGAATAGTTTGTTTGCAGCGATAAAAATTGGCATTAGTACTGAAGCCCTTGCCAAACAGCCCAACAGTTAATAAGGTATCATTAGGATAAGTAGAAATTTGACATTTTTTAGGGGTTTGCCATAATATTTTATCATCATAAGGACGAGTTGACTAAAAGGGTTAGTTTCTAGCACTGATATCTTTAATCTTTTCTCTGAAATATTATGGCAATCAGGATGTTTTTCTCTACAAACTTTTGAACCAGTTCATCTGTAAACCAATTAAGACACTGTGCTGGAAAAACAAATTAACTACATATATCCTCTCAGAAACTGTCTTCCAAAGCTGATTTCTATGTTACAATATGTTTTGATTTTATTTTAAAGTGCCTCCATGGAGTAAGTTGTATTTTCAGCTTGATATTTCTCTCCAACAATCTTGATTGGTGTGATTCTAATTGCCAATAGCGTAGCGTCACTTTGCAGTTGATTGCATGGCTCAAATGGCACTTATGGGTCATGCCTTTTGCACTTTACAAAGATTTGTGTAATTTTCCTCATGAGGTTGAGTACTTCATATGCAACCTATTCAATTAGATGTTACTTGATAGTTAAGTGTGGCTACGGTGTCATTACCTGCAGTGAAGACCTTTATGTCTATAGTGGGTGTTCTTTGAGCAGGTCATGCCAGTATCACAATGCAGGTCAGTGCAGCAGCATGCAAATGATCGCTGATTTTTGTGCCGATTAAAATCTGCATTGGATGATAACAGTTTGACTGGCTGATAGTGTGTCATTGTACCACGATAAAGTGAATCGTTGGTCATGCTATCAACCATTGGTTTGTCTGGCCACTTCACACTGTTATATTTGGCAGGACTGTTCCTGACTTGGGACGTAAAATAGTATTCACTCACTGTGATTCTGGATAATATCTTTACTCTCAGGTTATGAAGGTGACCAATGTGGAGATTTTGGGCTAGAATAGATCCCTGATTGCAAACACTACAGTGTAAAATTTGAAATTATTTTATAAATATGTCAGTAACGAGGAGTTTTTGAAGTGAGAGTGAGTGAATTCTCCCTTACCTATGCAGTCAGTAATTTACCAGCAATATCACGGTGGAGCCTAAAGTAAGAGTTCAGTACAACAGTGATTAATGCTATTCAAAAATTATTTCAACTTATGAAAGGTAAAAGACTATCTTGATTTGATAAAGGTAACCAGTAAGATGTGCCATAACTTGTACTCATGCTCATAACTGACGGCACATCTCCATGGCAACCAATCAGCAGAGGAAGAGCAGATTGACTTGTTGTGAGTTATGGACATGAGTGAAAGTTATGGCACATGTCAATCTGATCGTCTGCTGATGGTGTGACATTGTGACGTGATGGCTTGGGTCACTGCTCATAATCACTTGTTTACCTGGTCCAGACTCTATTATATCAGTTGGTAGTATAAGGCTTGAGTATTCCTGGCTACATAATCATGATAATAGACGACATTCATTCGCTCACTCTATCTGATGGCAGTAGTTCGGTTATTCCAATGAGAGCTCTGGTGTCAATATGACACTGCTTGAGGTGAATGCAATATATGCTTTGTGACACCTGTGGTAACACTAGCATCATGTAGAGCTATTCATTACATATATAATTAATAATATTCACGTTTGTGATTCATTTCACATGACCATGTGTAATATTAGCTTTTGTTGAAGATCATAGATGTTTGAAAATATTAATTATCTTAGTTGTTAGGCTAGTGGTAAAAGCGTTTGCTTGTTACTCTGAAGACCCGGGTTCGATTCCCGACATGGGTACAATGTGTGAAGCCCATTTCTGGTGTCCCCCGCCATATCATGTTCAATGGGCCTTTTCAATTAAAGGCTTTAGTCCCCTTGCCACCAAGATAAATAACCCAGGTAAATCCCTGATATGGCCTTTGAATTGGTGTCCAATTGTTAACAGCATTATGTTAACAATGAGTTTTTATTTGCAAGGTGTTCATTCATTATGCACGTTTCATGGAAAGTAATGATTGGCTGAAAGATGCTTATTGCTCATGTGGTTAAAATTTGGTTAAATTACAGCATGATTTATTTATAATTCATCATTATGAAAAAAAGAGAAGAAATAATTTGTTGATGGAGGCCATGACATTTTGAACATTTAACTGTAAGTGAAGATAATGACACTTCTAATGGCTCCATTAAGGGAGGACCCAAGCTAAGCCCAAGCCAATCGGTGCTCGGCGTCATCAGATTATATGGCCTGAATATCAACCCAGAAGCAATAATAGCTGGCAGATGCGTATATCACTTTCCAACCAAATCTGTGAATGACACACATCAAGATTTGTCATATTGCCTTTTTGGATGTTTGTAGCAGTCTGCCCTTTTAGAGTGACATGTATGTGCTTTTTCATTTTCTTATCTGCATGAAGTTTTTAGAAGTTGTGATGAGCGGGGTCTTTTCTGGCTGATGATGTGGGTCAGGAATGACTCATTTGTATAGGACTGTTACCATTGTCTTTCAACACTTGTAATACTGAGTCAGGGATATTTGCTGTCATTCCAACAAGTTATTGTTATAAAGGAATGACAATTCTCATGTGAAACTACTGTTATTCAACTGTTTTATTGCATTTAAATTTATTAAGGGAATTAAATGAAGTGACATATGGCAAGTTTGTTATGCGATGTGGATTAATCGCCTTGCATTTTTAAAAGCTCAAGGCAGATCATTAAGTCCCTGTGTAGAGACCAGCGCAAAATAGGTCTCCATGAGTCGTAAATGACACCCAAAATGAGGATTTGATGGTTGCAACAATGATTGTGTGTCATGGTATTTCTATGGCATGGATTGTTCTTTGTGCTATCAGCCACTGGTGTGTCCAGTCAAGATTCATTGAAAAACAGGCTGCCTTCGTTGCCTCGTGGAAAGAGCAACTGCACAGGGAGCGGGAGGTCAGTGGTCTGATCCATGGCCACGTCATACCAAAAGATGTTACTTGTTGTTACCTTGCCTGACGTTCAGCATTAAGAGGTTAAACAAGGACTGTTTGACCCTGACTGTCTGATTGAGTGTCCATGTTTAACTGCTTTACTGGTTTCTAAGTGTGTTATCATTTTTAAACCGCCATACGTCTGGAGTAAAACAAACTGCCACACACGCATGCATGCATGGTGCTATATGAGTGAAATAATCTTGAACGCATTTTTAAAACCACCTTGTTCTTTATGAGAACAGCCATGGAGTTTGCTGGTCATCATTCGCTGATTTTCAGGCTGCTGCCCTGGTGTAGTTGAGATTAGGACTGAAACGGTGCATTGAAGAAGTATCAGTGCAAACAATATATTCATTACATTGTAACTTGAAGCAAGTATCATATGAGGTCTTTTATTGATTGATACAAACATTTACATTTTGAGAGTGGCAATAAATATACATGGAATACAGTATTTTCATCCTGAGATATGTGAAGTGAGATCTCTGAAATTTAAGACCGGTTTTTAGGAATTTCTTTTAACTTGAATATATTTGAGTATAAATGATTGATCTGAAATATTCCTTTAGATTGGTGAGAAAATCCTGTTACCGGTAGAACATATTTATCCTATGGGCTTTGGCATATGCATATACTTACATTATTGCACATATTAGTTCTTGATAAACATACTTATACAGACATACATGGATGTGGTAAGTTGCATTTGTGTGAACAGATAGTTGTCTTTCTATGAACATATGCACTTGTTTTGCAGATTGTTTAACTTTTTCATGCACATTTTGCATTTTCGAAACTTTTTTGCCGATATATATAGTTGTTGATAAGTGTAATAATAGACCAATGGTTGCATCTCATACATATGTGTTCCCATTTAATACCAAGTAACCAGAAGGCATAAAAACATGATGCCACAAAAATATTCACTGAAATAATTCATTGTATTTATGACATCCACTTAACAACAATACAAATTATCATCAGTATACTCTCAATGGCAAAATTCCCCATGGGCTGGTAGACATTATGGAGTTTACAAGATGTTTGCATTATGAATTGAAATGTTAATTATAGAACTAGAATACTTGAATACATGTTCTGATATTGATGTGTTTTACCCATGAATAAATCTTATTACTATTGTAGCTTGATCATAATGACGCTGAGGTTGAGATTTTATGATCATGTTGCTGAGGTAGATATTTAGAACTTCTGTTTCTCTTCATGGCACTGTCCATGGTTCTGTGGTAGCAACTACCAGATTGTTGATTGTGCACTGTGTTGTTTCAGGTCAGGTGGACCCGGCGGCCCCCCTCGGGAGCAGAGCAAGAGGCTGCAACAGACTCAAGCTCAGGTGGATGAGGTATGGCATCAATGCTAGCAGATTCACCATACTGGATCCGGGGCGGTCGGGTAGCCTAGTGGTTAAGCGATCACTGGTCATCCCAAAATACAAGTTTGATACCCGACATGGGTACAATGTGTGAAGCCCATTTCTGGTGTCCCTGCTGTGATATTGGTGGACTATTGCTAAAAGCGGCTTAAAATCAAACTCACTCACTCACCATACTGGTTCCGTTCCCCACATTGGTACAATGTGTGAAGCCCATTTTGGATGTCCCTTCCCGTGCTGGAATATTGCTAAGGGTGGCGTAATTACTCACTCACTCACTCACTCACTCACTCACTCACTCACTCACTCACTCACTCACTCACTCACTCACTCACTCACTCACTCACTCACTCACTCACTCACTCCTATATACCCCCAGCAGTAGTCCCAGGTAAGAATGGGTCCCCAGTTTCCCTGGCTAAAAATTGGATCCATTGCAAGGTTCTTTGACTCACTCACTCATACTGGTCAAAAGCAGGGCATTTTGATTAATACAACATCCGATACCAAGTCAATCCTGTCATAATTGATACCAGAGCTGCTAAATGTATTTTTGAGATATAAAATCAACATCTGTTTAAGACCCATGGGGAATCCAGTACAGAATAGATTTCTAGCGACCTCTTATTTTCATTAGAAGCAACTAAATCTGGGATCATAGTCTAGAGGGACTGGAGGGACTGAAGAGAACGAGATATTTTACATAAACCATGTGTCTGAAATTATCTGTGGACAAGTTGGATATGACCAATGGCGTCTAACCCTGCTAAATAGCCCGAGTGGGCAGACTTGGTTGATTCCATCTCATTGTGCCCTGAGGATATGGGATCAAATATTATTTGCAGGCTGGTGTGAGAATGCTGGAATTTTGCCTTAATGTGCATGCTATAGCTGGCAATTACTATTACTGTTACTTATCTTTATGAAGCTTTGTGTCAACAAGAATCATAAATTGTCAGCTTTATTAACTGTAATTCACTCAAAATTATTTCAAGATGCTGGGTTTATTTTTTCAGGTTGTGGATATTATGCGAGTGAATGTAGACAAGGTGCTGGAGAGAGATTCCAAAATAGCTGAGCTGGATGATAGAGCTGGTATGTATGTCTGGCTTATCAATCAAGACCAGGAGTCATTAGATGTCAGTACATCCGAACAAGATCAGAGTTACCGTATTTGACGTAATAAGGCCCCAGGGCGCTCTCAAAATTAGAAATAGGGGCCTCTTATTAGAATAATATTTTGGTGGAAAAAACAGTTGAAAGATAAATTTTGTGGTTTATGCTGACGGCCTGACTGTTTATATATGACAGATATATTTTTCCAGAATTTAATTGCCCATAATTAAGGGTGCATATAACACACGAGTGTGTATTATACATGAATAAATAAGTCTTGTGTACATTGATCAATCGGAAGGGGTGCTAATTGGGATTGTTCACTTGCCAATATATAAGCAAATATCGCTGTAGGTGTTTATTAGAGCGGGGCGCTTACTACGTCGAATACGGTAGTTGGGTTTGCACAGGCTTCCAAAGCCCCTCTTTAGGTGTCTCTTGAAAAGCCTTGGATTTAGATTCTGCCTTTAAAATGGATATTACCTTAAAAAGTCTTTCAATTTTACTACTAATCCTCATATCAAGTACATGACCTCAAGACAATATATATATATTCTTTCATAGTTTGAAAAAATCTGTTTAACCTGTAAAGACAAGTTGTATACAACTTCAAGGCAAATTTCAAGTTATCTCCCTTCCAATGATTGTTTGCTTCTGGTAAGAGTTGACTGGCCTGGAGAGTAACATGTCTTTATTTTTATTCAAAGCATGGTGTTTACAAGCTCAAGTGTGAAACAATTTTAGCTATTCTAAATGGGGGAAAATATATGTTATTCTGAAAGGAGTCTTGACAGAGACCTTGCAGTTTACGATTGTGCTTCTGGAAGTACCCAGTTCAGAATAGCTGAGGTAAAGGACCATAGAACTTTTAGTTAAATCACAGGTTGGAAACCCCTCGGGCACGATTTAATTCTTTGGTTAACTCTCCTGCAAACTTTATCATCTGTTGCAAAAGATTTCCAACATTTTTATGTTGCACCATTTCTAGAAAAAAAACAGCCTGTGTAAAAATGTATGTCATTGAGATAATGTTAAATGCAGAAGATTTTTCTTGTCATCTTTATGAAAATAATTTCATGATCTTGAAAATGCTTTGCCAAAGATCCTTTTCAAGAAAAATACTCAATCCTAATGCAGTTGTTTTGATCAGATTGAGCATGTGAATCACCCTTTCAGTTTTGATATTGGGATTATTACAAGGACCTAACTGTGCATCCCTCCCTCTGGGCAAGATGTTGTTTCAGAAGCAGATCTTAGAAACGATACAATAGTTCTTTACCACATTTGGCACATAGATATGTCTAGTGGTGAACTGGTGCCTTTTGATAGTTTGGGATTGTTTAAAAAAATATTTATCGTGGCAACAAACTTTGACTTTGACTTAAAATGGGGGTTGTGCTCATTTCAGGAGTCGATCTTGAAAACCATACAATATGTCTTCAGCACACACTTCAGCATGTTCAGCACATACAGGTCTAGTTGTGAAGTGGTGCCTTTTAACAGTTGTTCTGGCCTTTAAAACAAGCAAGATCAATTTACCTGTATGTGTATTCATGTTTATTACATTTGGAAACTAGTTCGGAGGCCCAATTATACATGTATCCCACTCATTTTGCGATGCATTTTGTTACAGATGCACTACAGGCGGGAGCGTCTCAGTTTGAAGCTAGTGCTGGCAAACTCAAACGAAAATATTGGTGGAAGAATTGTAAGGTAAAGAACTACCCTGACCTACTTAAATATTTTTGACGAGCAAGGTTTCATTGAGTAGCGTGTCATTGTGATAAATATGTCCCCATGCTGTGCCGAGATCGGCTGATCATAGCTATGAATCCTAGATTAGCCTTGATTATAAACCTTGTTTTATCAGCACTAGATCCATTCTCATTGGTTTTACCAGAGTGGTAAACAGCTACAATCTGGGCCACTTCAGGCATTCCTCCCACATTAAGCTGATGTACTGATTTATGAATGACATACTGTTCAAAGCAGTGTGAACCTGACTCAGTCACTTGCAGGCCTCTGTGATGAAGAGAGATGTGTTGCTGGCTTTGATGTTAGGCATTAACTCCCAAACTATTGCATAATCAGAGTTACATTGAACTGAAAGGAGGTTATATTTTCCAGGGATTTATCTGGAATTCCATATTAAGTGCCCTGAACAGGCAATTTGGGATTTTTAATATAAGAAATGTATTCTTAAATGTCACTTTAAGAATTCCTGTTGTGTATATGGGGCGGTCGGGTAGCCTAGTGGTTAAAGCGTTCGCTCGTCATGCCGAAGACCCGAGTTCGATTCCCGACATGGGTACAATGTGTGATGCCCATTTCTGGTGTCCCCCGCCGTGATATAGCTGGAATATTGCTAAAAGCGGCGTAAAACCATACTCACTCACTGTTGTTTATATAGATTTCAAGGGAAAATTTGGTTTCTTTTTACACATTGTGTGAAGATAAATGCTGTAATTTGTATACAACTTTCAGATGTTGATAATCCTGGGATCAATTGTTGCTGTAATTGTAATCATAATCATTGGTGAGTGAGGGGCAGTGCTTACCTCTGCCAGATCTGTGGATGTTGTCAAGTGTTAGCACATCTATGCAGTCTCCTTAGTTGCAGATTAATCACTTACTGTACACATACCATGTTTTCAGATTTTATGCACAAGAATAGGGAATAAATGAGTGTCACTTTGGATGTCCTTGATTAAGCATAATAAGAAATATATTTAAGACATTTCACACAAATAAAGGTTCCCAGTCCCCCTTTGCGCGTCATTGGAGATTTTCACCAAAACCTCGATTGTTGCTCGTGCTCATTCAAGAGTGTCATTATCAGGGTTAGAAATTTATAATTCTTTTCTTTGCTAGTCCACACAAATTATTACTTCATCATTGCCATCTACCTAAAGGTAAATGTGGTAGTCCACAAGGAAATGACTAGCCTTTATTTAGCATGTCTCAGACAAGTGGACGTAAGAAAGGGGACAAGAAAATGAAATCCCTTAATCTGTGAAAACATGATATGTGGAAGATAGATTGTAATGTTAGTCCTTGTAGTTTGTCCCACTTGCATCTGAGTTTTCTGATGACTGTTGTGATTAGTATAGTAATTGTGCCGTTATGTCTCTTTCACTTTTCTGTCACATTACCATTATCTTGCTTTTCCAGATGTGGGCTATTCTTATAACTATTATTCTAGTGATAATCATTATCATTGTTGGTAAGTTTTTGTTTTACTTGTATTTGGGGTTTGGTTGCTTTCTAACTTTTTGTATTCTGTAACATTGCGAACAATATTGTTGTTTAATTGTATATTCTTGCTTCTTAAACATCCAGCCTTTTCTGTAAATAAATCCAAAGAAGAAAATGGAGAAATTGCAGTCAGCTGATTTGAACTTATATTAGAAATTATTTGTGGTCATTCCTCTGGGTACAAATTCCAAAAATATCATGATTTTAGTACTGTCTCTCACACTTGGTAAATATTACATTTGGTACATATTAGTTTTATTTGAAGTACTTTTTATAAGAAACTTATCTGACTTTTTTTTATCCATGTCATATGAACTGCATGTTTGGTTTTAGGTCTATTAAATGCATATGGTAGCACCCATGGTTGAGACCAAATGTTATATACAGCCTGCTTATCATGACAAGATGTCACATTTGATCTATGTATGGGATTTGTAAGTAGAAAAGGCTGGAATTTTAAGACAAACATTTCATGGCAGTAACTTTTGCTGCAAAAAGCTGAGTATAGCCGCTGCGGCACAGTGTGCTTTTCCCCATGATCTTATTGGGAGCAAGAGATAATTGCTGAGTAAGATGAAATAAAAGTTGCTTTTCCTTGAAACATGTCAAAGGTAGGTTGACAGTGAGTTTGTGTGTTTTTGAAACTGGTGATGGAGAAAGTTGCGTCGAGTGGATGGATCTGAAGTTATTTTCATATGATGCATGATAAGGAGAACCTGCAAGGCTTGATATCAGTCAAGACTGATATAGTATGACATCAGTGTCTTACAATCAGATAAAGGGAATTGGATGTGCACACATCTCTTGACTTTCAGATGTCACAAATGTAGTATGTATAAACTGAAGAGCTCCCCATGAAATCAAGCAGGTCAAGGTGTAACCACATTTGTTACAGGAAAATTTACTTTTGCATGTTTATGGATAATTTCATGGCTATTACGAGAGATATCTTACAGAGAAAGTATGTAACAATCATGACAAAACAATTGTACAATCACATTCTGTTAGTCATCCTGTATCAACCCTTAGATACAAACTTCAGTGTCCTGTTTTGCCTGAAACTCCAAATGGAACAGGGTCCTGTTCCATTAAGTGATCCCAGTGCTTCGACGATCGTAAATCTATGTTAAAGAATGGGAGTTAGGACAGTCGTAGTCTGAAGATTGCTTTGTGGAAAAGGGCCCTGCCCAGTAGCTGCCCTTTACTTGTCAACAGGATATCATTGGGGGGTCATCAGCTTGTAGTGTAGTAGGGATGCTGCTTGCAATCAGGTCTTGCAAGGAAGTGACTGGGGCTGGGTTCCACAAAGTTCTATTTACTGCTGTAACCCCTACACTTCAGCATAAATTTATGATATTCATAGTGTTGGATTGGTCTGATGATGACCATGGATATATTAGTTTGAACCCAGCATTGTAGATTCAATTTCAACTCGGTAACATTCTGGGAAGATTCTTTGGCAAAATAGTCTCCAGGAGTGGTCAGTTCAAATTTATATGGCTACTCCAAGGCTTGGGTACCAGCTTCGTAGCCTTGCTTTATGACCTACAAAACAAAACTTTCATTCAGAATGATTTTTGATATTTTCAATATTTTTAATCTGTTCTGACCCACATTATATATGATACTCAGCTAGATAAATGCTTTTTGAAAGCTGATGCCATGAGTTCAGGACCCATACTGAAATTTGACTAGACTCAGGTTCTGTACCCTATTTTGCAACATGATCTTAGCACTTACCTACTTAATTAAGTGCCAGATCCGGGGTAGAATAGGTCTTCAGCAACCCATACTTGCCGTAAAAAGCGACTAAGCTTGTCGTAAGAGGTGACTAACAGGATCGGGTGGTCAGGCTCGCTGACTTGGTTGATGCATGTCATCGATCCCAATTGTGTGGATCAATGTTCATGATGTCAATCACTAGATTGTCTGGTCCAGACTTGATTATTTACAGACCGCCGCCAAATTGCTGGAATATTGCTGAGTGCGGCCTTAAACAACAAACAAACAAACTTAATTAAGAGTTTTGACAGTCGTAGTGCTAAGATTGCTTTGTGGAACAGAGCCCTCAGTAAGGTATTAAGTGCAGACTAATATCATCATCAGATCAGACCACACATAAGAGGTAGCAATGATACTGCTGCAATATTACTGAGGAAGTAAGATCCCATTTGCTCGTTACTACTTCTCTATAGAAATGATTTGCCTGTTCCAGTTCGGAGTTTTCTATCTTTTCCCACACCAGTTTAAATTTCCTTGATATAGATTATGATGCTTCTAATTATTATGAACAAACTTGTATTAGTCTTATGGTACACATGATAAATGATCCATATACACATGATATATGATCCATATACACATGGTAAGGTCGTAGAGAAAAATGAAATAAAAAATATTGCTTAAGGTGGCATAAAACCTCAGTCACTCACTCGCTTGGTTTGAAAATAACACATAAGCTCACCTGACACATGAGAGCTGTTTTATTTCAGTTAAGAGTGTGTGAGCATGAACTGTCCTTCATGGCTAATCCCGTAAGCACTTTCAGTACCACTACAACACATATCAAATCAGTCCTTGAAATAGCATGCTCCAGCCTTGACAATAGGTGCCAATTATATACACACCAAAATAAAAGCACACAGGAAGGAACTGATGCTATCATGAAGTCAGGTCATGCTCACCACTGTTATAGTCCACGTAGGCTCACACCAACCCCAGCTAAGTTTCATTCATACACAAACAGCAGCATGAGACATGAAAGTTTGAACACTGTTTAAACAAGCAAAACCTGTATCTTTGTAGTTTTTAAAGCTTCTTGCTTTTACACGTTTCTGTAGGAAAACACTAGTGAAATGATTCATAGGTATAATATGAGAAATTCCTTTTTTTATTGTTCATGTTTATTTTGCATAACTCAATTGTGTGATTCTAAAGTTTGCATCTCACTTATACATTATCAGAAATTGCAATTGTATTAGAATTAAAGAGACACATTTCTGTCTTAATGCTGTCGGCAGTGTGGGCAACTTCGTAATGAGCAGGTAGATCGTTGACTGTACCATCAGTAGCTAGCTACTGTCTGTGACTGTCTAGATATCACATATATCATGCATACAGGATATACCATGCATATAGCTTACTTTCCCAGTACACATGCTTATGGTTATAGTCTGGATGTGTCAATCGACAATTGATGGATCTACAATAATAACCATTAAAATTCTCTAAATTCCTATGGATGTATTGTTATCTAAATTATTGTGTCATGATTTACAGGTGCTGATTTAATGCATCAATCCAGGGTGTATTATGATGTAATGTTCAGTGTAGGCTCCTTGGTGGAACCCGACTTATTCAATACAGCATCAATGACCAATTTTATGGGCTGTGTATCACAGTATCATTGCACCATTACATCCTTCCAAGATTTTCTGATATAAATATGTTTTCTTGACTGGAAATGTATGTGTATATATACATGGATATCCTATATGCAGTGTTAAAGAGCCCTCCGGGGGATGCGGTGTAGTTAGTCAAGTACCCATACATCCATGTTGTGTATTACATATTGTACCTAGATGTCCATTCCACACCACCAAGCTTTATTGGTTATGGGACAGATACATTGTAGAAGACAGGATCAATGTTGTGGATCAAGTACATATGTATCTTGTGAGCACTCACAAAGTGTTACATTGTCATTCACCTGTTTAAACAAAGTCAGGTTTTAGATATTACAAAAATATTAAGACATCAAGTTCTTTTGTTATTCATAAAGGTTTCATGTTTTGGCATGTTTCTAACTTCTCAATGCATACCAAAGACTTCAATACATACATAGTTTACACAGAAATTATTAGGGTGTTTAGACCAATAGAGAATATTCCTTATGGCAGTCTCTGCAAACAAATTTAATCTTCTAGTCTTGTCTTTTTGTACAATTTTCTTCTTGATTTGCTGAGGTTACTATTCAGGAAGACATGTTTCAATATTTGGCTTAAGACGCAGACCGAAATTGGATTTAGCAAGAGTTTGGTTTTAAGATTCTATTTCATCATTGATGAACATGATGAAGAGAGACAAGTTTTGTGTGAAAACATGATTTGGAACAAAAATATTTTTATGTCAACACATGTTGTTAAAGTTAGCACAAGCAATACAAAGCCTATTTCAGCTTATGGGTGTTACTGTCATCAGCACATTGTCAGTATATATTAACAGTCACTACAAATGCCGCCTCTGCTGTGCCACAGAAGGACTTGCCCCCTCCTCACTATCAACCCACTCTGTTTCAGCAGGATGTGACAGTGCTATAATCAACTTTTCAATGCCAAGGTTTCAGAATTATTTAATTGTATTCATATCCAACAATGTCTGTTATCCAGTCTATCGCAGACTTTGGAGTCTTTGAGCCCATATCTGTGTTTTGGCATTATTTTTAGAGGATTTTACTGTTAATATGTGGACTATTGTTACCTACGGACAGGTTATTACACCTTGACTTCTGACTAGTAAAGAAATTCAGAGACTTGTATTCAGGGGATTCCTGTAGGGGCTCTGTTGTCAGCATGTGCAGTTAATGTCAGTGTCGGGGGCACGGTTGGCCCAGTCGTCTAAGGCGCCGCGATTCGCCGTGCAGAGTTGCGTCCCTTGGGCACGCCAGAAACCTATGATTGTGGGTTCGAATCCCGGTTCGTCCCGATTATGTTTCTAGGTTTGTCAGCACCATACCCGTGCTTGTGGGTTTCACCGAAGTGGTTAACGTCTGAGACCTGCGCCACTTCGGGCTTTCCTCCCACATTAAGCTGACACGCCGTGATATAACTGGAATACTGTTAAAAGTGGCGTTAAACCCAACTCACTCACTCACTAATGTCAATGTCAGCAGTTTGTACATGCTGAGGAATAGGTCATTGACCCCAAAGGCTTTAATAGGGTACAATGTTTCAGATGTTTTGATGGCTGTATGAAATGATACAGTTAGTTATTCAGTTTTGGTTTTTTGGTTGCAGTAGTCATTTTGACTAATTTGCACATAGGAGAAAACACTTTGTTCCAATGACTGTCAGAAATTATGCATATCACTTGAGAAATGAGAAGATAAGAATCGAAATAGCCACCTTTTTACTGTACAGGAGAGAATATAACACAAGTCATTATTTTTGCTAAGGTATGTGGTTGAGACATGGTCCCAATCTGAATTCTGAAAATAGTGTTTCAAAATTGAGTTCAGTTCTGATCATGTCACAGTTCTCTTCCATGTGATGATGATTAGAATTTTGATGTTTTCAAGTTGCAAATTGTATGTTAAAAAAATTGAATAAGTTTATGATTATTGCACTGTCACATGATTTGTACTTTCATAAGGATTGAATTCAAATGTGATGTTATTAATTCTCTCTTTTTTTCCTCCCCATGCCAAACCCTTTAGTGTATTTTGTCACCAACTACGGCTAAGGGTACTTTTGCCTGCAATCTTTCTCTTCCTTTTCAATTTCTTATTACACTGCGAGCAACCATGCATGGTAGAAGAAACTGTTTTACTTCAGGCCAGATATCTGCAGGTATCACCATTGTTAAAAAAAACTGAACTAAAACGTACAAGAAGAAGATCAAAATATTCTTTTAGCAGCTAGGGATACGTTTGAATGAAGATACGATTACAAATTAACGATAACAAGTATGACATGAAATATTCTATTTAAGAGGAAAGGTCTGTGTTTCAATTTTGATAAATGTTCAAAATATAAGTGACAAATCAAAGTGCAGTTATGTAAGTTCTCCTCTTCACACATTCATTGGAAACTAAATTAATACATCTTGTGAGGTCATTAATTTATTTTTTTTTAAATGTAAACTTGACTTCGGAATTTTATTTTTATTTTGGGTGTAATTTCTAACTTCTTACCATCATATTAGGTTTTTTTCAATAATTATTTTAAAGTATGAAATCTGTTGTGGCACAAAAGTTCACTTGGCAGTAAGTCCTCACAAAGAAAAAACAACATTTCCTCTGGGAAGAGATACCCCTGTCTGCAGTCAGTAGGCATTGGTTACTTCAGCCTCTTTGATATCAGACATATGATTCATTGAAGTGTTATATGTTGTAGAACATATCTTTCACGTTGCTGATGCCTCAAACTGCTATTATGAAGCAACATTCTGCAGAACCACACAACGGCATGATGTAGAATGTAGATGCATGCACTTGGCACTCTCATTCAGTAAAAACACAAAAATACAGGCATAGTGATTGTATAGGAAAAGGGGAAGAGCGCTCCCCTGTTCAACTCCTCTGTTGAATATGGTATTCAAGGTATGAAGGTTTGCATGGCTGTAAGCCTTCCCCAGAATTACTGACAGTTTCGTACTTGAACCATATTTTGCGAGTAATTCTTGTGAGAATAATTTATATGAAACGCACAAATGGAGAATGTGCTTTCTGCATAATGTTTTGTTGCACCATAGTAATGGAATTTGCACATTTAGGATTGGAATGCAATATGTTATGCTGCTGTATGTTGTTTCTTTCAATATTTCCAAAGTAGTTTTGGACAATGCATAAGATGTTTTAAACAATCGCACCATTGCAAAATTCCATTTAAATCAATTGCTCAGTAAAGGTTAATAATTATTATTAATCAGTATTAAAAATATCTCTTTTCAAAAGTTCCAACTCTTTAAATTGTAAGTGCTGTTTTGGCGTGATTGTTTTTAAGAGTATTGAGTTTCATAATATTGAATTCTTAAAAACAAGGAGTTGATGAACGTCACACATTAAAACATCTTCCCGAGGCAAGGGAGTTAACTTCAAACTAGGCTGGATTTTCTTGGCTCGATCATAGCGCCACCAGCGTCTATTGCGAGTTATGTTATTTTTTTGCCCCTCCTTTTGACAAATCAGATTCTACCTCTCATATCACTTGCATTTGCTTCAAACAAAATGGTGGCACCCAGTCAAGACGATCAGATTGATAAAACGTGCCTTTCCTCACGAAGTGCATGACATCAATTGAGCACCTTTCTTAGAAACATGAAAAGATTTGCAAAATATATGTTGACACCCAGTTGACAGTAAACATCTTTCTATACATATTCTTTCCAAATCCTGCAGTCAACCGAAATCTGCATGTTGAGATTCGTGTTGCTTATGAACCAGATTTCTATTTCGTCAAGCGATTTGGATTGGACTATGTACAGACTTGTCAGTCCAGCCAAAATATATCTCCATTATTGCAGCTTAGAATCAGTTAACTCCCTTGCCTCTGGAAGATGCATAAAAATGAGCTTAACACACCCCTCTTACAATATTATCATGATCAACTTTGATAATCTCAGAAGCTGTGAATGACGACAACTGTCCTCTGCAAAACATCTTTTAAACAATTTAAAAAAAAACCCACTGTTGCTTAAATGGATTTCCATTATTGTTGAAAGCACCCCAGACCTATTTTGCATTTAACCCTTACTTTTTCACAGTGCCCTACCTTTGACATATATCCCTCTTTCCTCCTGTTTTATAACAAATCATGAAATAAATATTTTTCATTTGAAATATATCAATCTTTTTAGATTTTACTTTGATGACTTTGAAGATAGTGTTATGTAAGGGAGATAACTTGATAGTGAAGGGAGATAACTGGATTTGTGATGTGTTTGAAATTGCTTGAGCAGGAATACTGAATATGAAAATTATAGGCATGGTTTCAGTCCTACATTCCTTAATGCATGTGCATGATTTAGCTGTACACTATGAGCTATCTTACATGCAGTAGAATGAGGAGTGTTCATTGCCACAAAGAATTGCCCAATAGAGACAACATAAAAAGTTACTGTCGACATCTGCATGTTCTCATGCAATGAATGTCAAGGGATCTTCAGATCAGTTTGCTAATATTACTTGCAATTGCTTTTCTATTACAATTTTATGAAGTATGACTAATTGTGTATTGTATCTTGCTGTTTGTACCAGAGTCAGTTTCTGTAAATGTGACAATGGTTTGAATCAAGATCCATTCTCAACAATGGAATTATTATGCACCTATGCACTGTTGAGTGATAAGACATCTTGTTCTTGCAAGGTAATGAACACTCCACAGCCAAAATCAGTCTAGAAGTATTCACTCCAAGCAATTTGAATTCACTGTTTTCCTTGTTCAATTCCTTTGCACTTTGAATACAAAACACCATTCCTTAATTGCAAATTTGATGTAAAACATTTCAGTTCAGAAATGTCAGTGTGTCTAGTCAATGAGTTTTATTAAATGTGCTTATAACAGCACTTTTTTCTAACTAGTTGAGTTATGATTTCCTGCATATTTAGACTTAGATAAGTAATCCTTTTTGCAAACAAATCTTAGATTATTATAAAGTTTGAGATTTTTAAGTATTGATTGTTTGCTTTTAGTGTGGGCTGTCACAAGTCAAGGAGGAACTTCCAGCAACACCAACAACAACAGCCCTGCGACTATCGACAACAACCAAGCAAGCGCATCAACACCTGCTACAGGGCGCTAAGTCTCTCCTTCATGTTAGCGTTATACAAGGGCAGGCAACTCCTCATTGGCAGTAGGCCTCTGCCGCAAAAAAGTACTTCAGCACATTTTGATACGGACATCGCAAGGACAGTGATTGTGGCACTCTTAGAACTATTACCAACACATAGCCTCTGAAATCTCTATAATTCTTCGTTGAATTTCATTGAAGATGTCATTTTATTAATGCTAAAAGATACAGTGCGAATACTTAATCTTTTCAGATTGTTAAGTTATTTATCCTTGACAGTGTGCTTTGCAAGATTCACTACTGTCAATTGTATAGTATATTTTGTTGAGATATTTCAGATGTGTTTCATTTAAATTAACCTTTTATTGTTCATTATATGTTATCACTGTTTGAAGCTTTTTGTTGTGTATGACTCAGTATACATTATTAACCAGCCAATCTGGTGCGAGTTGTATGATGTCTGTGATAAGTACAGGGTGGTGATTAATTAGAAACATAACCATGTATTAAACAACCACATTGCATTAGTAAATTCTAAAATTGGGTAGAACAGAACCCTGCCTAGTAGCTCAAGACAGTGTGTGAAATATCCAACAGGATAGTAACTTTCTTGTGCTACTGCTTCACATGATTCCCCAACACTAGCCAGAGTATGTCTTTCAGCATCATATGCCCTTACATATTGGCCAAAGTGAGCCATGTTACAATGGCTGCATGTACTCACTTCTTAAGCGACAGGTTTTGTGATTCAAATTCTATTCCGGATTGAAGAACCTGTTACTCAAAGCTTGTTCAGTGTAGCTGCTTTGATGGGTTTTGAGATTTCAAGTTCTGTTCCTGACCAAGTACATGTGTACCTGTAAACGAGTACGCTTGTTCAGTGTAGCTGCTTTGCATTAATACAGTAGTGATGGAGGACGGGGCATATCGTCGTTGACTTTATTTCATCTTGACTCGGGAGTTCTGAGAAAAGGAGGTAGAACGTCATCATACATTCCAGAATGTGTATTTTCATTTTCACCTCATTTTACCAGATCCATCATACATTTTGTGTAGAAATCCACTTTAATCCGTATCAAAATATGATGAAGGCTACCAACCCTTAGTGTCCATTCTAAAATATTGGCTAGAACTAGTTGTGAAAAGGATGGAATAATTGTAACATAAGGTGTACATTTAGTCCTTTGTGTATATGATGCTGCAGTTTACCTATCATGTCATCATTTCTTTTTTCTTCCTTTGGACCTTCTATGGTTTATTCATTGGTTACATTTATCACTTTGTGTTCCGAATAAAAATGAACCTGAGGAAACTCACAGAAGACGTGTATTTTGTTTACTCAATTCCTTTCAGACTTGGGAACATATTGATTTGTGTATCGGTTTGTTTTGCAGTGTTTTCATGGGAACTAGGGTCATCATTCAAATTTATTTCTGCGATGTGTACAAGTTAAACTTTAGTAAGTGTCATATTTACTAAATGGCCCTGACACATTTATTGTTCACAGCTATTGTTAATCGTATATATATGAGACATTAATGTTTTATGAGAATTTACTTGTTTATTGTTTGACTTTTAAGAATTAAGGAAAAGGATTTTATCTTGCCATCATGTCTGAAATTGAAGACATCATTATCTGATGAGCCGTTTGGAGTTGTTCCTGTAGTTACTGCTTTAGTTAGTTATGGAAGGCATAAATTGTATACATCTTGCATCGTTGGCATTTTGAGAATATGGGGAAGTTCTAGTCTTGTAAATGCAGCTTGTAAGTATGCAAGAAACTAGTTGTAAAAAGTAGTTGAAGTCTCAAATAATATCTGTCTTCTAATTGCCACGATTGTATTGTTAGCTTGTACATACAGAATATCAAACTATATAACTCTTGTCCTGTGAGTAGAATGAAGTTCTTCTTATATTAATATCTTCTTGATGATGAATCATTGATTGTGAAGGATGGTCGATCAACATTTCCTGAACTGGTGCATGGGTGATGGTTATGATTCTTGTTGGAAACAAGACAGATGAGAGCTTCAGGAAAAATGTTTCATCACTGTTGTGATCTGATACTATTTACATATTAATGCTGGATGGGTAGGGTTGAGTTAATGGACAACCATTTCTTTTGTATGCTGAGATTGTTCTACTCCATTTCATTGCAAACTGAAGCGTCAGCTAAGTTCCTGTCTGTCAAAATCAATCTCAAGAAAATACAACCTTGACCTCATTGAAGAAAATTTACCTCAATGAGTACCTGCAGAGGAGTCAAATTAAATTTGGGTACAAGATTCTGATTGAGAATAGTTTACTTGCCTGTAGGAAATGGGATATATAAGTACTGTTATTCCCGAAATGGGTTGATGAGGATTGGTCGGAATCATAGATCTCCCACATCAGGAACTGGTCTCTGCTTGAGCCTTCCTTTGTCATCAATGTTTTCACATCATTTCCTACCATTCATTCCAGCAGATTTAGATTTTGTGGTTCGTGTATTACACAGTATGAAATAATTGCTGGTGAATCTGTTGAGTATGTGACAGGCTTTGCTGCACGCCAGTTCTCTGCTACTGTGGTGAGACCCCTAGATAACAAGTCTAAGGATCTCGCTTCCACTGAGATCTGGCTACATCTAGTGTCACCGCCATCGTATAAATGTCATCACTTATTGTCCTATTGCACCTAGAATATGTTAAATGTTGCCATAGCAACACATAGATCTAGAAAACAACTGCTCACATCCACATCAGGGAACTGTTTTCTGTATCAGTTGTCCATAGATCTGTTTGAGCTGGAGTTGAGGTATTTTGTGCCAGTAACAGCTGTGATGATGTCAATTTGATATCAGTGAATGAAAAAAAGAAAAAGAAACTTCCAATCATGGCATGTAGACATGTGATCTGTGCCAAATGCTTTCACTTGTGTAGACCTTTGCTATTGCTTCTATTTGTATTCTTATAGGCATTTTATTAGCAATGTTTACAAGACAATCTGCACCAAATTGGACATCAGGCTTGTTAAAGGGATGAACTTGCAGCTTTATAGTTATGAACTTAAATGAGCATCATCTGTATATTCTCATAGACTTGTCAAAAGCTATATGAAATCAGACTGATTCTGGATAGTGGAAAGAGTTAATCTAGACTGAAAATTCTTAGATGGGTTTGAGGTCTGTTCTTGCTTGCCACACTGACTTTCTGGTCATTGTTGAGCATCATGAAGCTCACCCCATCGTGTGACACTTTAAGAATTCTGAATGGTGTGTGTGTGCTGCTCAGAAGATGCAGTTCTCTGTAGACAGGATGACAGCTGCTGTATATACATGAATCTCAGCTGAAACTGACATCCTAGTGGATGTGTACAGTTGTCCGTCTCTGCGTCATGACGGCAAACAGTTGCAACATCATAGGGGCAAACAGGTTACAAGGGATTTTGTGCATTTTAATCAGTATTTGTAATATATTGACTATTTTATTAGCAGCAGATACATACCGTTCTGAGAAGATGCATCTTCGTTTGTGAAACTTGCAATATTTCATGTATTTTATTTATTGAGAGTCTTCCCCCATCAATTTATATTTCTTGGACAGTGTCAGGTGTGTTCAAGATTATCATTATCCCTTGAGTAATGTGAAAGTTCACATTGTTTTGTTCTTAGTAATAAGTCGCTGATAACTGCCATTTACCCAGCCAGTTATTTATGGGATTTCACAATCAAATTGTACCATAAGTTGAAATATAGCTTGTTTGGTGTACATGTTGCTGCTACCGGTAGTTCAAAATGCAAATACTATGCATAGGGATCTCCCAGCCACATGTTAGAAATTATTTTGAGTTATCCGAATGAACTGTTTCTATTTTTTTTTTCTATGTTTGCAAGTTTGTATGTGTACAATGGAAATCCATCTTATCAGAATGTTGTGTATGCTGCTGCAGTTGATGTTGTGTATAGCGTTCACATTGTCACCCCTCCCCGTGTCGTAGGTCACTGACACAAAGCTTTCCTAGTATATAGCGTTCTCTTCCGACACTCTGCTAGTTCAAATAAATAAATGTCATGTGTATTTATCATTGAGTTGACAGATTGTATGTACATTGTAAATGTCATATGTTAATGTAATAAATAAAATTGCCTCTTGTAAATTTACATTCTTGTTTGTCATTGTTATGACTAAAAAAACAACTCTTGCTTTTCAGACATACACACCGGTGCAAAGAAATCATTTTATATTATCTTTCTGAAGGAAACAGTATGTGCAAGTACTCGTTGCCTTGTTGCAAAAAAATTATCTGTTCACCCTTAGGGACCAACCATTTGATATTCTGGGTGTGGGATGGGGGTGCTGGGGTTTTGTATAGAGACAAGATATTTTTTTATCTTCAGCTGCAAAACCAGATATATATTTTTAATAAAAACTATGAGGCAAAATATTTGTTTTTCCGAAAAATACATTGCAATAATGTAAATTTTATGGCAGACCTTCTCTCTCCCCCCCCCCCCCCCCCCCCCCCCCCAAAAAAAACCCAACAACAAAAACCCAACAAAATAAAAACAATATGAAGCATAATTATTATTTTCAAGATTTTTTGGGGACAATTTGTTTTTTTAGATAAAATCCCAGGCACAATCACCCAGAATATCAATGGTCGGCCCCTTACTAAAAGTCATTGCCAAGGACCTTTTATTTATTTATTTTAGCCTCATCTGTAAATCAATATGCTAGTTTATGTTAACCTCAATGTGGATATGTATATATGGAGACTACAGTTTTTTTTGTCTGTGTAACAGCTGCTTTAATATCAACTAGAGATTGCCGTGGTGATTTCAGGTGACAAATAAAATGAGCTGCTACTGGTACTGCAAACTTTACATGTCTGCATCACAATAGCCTAGATACAATATTCCTGAGAAGAATAGAGCAGGATACTGCGTGCAGAGTGTCAAGTGAGTCCAGGTTGTGTAATTCAGGGTGAGAATTGGACCCTATGCAATGCCATACTGAAAACACTTACCACCTGTGCCAGTTTGGGCCTTCTCTCGATATTAAATTATCCCATCACTACAAAGTGAAATTTTGTTCAAGGCAGCATAAAACCCATCTCGATGAGACAGGAACAGGTGACCACTTTCGAAGATCACCTCTAATAGCAGTACAATGACATATTTTGATATCTTTCACCAAGCCCCTTGTGGCTGGAATATAAGTATAATTAATAAATGTTGCCTAACGCTGCTGTCTGCTGTACTCCAACCATATCATGGATGCCTGTAAATAACGAAGTCTGGCCCAGACATATCTGTGCTGATGTTATGAGCAATACCCAATGCCATTGGGGTATGATGACACAATCAACCAATCTAGTCTCCTCACCAGTTTTCAAGCTAGAGAGAACTGGGACTCTGTAATGGTGAGCACTGCTAAAGTCACTTGATAGCTGCTCGGTACTCATTCTTTTCTGTTTCTGTGTCCATTTGGGCGGTCAGGTAGCCTAGTGGTTAAAGCGTTTGATCGTTAGCCGAAGACCCGGGTTCGATTCCCGACATGGGTACAATGTGTGAAGCCCATTTCTGGTGTCCCCCGCCGTGATATTGCTGGAATATTGCACAAAGTGGCGTAAAACCATACTCACTCCCTCACTCTGTGTCCATTTGGACTCCTGTCACATATCAAATTCAACTGGTTGTCACTAATAAACAAATGGCCTCAACAGACCAAACACGCCTGCAATGCTTTTTGACCAATCCTGGTACAGAGATCTCTCAAGGCATGTCACCTAACTATCCAAGACATGATGCAAGGCCACAACTGGCTTCATATTACACAGCAATTACATGAAAAAAGAACCCAGACATGTTGCATATCAAGCAAACACACCGGTTATTGGGTCCACCCATGTCGGAGAGAGGGAGGGACACCAAGAATGTGCTTCACACGTTGTACCCATGTGGGGTCTTCAGGACCAACCTCACCTCACCTCACCAACTCCAGATAACATTTATTTGCCAAAAATGGCATTTTTTTGTAAAAGGCAAGTCATTCACATTTTGGGAAGGTTTGAGATATATTTAAACTTATTCAGTTCTTAACCAGAGTTCAAAATAGCTATCTCATGGACAATAATTTTTCAAACACCAAACCTGGCCTGTTGAGTAAAATAGTTCGAAGTTTGAAGTTTGAACTTATCTCACTATAAATTTTTATCTATCAGACCTATAACTGATGTTACTAGTTTATGTCTAATGTATGCAGATCCGGCTGACAATCGCGTCCGATACAGAAGTACTTCACTTACCCATAATGATTGTTTGATCAACTGGTTGCGGTTTGATTGGAATTCCTCACTGGTTCAAAAATGTGCAAACTGGTTCGGCTAACCTAGTGTTATGTCATAATCATTTGCAGTTACGTTTATGAAACCATCAATATTAATAGTGTCACAATCAGATATATTCACTATAGCTAGTCATAAATAGACACAAACTCCACCGTTTGCGAAAGTGTATGAATGTATGCTGTTGCTATATCATCAACATTCTTATCGCTGTCAAACAGTGGAACATAACCCAGTACAGAATATTGATGAACAAATTTTAACACCAAATACATTTCATCATTGACCGTCTTTGGGACTGTAGATGTTTTGAATATTTTGATGTATTGACGTTTCATCACATTCAAATGGTTTCAGAAAGCCCAACAACTGGTCCAAGATTTTTCAAACCTTGATGTCCCTAGTAATGTAGATGCAAATGGATGAATGTCTCAATGGCTAATGTCAATGAATGTCTCAATGGCTAATGTCAATGAATGTCACAGTGGCTAATGTCATTAGATGTCACAGTGGCTAATGTCATTGAATGTCTCAGCGGCTAATGTCATTGAATGTCACAGTGGCTAATGTCAATGAATGTCTCAGTGGCTAATGGCATTAGATGTCACAGTGGCTAATGTCATTGAATGTGACAGTGGCTAATGTCAATGAATGTCTCAGTGGCTTATGTCAATAGATGTCACAGTGGCTATTGTCATTGAATGTGACAGGGGCTAATGTCAATGAATGTCTTGGTGGCTTATGTCATTGAATGTCACAGTGGCTAATGTCAATGAATGTCTCGGTGGCTATTGTCATTGAATGTCACAGTGGGTAATGTCAATGAATGTCTCGGTGGCTGTTGTCAATGAATGTCACAGTGGCTAATGTCAATGAATGTCTTGGTGGGTAATGTCATTGAATGTCACAGTGGGTAATGTCAATGAATGATGCAGTGGTCAATGTCATTGAATTTCTCAGTGGCCAATTTGATTATATGTCTCAGTGGCTAATGTCATTGAATGTCACAGTGGCTAATGTCAATGAATGTCTCGGTGGCTATTGTCAATGAATGTCTCGGTGGCTATTGTCAATGAATGTCTCGGTGGCTATTGTTAATGAATGTCTCAGTGACTAATGTCAATGAATGTCTTGGTGGGTAATGTCAATGAATGTCACAGTGGCTAATGTCAATGAATGTCTCGGTGGCTATTGTCAATGAATGTCTCGGTGGGTAATGTCAATGAATGTCACGGTGGCTAATGTCATTGAATGTCTCGGTGGCTAATGTCAATGAATGTCTCGGTGGCTAATGTCATTGAATGTCACAGTGGCTAATGTCATTGAATGTCACAGTGGCTAATGTCATTGAATGTCTCAGTGGCTATTGTCAATGAATGTCTCGGTGGCTATTGTTAATGAATGTCTCAGTGACTAATGTCAATGAATGTCTTGGATGGTAATGTCAATGAATGTCACAGTGGCTAATGTCATTGAATGTCTTGATGGCTAATGTCAATGAATGTCTCAGTGGCTAATGTCATTGAATGTCACAGTGGCTAATGTCAATGAATGATGCAGTGGTCAATGTCATTGAATTTCTCAGTGGCCAATTTGATTATATGTCTCAGTGGCTAATGTCATTGAATGTCACAGTGGCTAATGTCAATGAATGTCTCGTTGGCTATTGTCAATGAATGTCTTGGTGGCTAATGTCATTGAATGTCTCGGTGGCTATTGTCAATGAATGTCTCGGTGGCTATTGTCAATGAATGTCTTGGTGGCTAATGTCAATGAATGTGACAGTGGCTAATGTCAATGAATGTCTCGGTGGCTATTGTCAATGAATGTCACAGTGGCTAATGTCAATGAATGTCACAGTGGCTAATGTCAGTGAATGTCTCGGTGGCTAATGTTTATGAATGTCACAGTGGCTGTGTCATTGAATGTCACAGTGGCTAATGTCAATGAATGTCACAGTGGCTGTGTCATTGAATGTCACAGTGGCTAATGTCAATGAATGTCACAGTGGGTAATGTCAATGAATGTCTCGGTGGCTAATGTCATAGTGGCTAATGTTATTGAATGTCACATCTATTCCTGTCTTTGAACGAGAATGGCTGTGGCATTGTTTCATGATCAAGTGTTCATGTCAGATTAAACATACTTTGTGGTTGTAATACAAATTTTAGAAAATAAAGTGTGTGGAAACAATTCTTTATTAGAACATACAAACCAGAGACCACAGGCACCCACCTTTGTCGGATAACTTTAACATGAGTGGTGATGATGTCTGAACTTAAAATCATACAACCAAACTCGAAACTGATAGAAAGTCTCCTCCTATCTAATGCTTTTTGGACTATAACTTGGAAGTCAAAGGAGGGAATATTTTTTTGTAAAAATATCTGAATGTTTTTATAGATATTACCTATATTAGGGAAAAAATAATTAAATGAATTTGCCATCTTTAGCACCATCACCTGCTGGAAGCTTTGCTTTTTTTCGTTTTTTCTTGGAAGACACAGGGATTTATTTTGGCTAAGTCTGTGTAACAAGGACAAGGGACACAACTCTAGATTTATTATGCAAGGAATTTCACTATGATTTGTCGACTGAACAATTTGGAGAAACATTAATGTCAAATTGAGCATTATATGCTTTACAGATGATTTTTCTTAAAATACTGAGTTATCTCAAAATATTTTTATGTGTATGAAATGTTGGCAGAATTATTTTAAATAGCACTACAGAAAGCCTGTTTCATACTGTTGCTTCTCAGACCATGACAAAACAGTGAGAAGGAAAAAAATCAAACCAAGACTGTTCTCAAAGTTCACAATCTTGTTCCACATCTGGACATTTTGCAATCTCATTAAAATCAGATCTAAGTTCTCGCTACCGCTAAACAAAGATCTGAGGACATCCCATTACGGATCACGTCAGACCGACCTTGCGCGAACTTTGAAGGACCAATGGAATGACTAATCAGAAGGCAGCTTTCTCGTGCTTTACGGATCTAATTTCAAATTGGCGACTACGCTTCGAAACATATTTGGACAAATTCTCGATTAAAAATTTGAAACCTGAACAAACGAACATTCTGGAATCGCTAATAGATGGTCCAGATTGTATGGATTCAGTCATTAAACCTGTAACTATTGTTCGGAATACCCCGGGTTAAAGTTTTCAAGGATGCATGATTAGAAGTCACATTCCGACTGTCACTTTCATGATCTGGTAAGCGACGCACTGATTGGTTGGTTGAAAGGTCCTTCTGGGGTGACCCCTACTGGGATGTCCTCAGATCTTTGTTTAGGGATAGCGATAACTAACATTTGATTTTAATGAGATTGGACATTTTGATATAGGACCACCAAAACAGGTAAAATAATGACAATATATGAAACACTCCATTAATGAGGCCTGTATAAAACAACAACAATATACATTTTATTAACAAGGGATCAAGTTCAAGGGATAGATGTATCGTTTCTGATACAGCACAACGTTGGGGGCACTTTCCAGTTATACATGTAGGACTTGTAAGTCTGCAATTCGGCTCGACACAAATGTCCAGTAGTCTGAAGAGTTTGATGTAAATCTCTCATTTGAAGAATGCTTTTCTTATGAGTGACCAAATATATGTTCCGACACCCACGGGACCGGTATTCGGTATCAAACCGTGGGTCGTGCAACCTGTTAACATTCACAGGAGCTAACCACACTCCGAGGGACACATCCTCGCTGATGAATGTCTTGAGATAATTAGCATTACTTGCCACGTAGTGAACCAAATCACTTGAAACAACATAGCCACCTCCAAGAGCGTATGGCAAGTATCGGTCACACAGCACCCATTCTTGTTCCTTCCATTTCCCCCTCTGTTTCACATGGGCTCGACCATCGAAGAAACCCCAGTAGAGTTTTTCTTCATCTTTGAATTTCAGCTCCTTCAATAATGCATCTAATCGCACAAAACTGTCATCATCAACTTTCAAAAGAAATTTAAAATCCACATGCTCGTGTATCCATTCTAGACTCGTCAAAAGTTTATTGCTTAATCCTAGGTATGATTCCTCATGGTTTTTCAACAGTAGTAAGTCTTTACGTAGCATGTTTTCCCGCATCAATCGATCTTCAATATCTTTGGATAACTGCTTAGTTCCTATTACAAAAAACACAGCTACATCTTTGGGAAGATCAAGAAGCCAGGTTTCTCTCATTGCGTGTCGACGTTCTGCATTTTCCGGACCAGTCAATATGAGGATGACAAGATGAGCAGTTCTCTCCCTTGATTGAGCAAATATCTTTTGTCCCCACCCTGTCTTCTCCTTTCCATGGCTGTGATCATCGTTGGCACGGCGATAGGTGCAGTCCTCACATGGCATGTTGCATAATGACAAGAACATGAGGGCACTTATTGTGAGGAATATACCTCCGATGAGTATGGTGGTAGCATGGCGATTCAGACGACGCTCGACACCAAATGACATTGCAGATTCAGTTTGATATAGATCTATCTGAAATATATAAAAAACAGTTCATATGAAACAAAATATCTTGTGGCTACAAATTGTTTATTAGCCCTATTAATTGCATTACTCTACTATTGTGTGTACATGATCATGAATGGTTTTACTTCTGCTCATATGAATGAATAAGTGAGTTTGGTTTCATGCAGCTCTTGATAGTGTTCCTGCAATATCACTGCAGGGGACACCACAAAAGGGCTTCACACATCAAACCTTGGCCTTTGGCATGATGAGTAAAGGTAATAAGTTTTTTTATCGAGAAGGGAGACACTAACTTGGAACAATTAAAGGGGCACTGATCAAACGCAATTCCCTGGACTGGTTGTTGCCTTTGTTATTGTTTTTTCCCCGTGAGTACCCTGATGATACGCAACGCAACTGAGCGTGACCAGAGACTGGGCTACCGTCTGCAAAGACAGCTAAATAAACTTGGAGGCTGCAGGCAATATTTGTTTTACGCATTTTTGAACACTGATTGGTTAACTGTGATCTATAAAGATTTCGACAAAGGGCGCATGTTAATTAATTTCTTCAGCCTAAACAAATAGACAAAAAGAACGGCGGAGCTCATCGGATATCGTCATTTGGAAATACCCCAGATGGTTATAGTTTAATAATGAAAAAAAGGATCCATGCAGTGAAAGCATTTTCAGATTTTGGATTGCGTCGATAATACGATTACTATACTCCCTTGTTGTCACCACGTTTTCTCGTATAACCCTACACTTGTGTATTTGTCGTCATTCACTTAATGCTCAGTTAATGAATTTATTACAGGTACAATTAGTGGTAGCACCACTTTGATTACCTGACAAAGGTTCCCATTTGGCATTTATTGTGTCTGAGGTAATTATTCAATCTAAATCCAGGTTTGAAGTGAGGTGAAATGTGTGTTATGTAATATGCACATGGCAACCCAGCAAGAGGTGAATGATCAGTTGATTTACTTTTTTGTAAATCAACGGATCGTTCCTAGTCATCAAAGGATTAACAGAAATACGTTGATTGATTAATCACTGTTATCTTGCACAGTGGATATGTCAAAAGTGAGTGTTTACATGTCCAAGTTTACTAAAACAAAGGGAATACACTCATATCATGGCGTGAAGTGCCGATGTAAAAACAACATACTTTGTTCAAAGGGTAACTGATAATACGTTGATTGATTGCTCATTGTTATCTATCACTCAATGGATTTTTTAGGAACCGTGGACGTTATGAAAATAGTTGTCACGTGGGCTTTTTCAGCCGACCCTTGAGACTTGACACCTATGTGAAACACCTGAAACAATCTAAGTGATCAGTTGAGAAACGAACACGGGTTATAATATCCCGAAACGATATATATCTTTTAAAATATTTGATTGTTACAGAGTCACGTGACATCGAATAAGTTTCTTTGTACAGCTGCAGACGAGTGGGATATTGTTCCTTTGTGTGGATATTCACGGATACATTCCTCGAACAAAGAAGCTGCCTAAAATTACACATAAATTTGGTAGGTTGTAATTATGGTATCTGCATTTTGTTTTCCTACATTTGCTGTAGCATTGAACCGATTCGTTCTTGTTCTTCTACGTCTTGTTTGGGAAATTCTTCAATGCGTGATAGACGTTGTTTTCACAAGTCTTTTCCTTTGTAAGCTTGTATATATTACCGTCAATTTGTAAAATGTGATTCTCTCTGGCAATTTATAACGTGTAAATATTTCATTTTGACTGAAAAATCTGTCCAGATTGACTAAAATTGATTAAGACGATCAAAAGGGCCTAAAAACATCACAACAGATTATTATGTGGGATTAGAAGCCAAACAACATAGAAATGTACTTTTCAACGTAACATTTTCAGTGTCTTGGTGATGACATTAAACATCAAAATGTTTGGAATTCGTTATCATAATAATACAGATGGAAATGTTTTTCAGTCACTTTGTAAAATAACTGAATATTTAGGTGTTTAATAAATTTGAAAATGTTACACATTTTGACAGTAAAAAAATATACACACTATAAAAAAAGCATTGCTCAGGTGAAATATTTACTTTGTGTTGCAAGTCAAAATAGTATAAACGAAAATCGCAAAATTACCAAGCAAGTGACTTATCAAAACTTTGTCACCATTACCGATGCTACCCACAAAGATACATACATTTCCTTATTATCTCGAAAACTGTGTTTAATTTTGTTGATCAATGTGACCATACGCCCATATTACTACCCATAAAAGTGACTAATGCGCTTACGAATGGCGCAGCAGAGGTCGCGATCTAGTCTAGATTACTACTATACATCCTGGTACTCACTGGGAAAAAACAATAACAAAGGCAACAACCAGTCCCTGGGAATTGCTTTAGATCAGTGTCCCCCCTTTAAGTCAAGTGATACTTAGGGTTGTGTGAATTTGGGTCAACAAAGCTTTAGATCCTTTGAAACCGTCAATTCGGAATATTTCTGAAATGACAGTAAGCCCACATGGCAAATTGTAACAGCTGTCAACAGTTAACATTAATACACATGAATAAGAGTCTAATTTAAAAAAATATATATTTGGGTATTTGAAAAAGATATTTATTTTTTTTACCGTCAAGTCAAGTTTGGCGAAGATTAGTTGATGGCACATAAACTGTTATCTCAGTAACCTGACTGACTCATAACGCGTTAGCCTGGGCCTACTCATCGTTCTGCGGGTCTTCAATATTTGGAAGTTTGTGCTGACAGTGACACAAGTTACTGTTAGGTTGTTAAGGAGTGTCCAGTAAAATACTTTGGGAATACTTTTCCTTCCAGAACATTGATTAAAGTGATTCATCGACATCTACGCACTGATTCTTGTCCATACCCTAAATAAGTCCTGTCTTGATCTTGCTTGGCCTATCTGTTCATATCTTCGGCCCTGGGCACCGCCATTTTGAAGGAATGCAGCAAATGCCGCGACGTAAATAGTAAATCCTCTTGATAGTGAAAAACGCGACCCGCCTTTGAAAATAATATATCAAATTGTCTTTTTGTCATCTAATATCAAATGCTCAATAAATCATTATTGGAAATATAATTGGTGTATTTACTGCAGATCTGACTTTGAGTAGTCATCATTTCCTGTTTCTTCCGAAGTGGAAAAATAATGTCATACGAGTTGGACAATACACATTTTGTTTCGACATAATAGTATCAAAAGTACCACGAACATCGATATAAAGGTATGTGTGCAGCGTTTTCTCAGTTTCAACACAAATGTTCTGACGACGTTTTGTGTAATTGTAATCCCGTAGAGCCTGTTTAGCGACTGAAGGAAACGAAAACAAATATTTACTAATTTAGTCCCATACAGGCCCAGTGTAATGGGTATAGCATCCCCATCTGGTTAGAAACAATATGGGCGAAAAAATCCCAGTATTTGTCGAATGTTATTTGTTGAATTGGCAATGACTTTCTTCCACCTTGACGTACTTATGCAGCCTTAGAAATGCATTTTTTTAAGACAACCCCAGGGGACTTTAGTAAAACTTCTTTCACTTGTCCTTAGAGTTTGCAGCTGTTCCTGTTTGAACAAGACAAAATGTTTACTATGTTTCCATTTTCTGTCAGTTTTATTTAGGGTCAGTTCAGATTTGTAAAAATATTTACACATATAATAGAAGCAAATTTAGCACTCAAATAGCAGATGCCAGTTTATGAAAGCATTTTTATTTTCAATATCTTTTATTTTTGTTTCAACTTTACTATTTGACGTTGCACTCATCTAAACGTCAACATTCCGGACACTATCTACCCACCATGGGACTTCTTTTGCAATAAATCAGTAAGATTTGTATTGACAAGAATGGATATGAGGTTTTACAAGCTGTGAAGAGGGTCTAAGGGGGTTGAACCCCTATGTAATGCATTTTCAAGCATTGGAGAGAAAAACACAAAGCCTGCAAAGAAATGCACTTATTAGGGTATTCTTGTTTATTTTATTGTTTTCACATTTCTCACAAAAGCAGGATGAAGTAGTTTCATGTCAAATTGTTTTGGCTACAGGAAACTGTCTTGGCGTATCCATCCAAGCCACTTTTATGACTTTCACTCACTAGGCCTACAATTTGTCAGTAATGATTCAAAAGACGACTCCCCTTGTGGCATCAGTAACCAAGAGCTCCAGATAAGCTTTTGGTGTTGTGAGTATTTTACCCATGCATTTTAAAATCACTGGGTATCAGCTATTCCATCTGGGTATTCAAATTTCTGTTACCCACTAGTTTTTACACATGTGGGTATTAAGTTAAATATTTAAAAACACCATTCATCTAGTCCCTGCAAACTGGTGTTGTGTGGGTTCGAGAGCTTTATAGGACTCATAAATACCACGATACTTCCACAAGAAAGTGTGATGGCAAATGATCATGATGTAACTGGCATCGTGGAGTTCGGCAAGGTTGAGGGAATGCCTGTTTATAATTTCAAAATAAGTTGCTGATTTGCCAATCGAATACGCAGGGTTACTTCACAATATTTTGAATATACGCACATGTTATATTTTTGTAGCGTATCTGTAATGTTTGTTGCGTATTTGATACGCTTGGATATTATTTTACTGCGTATTTCTGCATTTCTGATGCATATTTTACGCAGATACGCAGCTTATCTGGATCTCTGGTAACCGTGCCTTCCTTGTTCCATACAAGGATCCACATGATATAGTTACAGTGTTCCCTCCCACACTTTTCTGTTACAAAATCACCCAATGAATATTAAAACCATGTCATTCATGCTTACTCGTGAATAGTTAGCTGTCGGGCTAACAATCTGAATGTCGTGAGCTTGTGTCATGTGACATGGCAGAGATCGTCCTCACGAGGAGTTGTATTGAATTCCAAAGGTGCTCAGATGGGCGGACTTGTGCCAGTTGTCATGATTGACATCCCTGTTGCACTTAATAAAAGTATGGTCACTGATCATACAGATAATGGGTACAATTCACTTCCTGACAGAAATCTGTCAGTTAATTCATGTCGCAGACATACAGTTGTGGCATAGAAAGGAAAATGTCATTTATCATTCCAAAACTGGCTTTACCAGGAGATATCGGTTGGATGAGATCAAGCAGTATCTCCTGGGAGATATGCAACAATGAAATTGCATCACAATGCTTTGCAGACCATTGTGATGTAATCGGTTGCCATGATATATTCAATCAAATGACATCACTAATCTCTCTGCTGCTGAAGCTGGTTTGCTGTACCTTTTACACTCAAGACACTGATAAATGTAATCTCACCCTCGTGTCATTTGATGTGAAATATATAACTAACACTTGTCCATAAAGGTTTAAAATTCCTCGGACAGTCTGAGAGTAATAAACTTTTGTGAACTTGTTTTGATATATTTGATATCACAAGACACTTTGATGTGATTCTCTATGTGTCAAGCGGTGTAACAATTGATTAAATATGGCAATTACAATTGTCCATGTCCAAAATTTCAAAATGTGAAAAAGTAACTTTGATGCAGAGCTATAACATGGACGAAGTCGATAGACATACAAAAATGAAAACAATACTTATAGTTATTAACTTTGACAAATATCTGCATTTACTAATGGTTGCTAACAGGCATAAGAATAAGATGATGAAATTGTATATATTTTTTGTGTACATTGAAATAGAGGAAGAAAGGTATTATTTGTAATTTGATAGAACCTCGTCTTCTAACCCTTTGATTGTGCATGTCTAGGGACTGGTGCTACTTGTATTATGTAGTATCACAGTATGAACCAATAAACTTAAACCATGGTCACATTGCTGTAGCCATTGTAATAGCAGCGTTAGAAACTGGCACTAGTCCTGTAGTCCTTGCCAAACTGCCCAATAGTTAAGGTATCATAAGGACTAGTAGAAATTTGCCATTTTGAAGGGTTTAAGTATATGTTATCATTATAAGGACTAGTGGACAAAAAAAGTTAGTTTCTACCGCTGTAATCATTATGGTAATAGTGCTGACTCAGCCAGTTGACACAGTAGCTCTTCTCCCCCCCCTCTCTCTCTCTCTCTCTCTCTCTCTCTCTCTCTCTTTCTCTCTCTCTCTACCTCTCTTCCTCTCTAGAGTATTATATACTTCTCCACGTTCCTAACATTGTCTTGTCCCACTTTAATTCAGTATGACAGTATACAAATGGTATAGACTCATCTGATGAAATCCATCTTGAAACAGCTTTTGCAGTTATGTACAATACAGCCTTGCTATCATGGTTCCAGAAATTCTACTTACCTGTTGTTTCTTTTGCCTCTAGATGTCGGGTGGCAAGAGAGTGAACACCACCGCCACTGCGCGTCTCAAGCAGGACTACATGAGGATCATGAAGGACCCAGTACCCTATGTGAAGGCTGTCCCACTGCCAACAAACATGCTAGAATGGTGAAGTGTTGCTTTCCTTTTGTCAGGATGGTTACAGAAATTCCTTCTAGTCGTTTATGGGTTATAATTGATCCCTGTATCAAAAAGGTTATATTCACCCAATGTGAAGTTGCATATGTTATAAAGTCATTGCTATTGCATTGCTATAGTTTTTATGCATAATAGTCAGCGTCCAAAATAACTGCCTGCCCACCTGCCCGTGACTGATAACTTTTCTGTCGGGCTGCATGAAATGTTATTGGCCACCTGCACGACCATCTTGATAGGCCTTACTGATGATGGTCCTGGTATAGAAGGACATGTCGATTTATTGTGTTCCAGTTGTATAAGGGGCGGTCGGGTAGCCTTGTGGTTAAAGCGTTCATCATGCCGAAGACCCGGGTTCGGTTCCCGACATGGGTACATTGTGTCCCCCGCTGTGATATTGCTGGAATATTGCTAAAAGCGGCGTAAAAAAATACTCACTCACATTTGATGTTGAATATGTGTCTGCAGTCTCATAGTCTCTTAACCATATTATTTCCCATCTGAATCGCCTGTAATGCTCATGCACTAAATAAAGCAAGTATACATTTTCCACAGGTCCACTCCAATCTTACTGGGGCTCCTTCTTAAATTGAAGCATAGTTGCTTGTTTCCATTTGATCAGAATTAGATATTTTCAGGGTCTGAGTGTTAGTCTATTGTGTTTGGTTGATGGTTCAGTTTCTAGAATGATGCAATGTGATGTTTAAATCTGTTCCAGGCATTATGTTGTACAAGGGCCGGAGAATTCTCCATATGAAGGTAATCTCAACACACAAGGTTTACTGGATACAAAATGTAGAGAATAGAACTGAAAATATGGGTGCTGCAAGTCCCATGGAACGCACAAACAGCACATCTTCCCGAGGCAAGGGAGTTAACTGACTTCAAAAGTCCAGTTTCCACCCTTGCCGAACTAGGCTGGAATTACTTGGCTCGATTGTTGCGCCACCAGTGGCTATTACCAATTATGTCCCTTCTAAGCCTCTTCTATGGACCAATCAGATTCCACCTCTCGTATCACTTGCGTTTGCTTCAAATAAAATGGTGGCGCCCAGTCAGGACGATCTGATCGATAACCAAGATCTATATTGTGATAAAACGGGTCTTACATCGCGAAATGCATCAAATCACGTGAGCACCTTGATTAAAAACATGAAAGGATTTGGAAAATATCTGCTGACAACGAATTGGCGATGCACATGCTTTGCAAACCCTGCAATCGATCGAAATCTGCACGACAGTTTACGAACCAGATTTTTATTTCGGTGCGCGATTTTGATTGGACTATGCCGAAACTCGTTAGTCCAGACAAAACGTAACTCCATAATACCAGCCTGATAACTTTTATAGTCAGTTAACTCCTTTGCCTCGGGAAGATGAAACAGCCTGGCTGTATGGATCATTAAGATATGTTCAATTGTGTTATGCATTGTAAATGTAACTGTTATTTCTTTTCTGATAAAAAATATAATCAACGTTCAGTTTGATAATGTTTCTGTCCAACAATTTCAGCTACCCGGGACTTCCTATGTGTAGTGTGTGTAAGGTTCCAGATGATGTGTACTGCTTTAAATTCTTTGGGCAATAAGCTCACATTCTCCGTGGATAATGGCAACACACTGTTTCAGGGGGTCTATATCACGGTAAACTCATCTTTCCACGAGAGTTCCCCTTCAAGCCACCTAGCATCTACATGATCACCCCTAACGGCAGATTCAAGTGTAACACAAGGTATGTAGCCCTGTGAAGATCCGGGGTATAACAGATCTTCAGCAACCCTTGCTTGCCAAAAGAGGCGACTATGCTTGTCGTAACAGGTGACTAACAGGATCGGGTGGTCAGGTTTGCTGACTTCTTTGATGCATGTCATCATATTCCATTTGCGTAGATCAATGCTCATGCACTGGATTGTCTGGTCGAGACTTGATTATTAACATATAGCTGGAATATTGCTGAGTGTGGCGCTGAACAAAAGAAATGAAGAAATAAGCAAGCAAGGTTTGTCAGTGTTTGCTTTTTTTTTATCTCTTCCAATCCTCAAAGGAAGTGGGGAAAAATCAAAGGTCCCACAATTCCCTGTGCAGAGTTGTGTCCCTTGGGCAACCATAAACCCAGACGATCCAGTGACTGACAGCATGAGCATTGATCTACACAATTAGGATACGATGACATGCATCAACCAAGTCAGTGATTCTACCAACTGATCCCATTAGTCGCCTCTTACGACAAGCATAGTCGCCTTTTACAGCAGGCATGGGTTGCTTAAGACCTATTCTGCCTTGAATCTTCATGTGGTAATGCAACAAGTAAAAACATACGATGACATGTATCAACCAAGTCAGTGATTCTACCACCTGGGCCCACTTGCACAAAGCAATCTTAGCACTACAACTATTGTAAGCCTATGTTAAAGTATGGGAATTACGATCATCTTAGCGCTAAGATCACTTTGTGCAAGTGGGCCCTGATCCTTTAAGTTGCCTTTTACGACAAGCATAGTCACCTTTTACAGCAGGCATGGGTTGCTGAAGACCTATTCTACCCGGGATCTTCATGTGGTAATGCAACAAGTAAAAACATAGGTCTGATATATCTTTTTCTTTTATCGTTTCCAACCAGAAATTTTCACCAAAGATGTGTAAACCATGGACTAGAAATAGTCTGTCCAAGTGTATTGTTTCAGCTTTGGTGATGTATCTCTGTGTGTTGCAGGTTGTGTCTCTCCATCAGTGACTTCCATCCAGACACATGGAACCCAGCATGGTCTGTCTCCACCATACTCACAGGGCTGCTCAGCTTCATGGTAAATAATGCTGATACAGCGAAAATATTCACAGGAAATACCGTATTCGACGTAATAAGCGCCCAGGGCGCTCTCAAAATTAGAAAAAAGGGGGCTATATTAGAATATAGTTTTGGTAAGAAAAAAAAACAGCTGAAAGATCGGTAATATTGAGGTTTATGCTGAGAGCCTAATATGATACAAAAAAAGTATATTTTCCAGAATTTAAATGCCCATAATTAATGGTGCACATAACTCACGAGTGAGTATTATGCACGAATAAATAAGTCTTGTGTACACTGATCAATCGGAAGGGGTGCTAATTGGGATTGTTCACCAGTCAGTATATTAGCAAATATCGCCGTGGGCGCTTATTAGAGCAGGGCGCTTATTACGTCGAATATGGTAGTTGCCCAATAGTTCAAGCCAGAAGGGCTGACTTGGCATGATTGGTCCTGTACGGATTCAGAACCTGCTTGCCTTGCAGCTTGAAAGGCAGATTTGGAAATTTCTTACTTATAAGATAAATTCACGCAAATTTAATGTGACACTATGCATTTAGTCTTTCTTCTTTTTTTAATCCTATATGGAAACTGGCTTGAACGAAGGTTCCAGCTTCTAAAAACAATTCACTCACTCACTCACTCTAGTGCTCGTGGGTTTCACCGAAGTAAACGTCGAAGACCTGCATCACTTCGAGCTTTCCTCCCACATTAAACTGACACGCTGTGATATAACTGGAATACTGTTAAAAGCAGCGTTAAACATAACTCACTCACTCACTCACTCATTCACTCATTGTCTGTTCTAATTATCTCATAAAGTATGTGATGCAGGCACTTAATGTGTTGTGCAATCAGTAGTTAACTGCAGCCTGCTCAAGATGCAGTGGAGAAAAAACCCGATATTGCACCCTGTTACGTTAAATCAAGTCCAGGGGATAAGACTCAGTGTTAAATAGTGTTACAGACACAAATGGAAATGAAATGGCCACTCCTTTCTTAGCCTAGCACAACTTGAACTAAAGATGTGAATGCATTGAATTATGTGACTGTTTGTTGTATGTCTTCTGTCAGACATGTTAGAGTCAGGTAAGGATAAGATATATGGATGAACAACTTCTTTATTATAATTAGGAACGACATTTCGGTGTATGTTCTAACACCTTTATCAAGCGGTGTTGGAACCTACACAGAAATCTTGCCTAATTATAAAAAAGAAGTTGCTCATCTGTATATCTTATCCTTCGCACTCCAACTTCTAAATGACTCTCAAAGAAAGTTAAAGTCAGATGTTTTGAACATCTCGTAAATTATTATGAACCTGGCTACAAAACAAGACACATAGTACAGCTTGTTTTTTATTTGGTCCATGAGAATATCACTTGTTTCTTTTAGTTGGAGAAGAGTCCTACACTGGGGAGTATAGAGACCTCAGACTACACAGTAAGTACAACAAGGTGTTATCGATATGTTTCAGTGTGAGAATATTGTGGGCAGATTAGATACCCGCAGCTCAGTCCTTGCCCACAGAGTTGACTGAATTGGGGTCTCAGGGCACGATACCTGCTGACTTCAACTGACTTCTTGAATCACAGTTGACATGGAAATTATATTAACTTTTTTTATTGTATAAGAGGGCCTTTATTACAAACGTGAGACATAAAAAAAATATATAAAAAATGTTTAACTTATTTCGTGGACCGGCTGCTTTTCAGTAAGGGTGGTGGGCCAGAGAACCGAAAAATCTAAAATGTGAGGCCTTGCAGTTAGCAGGATTATTTTGTGTCCATATTTTCTGACTGTGTAGATTATTGGTACAGTTATGACATCTTGTGTGTCGGGTTTATGTCATTGTAACCGCTTCCATGGTCAGTGGATAGAGCATCCCGCATGGAGAGTGAAAGGTCGGTGGTTTGTACCCCTGGCCGTGTCACACCGAAAGACATTAAACATGGTAATTGTTGTTACCCTGGCTGCCACTCGGCATAAAGCAGATAAAACAAGGACTGGTGAGCTTGGAGTCAGTTTAATGTGTCTGAGTCGGGTATCCATGTAATATGGTTGACTATGCATGTAATATGGTTGACTATGCTTGTAATATGGTTGACCATGCTTTAGAAACAATTCAGCATCACCCACAATGTTGGGTAGAAACCATATTTTTCAAAATACTTAGATTCAGTCCGTAATTCTAGAAAACCTTGACCACAATGATCAGATTACTTTATGAGAAATATAAGATGCCTTTGACTAGTCCAGGATTACAAATGTATGTCATGTCTTCAGAAACGTCAGCTGGCGGCACAGAGTGGAACATTCAACCTCAATGACAAGATCTTCTGTGAGCTGTTCTCAGATGTGGCTGAGGTAGGTTGATGATTCATGATAAGTAACCATGGCGATGGCATTTTGCATGTTGGTTTTGTCTTATCCCTTTGGGGGCGTTTTGTGTAGTTCAGCTTTCATCTACAATTTGTGACGTAATATTGGGCATGTCAGAATCTGAGTCCTCCCATTGATTTGAGTCTTACATGTATTGGTCCGTTGTGTTAAGGTCTGTTCAACCATGAATTCGGAAAATACTTGATTCTGATTGGTCGATTAGAGGCTATTAAATCACAATAAACCCCCTCTGTTATTATTCAGTTGTGTTTGGATCATGATGCTGACTTGAGCAACAATGTGTAATTTTCTTCTGATCAATTCCGACAGAACATCCGAGCTGAGATTCGGAGGCGGGAGGAGGAAATGCAGCGCTCCACAGATTCCAGTGGGAACGTGGATGGCGGATCCAGGAATGGCCGCAGTGGCTTGCTCAATGGAAACCCCAACACTGTACTTAACGGACAAAATCAGGGATTCTTTGGAACAGCTCTGACAAATATATTTGTGATAATTGGTTTTGCAGCATTTGCTTACACAGTGAAATATGTTCTAAGAAGTGTCGTTGATTGAAGATGAGCGTCCTGTTTGGCTGTTATCATCTTCCCGAGGCAAGAGAGTTAACTGACTATGAAAGTCCAGTTTCCACGTTTGCCGAAAAAGGCTGGAATAATTCAGTTTCAGTTCGGTTGGACTTAAGAGTCTATGCATAGTCCAATCAAAATCGCGCAACAAAATTGAAATCCAGTTAGTAAACTGTCATGCAGATTTTGGTCGATTGCAGGATTTGCAAAGCATGTGCACACTGCCAACTCGTCAACAGATATTTTCGAAGTCTTTTCATGTTTTTAATGAAGGTGCTCATGTGATTTGATGCACTTCACGATGTAAGACCCGTTTTTTCACAATATAGATCTTGATTATCGATCAGATCATCTTGACTTGGTACCACCATTTTGTTTGAAGCAAATACAAGTGATACGAGAGGTGGAATCTGATTGGTCCTTAGGAGAGACTTAGAAGGGACTTAACTAGTAATAACCACTGGTGGCACTATGATCGAGCCCAGGAATTCCAGCCTAGTTCGGTAAGGGTGGAAAATGGACTTTTGAAGTCAGTTAACTCTCTTGCCTCGGGAAGATGGGTTGTTTTGACCTTTCAACTTTGGCCCTTGACCGAAGATCTAAGGAATGCCTGTATATATTGACTGGTTCTGGTATATCACTATATCTATCTATTTGTCCGTGATAACATGGTCAGGATGAAAAGGTACCCACTCTTGTGCATCAAACACGAAAGGTTTTGCTATCTGTTTGTACATACTACTTTTAGTTTTTTTATCCAGAATTTGTTATGCTTATAAATGAGATGAACGATGTTCTTCCCAAGATGATGATTATGACAAGGCCAATAAGAACTGTACGAGGCTGTGGGGTGGGCTTGTGGGTAAAGCTTTTCTTGTCTCGCCTAAGATCTGGTTCAATTCCTCACATGGTTACCCTGATGTGGTAACATTTTCGTAGTCCCCACCATTTATGATTTTGTTGGAATATTGCTATGACAATAAAACCACAATCAAGTTAACTCTAGAAATGAAACCACATTTGAATGTAAATGTTTTTTGGAGGGTTAAAATATGGAAGCTCTGAGTTCATGGATTAAAAAATGGTGTAAGATCCAAGGCTTATCATAAAAAAAAGAAATATTAAAGTTTAAAGTTTTTATTAAAAATGAGAATGCAGCTGTGAAACAAGAATAGTCCATTTGTAAACAATTGAAATAAATTATTATGGTCAATGGAAATAAGTAAGGGTTAATGATTTCAAGACCACTTCTGAATCTGGGTTGGGGGTGGATAGGAGGGAGTTGGAGGTGCCCTTAAGGGTGGGAGGGAGTTGATGGTGCCCTTAAGGGTGGGATGGAGTTGGTGGTGCCCTTAAGGGTGGGAGGGAGTTGATGGTGCCCTTAAGGGTGGGAGGGAGTTGATGGTGCCCTTAAGGGTAGGAGGGAGCTGGTGGTGCCCTTAAGGGTGGGAGGGAGCTGGTGGTGCCCTTAAGGGTGGGAGGGAGTTGATGGTGCCCTTAAGGGTGGGAGGGAGTTGATGGTGCCCTTAAGGGTGGGAGGGAGTTGATCGTGCCCTTAAGGGTGGGATGGAGTTGGTGGTGCCCTTAAGGGTAGGATGGAGTTGGTGGTGCCCTTAAGGGTGGGAGGGAGTTGATGGTGCCCTTAAGGGTGGGATGGAGTTGGTGGTGCCCTTAAGGGTGGGAGGGAGTTGGAGGTGCCCTTAAGGGTGGGAGGGAGTTGGTGGTGCCCTTAAGGGTGGGAGGGAGTTGGAGGTGCCCTTAAGGGTGGGAGGGAGTTGGAGGTGCCCTTAAGGGTGGGAGGGAGTTGGTGGTGCCCTTAAGGATGGGAGGGAGCTGATGGTGCCCTTAAGGGTAGGAGGGAGTTGATGGTGCCCTTAAGGGTGGGAGGGCGTTGGTGGTGCCCTTAAGGGTGGGACAGAGTTGATGTTGACCTTGTGGGGTGGTAACACAGATTGGTGGCTGTCCTTGCACAAGTTGTGTCTTTGCACTCAGCATTTGCCGTGGTGGAGTTTGAAAGTCCTGAAATATGAATTTTCAAATGCAACAGCCTATGAAAGGAGATGTTATGATTTGATACAGTAGAATACCTGCCTTGTTGTGGGGAGTACTTCAGTGGTTTACATGGTGCTGGTGAGAAGCAAAACAAACAAACTATATTTTTGAATTTTGCATATTTTGATATGTTTGGTCAAATTAGAATCTCCATTAATATCGACAAGGTCACATTAAGAAGGTAATTGTCATAGAACTCGCTGTATGTCACCTAGTGGAACATTGTGCTGGTCATAGTCTTGAAATCCCAGCTGAGCCCACAATAGGAGACTTGTTCTGACAATCCATAGCCTGTGTTTGGATTGTCAGAAACCTATGATTGTGGGTTCGAATCCTGGTTCGCCCCGATTATGTTTCTAGGTTTGTCAGCACCATACCCATGCTTGTGGGTTTCACCGAAGTGGTAAACGTCTGAGACCTGCATCACTTCGGGCTTTCCTCCCACATTAAGCTGACACGCCGCGATGTAACTGGAATACTGTTAAAAGCGGCGTTAAACCCAACTCACTCACTCACTCAAGAACGTTGTGAACATCTTGTGACCTCCTTCAGGCTTTCCTCCCATATAAAGCTGACATGCTGTGGTATAACTGAAATAGTGTTAAAACCAGCGTCAAACCAAACTCACTCATCATCATGTTAATAACGAACATTACGAATACTCAAATTTATGAATTTTCAGAGAACAAGGTCTTGACGGTGTATGATTGTTATGATATCATGTTATGACGGCTGCCTGTATATAAATAAACTGTATTGAAGTCAGTAAGAAGTGTACTGTGTTAATTACAGAGTAAGCCCCTGAGAGACTCCTTTAGAATTTTCAATTTGACTCGTCTCTTAGGTTCCATTCAAATGGACTGACAATACTGTCTTTGTTTTTGTTTAGTGACTAATGGTATTTTGGCCATCAAAAACATATCAGTGTATTGAACTATGGTCAGTTTAACTTAACGTTAAGTCGTTAACTTGTTCGCTTGTCATGCTGAAGACCGAGGTTTGAAGGCCATATTTGGTGTCCCCTGCTGTGTGATATTGCTGGAATCGGTGTAAACCCATACTCCCGCGATCACTCACTATATAAGCGGACCAAGACCTCCAGTTCATATTTAACCTGGGTCTCTCATACCCCTATAGTGCCATTGCCGTCTTGGACTTCATGTAAAAGGGGGCGGTCGGGTAGCCTAGTGGTTAAAGCGTTCACTCGTCATGCGGAAGACCTGGGTTCGATTCCCGACATGGGTACAATGTGTGAAGCCCATTTCTGGTGTCCCCCACCGTGATATTGCTGGAATTTTGCTAAAAGGGGCGTAAAACCATACTCACTCACTCAATTCATGTAAAAGCGGTCAAGTCAACAGTAAGGGTGGCCCAGTCATTGAAGGCACTGCAATTTGCTGTGCAGAGTTGCATCCCTTGGTCACGCCAGAAACCTATGATCATGGTTTCAAATCCTGGTTCGCCCTTATTATCTTTCTAGGTTTCTCAGCACCATACACCTGATCGTTGGTTTCACCAAGGTGTTAAACGTCTAAGACCCGATTCAATTCAGGCTTTCCTCCTTCATTAAGCCGGGGCACATGTGGCCCAGTCGTCTATGACGCCACAATTTGCTTTGCAGAGTTGCATCCATTGGACACACCAGAAACATATGATTGTCGGTTTGAATCCTGGTTTACCCTGATCATGTTGTTTGTAAGCGCCATACCTGTGCTCATCGGTTTCACTGAAGTGGTAAACATCAGAGACCTTCATCACTTGGGCTTTCCGCCCACATGAGTGAGTGAGTACGGTTTTACGCCCCTTTTAGCAATTTTCCAGCCAAATCACGGCGGGAGACACCAGAAATGGGCTTCACACATTGTACCCATGTCAGGAATCGAACCCGGGTCTTCGGCATGACGAGTGAACGCTTTAACCACTAGGCTACCCGACCGCCCCTCCTCCCACATGAAGCTAAGCTAATAAGATGTAACTTTAATACCGGTACTGTTCAAAGTCTGTCCATTATGAGTAACTGCCCTTTGCCAAAGGCAAGCTGGTCTGTGAGATGTACATTTGTTTAGAATATACCTGGCTGTTGTAATGTTTCCCAAGCAGTCAGATGTCCGACACAGCCACAAGGTGAAATGAGGTAAAATGTTTCTGCCAAATCCAACTTTTAAGTTGTGGAAAAGACCCCAAGCCGCAGAGGTCTCAAGGCACAGACACAGAAACAAATGCTAGTGTCCCCGCTAAATTTGCTTCACAATTTTTGTCTCCAAAAACACCCTTGGTTAATCTTGTCATTCACTGGCTAAATAGTGGTTTCATTTTACAGACAAATCGAGTGACTTTAACTTGTGACTTCTAATATATGGTTAACGGGAGATAGTAGAGGATAGTTTGGATAGTAAGTTTATGTCAGGATATAATTGTGATCTCGTTGAAGAAAGGCGAGGAGAAAATTTCAAAAAAAATATTACGTAGAAAGGATAATGTTTGCAGATAGTAGGGGTATAGTGTGTATGACATTTACACAAGAAATATCAGTGCCGTAATTTCATACTGATCAGATTGATATCTGCAAAATATTCATCTTGGAAGTCATTGTTGATATGAATTAAGATATGTGGGGAATAATATCCTGAAGCACTTTTTACCTGGCATGTTGCCATTATTGGCAACCTGCAGGGTTTCACAGCGCAAGTTGCTAGATGGTTAAAGTGTGATTTTAAACTGAATCTCAGTGCTTGGATCAGATTTAACATAAGATGGGCCCCATTCCACAGACTGATTATCATCCTATTACTATCGTAACTCCTCTGCACCACTGACTTTGGGTAATCGTAATACTGAGATTGCACTGTGAAACAGGCCCCTGGTACTATTTCTCAAACTGGGGGCACGCTGTGCAGCGTTGCATCCCTTGGGCACGCCAGAAACCTATGATTGTGGGTTCGAATCCCGGTTCGCCCCGATTATGTTTCTAGTTTTGTCAGCACCATACCCTTGCTTGTGGGTTTCAACCGAAGTGGTAAACGTCTGAGACCTGCATCACTTCGGGCTTTCCTCCCACATTAAGCTGACACGCCGCGATATAACTGGAATACTGTTAAAAGCGGCGTAAAACCCAACTCACTCACTATTTCTGAAACTGATCTCAGTGCTATAACTATAATAACTCCTATCCCATAGACTTAGGATAATTGTCACAATGACATTGAGATCTTAGTGTTGTAAGTTGCCAGCCCTCTTCCACAAAGTCATTCTGTAGGGATACATCTATCATAAGTTAAAGTATGGGAGTTGCATAGAGTGCTAAGTTTGCTTTGTGAACCTGGCCCCTGTAACTTACTGGGCAATTAAGCTCAGGAATTATAACTGAAATGTTGAGCTGATTCTCTTATCATGTTAACCTGGGTGCCATTGTACAAAGTGATCTTAGCGCTGAGGTGATCGTAACTCCCATACCTTAACATAGACTTAAGACAGTTGTAGCGCTAAGGTTGTTTTGTACAACGGCACCCAGGTAAATAAATTATCAGGAGTTTGTTTAATTTGATCAGATACTAAGGTTGAGACCGATCAATCCTTACAGAACAGTACTATCTTGTCAAGCTTGAACATGTTGCAGTAACTTAGCTTACAGTTCTTTTACGACAGGGGGCACGAGTGGCCCAGTCGTCTAAGGTGCCTCGATTCACTGTGCAGAGTTGTGTCCCTTGGGCAAACCAGAAACCTATGATTTTGGGTTCGAATCCTGGCTCTCCCTGATTATGTTTCTAGGTTTGTTAGCACCATACCTGTGCTCTTGGATTTCAAAGAAGTGGTCAATGTTTGAGACCTGCATCACTTCAGGTTTTCCTCCCACATTAAGCTGACACGCCCTGATGTAACTGGAATACTGTTAAAAGCGGCGTTAAACCCAACTCACTCTTTTACGACAAATAATAATGTTGCTGGTACTCAGTTGATCAGCATTATTCTGTGATAAACGAGGATGATAAAATCGTGGGACACAATGTAGTCTTGTTAAATGACCCGCCAGATAATGATTACTAGATGTCGTAGTTTGAGCACCTGTGATCATGTGATATAGGATATGCTGTAATCATTATCAAGGCCATCTAGATACATCATCGCTTATGACGTAATGTGCAGTTGCACTGATTATTCAACAATGTACCAATATGTTTAAGACACATGCCATCTGAACAATTGAATAAGGCCATACCTATTTATTTTCTCATTTTACATTTTTTCTGGTAAACATTCTTAAAGGAGTCAATATAAAAATAATTGTATTTCGGTATGTTTGACTATTTTTCTTCGAAAACAATTTTGGGACCTTGGGTTGCCCAGATGTCTTAGGTGCTACAATTTGCTGTGCAGAGTCGTGTCCCTTCGGCACGCCAGAACTCAGAAACACCAGATTATGGGTTTGAATCACTAATTGTTTCTAGGTTTGTCAGCACCATACCCATGCTCATGGGTTTTACCAATCTCATTTAAATCAGATCTTAGTTCTCATTATCGCTAAACAAAGCGGCAGCGAGAACCTAGATCTGATTTTAAGGAGATTGGGGTTTCACCTAATTGGTAAACATCCGAGACCTGCATCACTTCAGGATTTCGTCCCACATTAAGCTGACATTAAGTGATATAATTGGACTCACTCACTTTCCAACTCAAAACAATCAATGTTCAGATTTTTTTTATATTATTTGTTGTTGATCTTTTTTTAAATTTCTGTATTTTGGGGTTGACTAAGTTGAAATATAAATTGGTATGGTCAAATAATAAAGCTCCCGTTGCCACTGACTGTACAGATGTGTGTGTGGCACCTTCCGTTATTTCTTAAGTCATCGCGTCTTTGCTTGTGATACAGAGTATGTGAAGTACTTGAATGACTCAGTGGGGGGTGAGAGAGAATGCTGTTTGTTTGTACAGTATAAAAAGTAACACTTGTTATAAATTTTGTGAAAAAAAATGTGTTCTCATATACTGTAATAAATAATAAAAATATGGTGAAGTGTATGTGATGTCGTTGTTTTTATACAAAATCTTTTAATTTTTGAAGCCCTTACATTTATTATGTCCCTTCTTTTAATGCACATCCTTTTGGGGGATTCAGGGTTAGAAAACTTACCCCAGCAACCTATGCTGGTTGTGAGAAGCAACTGAGGCGAGGTGACTCAGTTGATAGCTTGTCATCGTGCAATGACAGCTATGTTGTTGCTCACAATATCAATCACTGGAGCCCCGTGAAGATTCCAGGGTAGAAAAGGTCTTCAGTAACCCATGCTTGCCGTAAAAGATGACTATGCTTGTCGTAATAGGCGACTTATGGGATCGGGTGGTCAGGATCGCTGACTTGGTTGATGCATGTCATTGATCCCAATTGCGTGGATCGATGTTCTTGATATCAATCACTGGATTGCCTGGTCCAGACTCGATTATTTACAGACCGCCATCATATAGGTGGAATATTGCTGAGTGCAGCGTTAAACAACAAACCAACCAACCAACCAAGCAATCACTGGATTGTCTGGTCCAGACTTGATTATTGAGAGGTTGCCATGATATGATTGGAATATTACTGGGTGGGGTCTTAAACAACAAACAAATCTTTTCATGCTCAATATGGGAACTAAGACATACTGATATCGCATTTCATTTGCTGTGATTTTAGAAACAATCAACCTACATTGCATGTAACATGGCATTCCACCATTCTGACAATCAGTACAAGATAATGTTGAACATGACTTGTCTTTTAAGATAAAGTGTAAAGGCCACAACATAATTAATATTTTTACTTATTTCAATCCTCTTCAGCAACCCATTCTTCCAGTAAAAGTCAACTATGCTTGTGGTAAGAGGAGACTAACGGATCCGAGGCAGGCTCGCTGACTTGGTTGATGCATGTCATCGTGTCCCAATTGTGTGGATCGATGCTCTTGATGTCAATCACTGGATTTTCTGGTGCAGACTCTATTGTTTACAGGCCACCGTCATATAGCTGGATTATTGCTGAGTACGGCGTTAAACAACAAACACATTTCAATCATGAAAGTACAGCCTAGGACCCCGTTCCACAAAGCGGTGATCGTAGCATTCGTCACCACTCGCCCCTTTCCGTAACCTGGAAGAAGACTCGTCCCCCTGTCGATGAATGTTATGTGCGAAAATACGACAAACCAATCAGAATACGCGTATGATTTCAAGTACTTCGTCAAAGAATCCCTCAGAAATAATTTTTGATTTTACATATTGCTTGCATCTTAAAATATACCCAAGACACAGTTAAATGTGTTCAATCATACTGTATAATTACTCACGCCCCGATCTGCTTTAAATTGCATCTGAAATATATATAATATATGGGGAAATATATGTCAACCATCACGCACTGAGTTGACAATTGTTTTAGGTATGCCCGTTTGCGCTAAGACGGAACCCGGTCGCAAACATGGCCATGAGAGTGTCACGAGTCGCTATTCGGCTTGTCCCGGAATAACACGAGTTGGTCACGAATGCCCATACTGGCTTACGATAGTCGTAGCGCTAAGATCGCTTCGTGGAAGCGTGTACAGGGTTATACAGGGTACAGAGAATAAAAGACTACCTTGTCTATCAGTAACATAGAAACGAGACACGATGTGGAAATCCAGAGGGACATTATACACATTTGTCGTGCGCTTTATTGACCAGCCCCGGGCGAAAACAGCTGGGGCGAACACAGGAGCTGGCATTCGTGACGAACTCGTGTCATTCCGAAGGGCGGGTCAAGTATTTCTAAAAAGGGAGGGGCCCAAAATATCAAAATCCTCTCTCTGTCATTTTTACGAACTACATTTGGCCCCCCCGCCCCCCCACTCCTCCCTCCCCTTCTCTCTCTCTCTCTCCTCCCTTTCTCCCCCTCCCCTTCTCTCTCTCTCTCTCTCTCTTCCCTTTCTCCTCCTTCTCCTCCCCCCCCCCACACACACACACACACGATTGGATCCGCCAATCATTCCAGGACAAACCATATCTTTTTTGCAGGTTACGGAAAGGGGCGAATGGTGACGATAAGTACCGAATAAACAAAGTCACACAAAAGGGTGATAGGTGACGTCGAGAAGGCGGGGATCCATACTTGTTGCTTGAACGAGTGTCAGATGACGTGTATATTGTTGGTCATGTCATCAAGCACGTGTTTGCCTGGTCCGGGTTCGATTCCACTGGCCGACGCGATAAAGATGAACTGTATAAAATTGCAGAATGACCTTTAGTGCGCCAACAACACAGGGCGCCATGGATCATCATTAACATGTTCAGGCGACAGTTCACATATTTTTCTGGTCAGGTTTGGTTTGAGTGTTTGTTGTTCAACGCCGCACTCAGCAATAGTTCAGCTATGTGACGGCGGACTAAAAATAATCAATTCTGTACAAGACAACCCAGTGATCGATATTGTGTGCAACGTTCCCCTCCGAAGAGGTACAACGACGCTCACTCAACCAAGTCACCGGGCCTGACCATCCGTTCCATAAAGTCACCCTTTACGACCTGGGGGGCTGTTCCACAAAGCTATCGTAGCGCTAAGGTGATCTTAACTCCCATACTTTAACGTAGACTTAACTGCGCAACGATCGCTTAGTGGAACAAGGTCCAGTGGAACTGGGAAGCAATTCTAACCGGCATCCCCACGTGGTTTTCTGTTTTTGATTCTGCTTTCGAATTAGACCGACATGAATCGCTGGTTGCAGTAGAGATTACGAAAAATAGGTTAGGTTTTTTTCGTCTGACCGCTCTATCATTGATGAATTATGAAAATATAAATAAACTGCTATTATATATCATAATTCTTGACCAAATGCATGGTATAAGCTACTGCACTGCAACCACCTTATATAGAGACGTATTCCCTGATAGAAATAAATACCTATTCGTGTTTCGTTTTAAATTGTTAACATTCTACACTTTCAACAGATTAATAGCTTTCATATTTCTCACGGATCCGATCGACCAAATTTTATGTCAATAAAAATGTTTTTATATATTCATATATATATATTCAAGTCCGTAAACCCTGAAATATTAAAAAATGTGACCCAAGTAATGTTTTTACGGGGACCCGTTACATAACGGATCGTCATCAGCAGCCTACGCAAGCTTCATCAATGGAGTGGGTGAGTTAGTGAGTGTGGTTTTACGCCGCTTTTAACAATATTCCAGCAATATCACGGCGGGGGACACCAGAAATGGGCTTCACACATTGTACCCATGTCGGGAATCGAACCTGGGTCTTCGGCGTGACGAGCTTACGCTTTAACCACTAGGCTACCCGACCGCCCCATCAATGGAGTGGGTGAGTGAGTGAGTGAGTGATGGCAATAAATGAGTTGTGAGCGATAGATAAATGAGTGAGTGAGTGAGTGAGTGAGTGAGTGACATCTCCCTTTGTTTAAATTGGACCAGGAAGCCACATATCCGCTCATTTTTTGACGTACCCGAGCCATCGGGTAAAGACGTTTCTGCTGTGTGATGTTTGAGTGACATTACATCGCCATATCTGTATCTCCCCGATAACGAGTTGTATCACATGACGTCCGTCCTATCCATGGCGTTCACTCCCCAGATGAAATATCAACAACACGAAATGAAAATCGAGTGTGACATTGCGTTTAACTGACTTCAGCATCCGTAAGTACTATTTTGTTTTTATCATATATGACTGTATTTATTAGACACATGTTCATTCCTATTGTGTCTATGAATAAAAAATCTTCCTCGTTTACCGTGCTTCTCTGATAAGCTGGGTGACACTGGTCTCGTTTAGGGACCAACCATTTCCTTCTCTATGTACACAGTGGGCCTGTTCTCTTTTCGAAACAAATAATCCGATCGTAATAAAGAGAAAATATAACTTCCGCTATATTTTGATGAGATAACAGAATGAAAATGGAAGCTCAGATTCATGATGTGTGGGTTCCCAAACGATTCTGTAACCGGATGCTGTCGCGTAGTTGCGTCCCTTGCTTGTGTCACGATACGATCATTGTGATCATTAATAGGTCATTGCTATGTCCAACCTCATGGGTGACATGTGGTCCTGTGTACAGCGTAATAGTCACCTCATGGGTGGCATGTGGTCCTATGTACAGCGTAATAGTCACCTCATGGGTGACATGTGGTCCTGTGTACAGCGTAATAGTCACCTCATGGGTGGCATGTGGTCCTATGTACAGCGTAATAGTCACCTCATGGGTGACATGTGGTCGTATGTACAGCGCAATAGTCACCTCATGAGTGACATGTGGTCCTGTGTACAGCGTAATAGTCACCTCATAGGTGGCATGTGGTCCTATGTACAGCGCACTAGTCACCTCAGGGGTGGCATGTGGTCGTATGTACAGCGCAATAGTCACCTCATGGGTGGCATGTGGTCGTATGTACAGCGCACTAGTCACCTCATTGGTGGCATGTGGTCGTATGTACAGCGCACTAGTCACCTCATGGGTGACATGTGGTCCTATGTACAGCGCACTAGTCACCTCATGGGTGACATGTGGTCCTATGTACAGCGCACAAGTCACCTCATGGGTGGCATGTGGTCCTATGTACAGCGCACTAGTCACCTCATGGGTGGCATGTGGTCCTCTGTACAGCGCAATAGTCACCTCATGGGTGGCATGTGGTCCTGTGTACAGCGCAATAGTCACCTCATGGGTGGCATGTGGTCCTATGTACAGCGCACAAGTCACCTCATGGGTGGCATGTGGTCCTATGTACAGCGCACTAGTCACCTCATGGGTGGCATGTGGTCCTGTGTACAGCGCAATAGTCACCTCATGGTAGGCATGTGGTCCTATGTACAGCGCACTAGTCACCTCATGGGTGGCATGTGGTCCTCTGTACAGCGCAATAGTCACCTCATTGGTGGCATGTGGTCCTGTGTACAGCGCAATAGTCACCTCATGGGTGGCATGTGGTCCTATGTACAGCGTAATAGTCACCTCATGGGTGGCATGTGGTCCTATGTACAGCGCAATAGTCACCTCATTGGTGACATGTGGTCCTATGTAAAGCGCAATAGTCACCTCATGGGTGGCATGTGGTCCTCTGTACAGCGCAATAGTCACCTCATGGGTGGCATGTGGTCCTTTGAACAACGCAATAGTCACCTCATGGGTGGCATGTGGTCCTCTGTACAGCGCAATAGTCACCTCATAGGTGGCATGTGGTCCTCTGTGCAGCGCAATAGTCACCTCATGGGTGGCATGTGGTCCTATGTACAGCGCACTAGTCACCTCATGGGTGGCATGTGGTCCTGTGTACAGCGCAATAGTCACCTCATGGTAGGCATGTGGTCCTATGTACAGCGCACTAGTCACCTCATGGGTGGCATGTGGTCCTATGTACAGCGCAATAGTCACCTCATGGGTGGCATGTGGTCCTGTGTACAGCGCAATAGTCACCTCATGGGTGGCATGTGGTCCTATGTACAGCGTAATAGTCACCTCATGGGTGGCATGTGGTCCTTTGAACAACGCAATAGTCACCTCATGGGTGGCATGTGGTCCTCTGTACAGCGCAATAGTCACCTCATGGGTGGCATGTGGATCTATGTACAGCGCAATAGTCACCTCATGGGTGGCATGTGGTCCAATGTAAAGCGCAATAGTCACCTCATAGGTGGAATGTGGTCCAGAGTACAACGCAATAGTCACCTCATGGGTGGCATGTGGTGCGCACGCATTCATTAACCCGGGCAATAATGTTGACATGTCATGGTTTGAGCAGTTATGAATTCGAATGTGCGCTATTCAAATTAATGATTTCGAGTGGTGGGTCTCGTCAAACACGACCTGCGTCAATTCGGGCTTTACTCATATGTTATATTATTTTAAGTACCCAGTCGTACAAGAAGGCTGGAAGAATCCTCCCCTGCACAAATCAGGAGCGCTGCGTCTTGATTAAATGTAGCAGCGATTGCAAACAAACCGTTGAGTAAGCATTGCATGGTGCCCTGTTGTTTCGTTACATCAAACCAGTACTCAAGTTGCTTGTGATATCTACCTTTACGTTGACCTGCCGTGATGCGGCTGAAATACTTTTCAAAGCGATGTCTAAGGCAACTCGCTCACCTGAGGAGGGGGAATAGTGGGTACATAAAGGACGCTTTAGACGACTGGACCATCCGTGTCCCCGCTTACAGGTAATATTGGGTACATAAGGGACGCCTCAGACGACTGCACCATCCGTGTCCCCGCTTACAGGTGATAGTGGGTACATAAGGGACGCCTCCGTTAATAGGTGATAGTGGGTACATAAGGGACGCCTCCGTTAATAGGTGATAGTGGGTACATAAGAGACGCCTCAGACGACTGCACCATCCGTGTCCCCGCTTACAGGTGATAGTGGGTACATAAGGGACGCCTCCGTTAATAGGTGATAGTGGGTACATAAGGGAAGCTGAAAGGGAACCAATGGTTTGTCTGGTCCAATCTTGATTATTCACAGCCCGTCGCCATAATGCTGTAATATTGTTGAGTGCGGCGTTAAACAACAAGCAATTTACATAATGACTTATCTTATCTCGGCAATCATATTGTTGACTGAGACATGAAACAATATTAACCAGTTGGGCGCGGTTGGGTAGCCTAGTGGTTAAAGCGTTCTCTCATCATGCCGAAGGCCCGGGTTCGATTCCCCACGTGTGTACAGCGTGTACAATGTGTACCAATGTGCCCATTTCTGGAGTCCCCCGCCGTGATATTGCTGGGATATTGCTAAAAGCGGCGTAAAACCATACTCACCCACTCTTAACCAATTGTAATTTTTACAACGAAATCGTGAGTAATGCGTGAAAATGTTTTTACGCTGCATTTGATCACACAGCAACTACATCACTCTCAGCTCCCCGGGGAGTATACATCCCAGCTGTCTGTAAGGAGCTGGAAGGTTCCGCATTCACATTTCAACCTCATCCTACCGGATACCCATTTGATGCTTTGAGAAACAATTCTAACAACGTCACCCGCAAAAGGCGAGACCGTTGTTCAGCGTGGGGGAGGACTATCCCAGCTGGGGGACATCAACAGTGGGCATCATACTTGTAAGAATGAATATATGTTGTTTAGTGCCGCAGCCCAGCAGAAATATCCAGCTATGTCACGCAGCTATCCGGTTGGAGCACAATCCATGGTGTCGAGTGAACTCCCATCCAAGGCATCAACCACCGCCCGGACATCAAAAGAGTTGATAGATTAATTTCACTTTGCATAGACACTGCCCATGGGGGCTCTCGGCTGCAACAGGTTTTTGTTAGTCGTGGTTAAGCATTTTCTGCAATTCGAATACAAAGATTATCATTTCATCAGACAACATTGTTCTTGGCGCCGTGTTTATGCCTCGCATAAAGTTGTTCTTGTTTTTACATGTAGTCCACCACACTTAAATCAAGCGGTCGACCACGATGGAGATGAATAACGAGAGGCGACGTCTGACCCGCTCCCCCACCAGTGTCAGCGACTACAGTGGCCTCAGCAACACAGCCTTCAGCGACAACATCTCCCGGGAAGGTAACGTAACACCTGTTGTGCATGCAGTCGTCGTGCCGTCTTTGATAAATGGTACTCTCTTTGATAAATGATACTCTCTTTGATAAATGGTACTCTCTTTGATAAATGATACTCTCTGTGATAAGTGACACTCTCTCTTTGATGAATGATACTCATCCTTTGATAAATGATACTCTCTTTGATAAATGATAGTCTCTTTGATGAATGATAGTCGCTTGACTTTTGCATGTGTTTGTGACGGGTTTCACCGGTGGGACAGGATACGCTCACGTTTTGGCTCATGATATAGTCGTAATTGTACAATCGACTCTGTTTTGGGAAGAGATTTCTTATGAATACGGAAAGGGTTTTGTCGCTTTTATTTGATAAATGGTACTGTCTCTTTGATAAATGGCACTCTCTGGTTCTCTGGTCCGCGTGCGTCACGAGGAAATTATTCTTGCATTGTCAGTAGAGCTCTCGGACACATAAAACAACGATAAAGGTCCCCCGAGACATCCTGAGTCAGTAGAGCTCTCAGACACATAAAACAACGATAAAGGTCCCCCGAGACATCCTGTGCTCGGACGCATAAAACAACGATAAAGGTCCTCCGAGACATCCTGAGTCAGTAGAGCTCTCAGACACATAAAACAACGATAAAGGTCCCCCGAGACATCCTGTGCTCGGACGCATAAAACAACGATAAAGGTCCCCCGAGACATCCTGAGTCAGTAGAGCTCTCAGACACATAAAACAACGATAAAGGTCCCCCGAGACATCCTGTGCCCGTACAGCTCCCAGACGCATAACACAACGATAAAGGTCCTCCGAGACATCCTGTGTCAATACAGCTCTCGGACGCATAAAACAACGATAAAGGTCCTCCGAGACATCCTGTGCCGGTACAGCTCTCGGACGCATAAAACAACGATAAAGGTCCTCCGAGACATCCTGTGCCGGTACAGCTCTCAGACACATAAAACAACGATAAAGGTCCTCCGAGACATCCTGTGCCCGTACAGCTCCCAGACGCATAAAACAACGATAAAGGTCCTCCGAGACATCCTGTGCCCGTACAGCTTTCAGACGCATAAAACAACGATAAAGGTCCTCCGAGACATCCTGTGCCCGTACAGCTCCCAGACGCATAAAACAACGATAAAGGTCCTCCGAGACATCCTGTGGCCCTCAGACGGCACCACGTGCCCTTAAGTCTGAGAGAAATCAGGTGCCAGTAATTGAATTTTGTTTGAGTTTTAGACTCCCCCAGGGTTAGCTGCCAGCCCTCCCCTGAGCCCCGACACCGACAAGAACGCAAGACTATGGATGAGGTCATCTACAACATGCGCTATTCCCACGAGAACCAAAGGTACATCTTCTAGCTCACCTGACTGAAAATCAAGTGAACCCAGGTCGTCGCGCGATGTCCGCCGTCTGCCGTCGTTTGGGCATTTTGGCATCTTCTCATCATCGGCTTTTACCACAAGGCTACCCCCACCGCCCCTTGTTCTTAAGAACCACGGGGCACATGGTGTAAACTGTCTGTGAATGGTAATGACAAAAGCAAGATCCATGTTTGTTCAAGGCATCACTGTTTGCACTCAACATCATTTGCGTAAACAAAGTTGCAAAAATATTTTGTAAATTTTTTGCTGGAGTCTTTTGCACAACTTCAGATTATTGGACTAAAATAAGTGAAAAAACAATTCTTCACAAGTTAGGTGGTCGACAGAGCCTTGTGGTCCTATGTTTGCCCCTTACCGAGGCATTTATGCATGTGTGAGTATCAAATCTGATATGCAGCCAGTATTTTGTATGCAGTATAACACATAATATGTATTGGGTAAATTTTGATGAAGCTTTAGCCTTCATTTACCCTACTTTTCTCCTGTTAGTGTCAGACCGCCTCCATGGTCTAGTGGTAGAGCGTCCGCCCGGAGAGCGGAAGGTCCGGAGTTCGATCCCCGGCCGCGTCATACCAAAATACGTTAAAAGATGGTACTTGTTGTTACCCTGTCTGGCGCTCGGCATTAAGGGGCGAAAACAGGGACTGGTCGGCTCGGAGTCAGTATACTGTGTCTGAGTTGGGTATTCATGTTAAACTGCGGCATGGTATCTCAGTGTGCTAGCCCGGACTAGTACAAGCAGCCACACACACACACACACACACACACACGTGCATTCACGTCGCTATATAAGTGCAATAATCTTAGACACGACGTTAAACCCAATTTCACCTCACCTCACCTCACCTGTTAGTGTCACCGTCATATAGCTGGAATATTGCGGCGTTAAACAAACAAACAAACAAACTGACAGTGTATAAAGCCGCATAAACCCCAACTCACTCACTCACTCACTGATGGCAGGTTCGACTGGTCGGACGACATCGAGGCTGTGAAATCAGGGGAGATGGAGGCCGGGGGTTCGGTGCATCAGGACTTCCTCAACAAACTGCGTGAACAGCCTCTCCATATGCAACAGAAACTCAAACTGTCCAGGTACTAACGGATACAACCAGAGTTAGGCAGGTGCCTTCTTAGCAGTACACTAAGTAGGAAGTTGTCTCCACCACTTTACTACACACTTGGTAAAGCCTTCAATAGTATACCACAGGCAGGCAATTGTATTCACCAGGGCCCCGTTCCTCAAAGCGATCTGAGCGCTACAATGATCGTAAGCCAATGTTAAAGTATGGGACTTACAATCACCTTAGCGCTAAGATTGCTTTGAGGAACGGGGACCTGTATACTACAGGTTGAGACTCCGGGGTAGAATTGGTCTTCAGCAACCCATTCCTGTCGTAAAAAGCGACTACGCTTGTCACAAGAGGTGACTAACGGATCGAGTGACCAGGCTCGCCGACTTGGTTGATGCATGTCATCGTATCCCAATTACGTAGATCGATGCTCATGTCAATCACTGGATTGTCTGGTCCAGACTCGATGTTATATATAGCCGTCTTATAGCTGGAATATTGCTGATTGTGGCGTTAAACAACAAACAAACAAACTGCAGGTTGACAATAGTCTTAAATAGTAAACCAAAGATAGGCAGATGCTTTTTCAGTGTACAACATGGAGGCAATTGTCTTCACCGGTATAATGCAGACTGACCAAAACCTTAAATAGTTTTCCCCCGGTTGGCAGATACCACAGGTAGATGTTGCTTGCCCTCCGTATGTATTCCGGGTTAGAAGACCCGTGAAGATTCCGGGGTGGAATAGGTCTTCAGCAACCCATGCATGCCGTAAAAGGCGACTATGCTTGTCGTAAAAGGCGACTAACGGGATCGGGTGGTCAGGCTCGCTGACTTGGTTGATGCATGTCATCGATCCCAGTTGCGTGGATCGATGCCCATGATATTAATCACTGGATTGTCTGGTCCAGACTCGATTATTTATAGACCGCCGTCATATAGCTGGAATGTTGCTGAGTGCAGCGATAAACAACAAACCATCCAATCAACCAACCGGGTTAAAAAAGGCCAACATTACCACTGTGTCTAGACATGAAAACCACCTCTATCACATGCAATTAAACACGGAATAAAATAAACATTCTGAGGTCAAATAAAATCCTGTACCTTCCCTTCATTAATATGTTGATATTCATGTCAGTTCGGGCTATTTTGATACAACATTATAATATGTGTATTCAATAACAGATACTGCTGATGTTTATATTTCTGCCCCATGTACAGATACCTCAGAAGCAATCTTGACGCAGATTCCATGTACACAAGCTTAAAAAATAGAACAACGAAATCCCAGGTAATGCTACAGACATATAATGATGGAAAGTTATAAGGGAACGAGTGAAAAGGGAAGCAAGCCTTTGACGTGACATCACGTTTTTGAAACATCACGTTTTTGAAACATCACGTGTTTAAAGTGACATGCGTTTAACGTGACAGCACGTGTTTGAAGTGACATCATGCGTTTAACGTGACATGACGTGTTTGAAGTGGCACCAAGTGCTGAAAGTGACACTACCTGTTTGACTTGAGCTCACGTTTGGGAAAAGGGAAGCAAGCCTTTGACGTGACATCACGTTTTTGAAACATCACGTGTTTGAAGCGACTTCATGCGTTTAACGTGACAGCACGTGTTTGAAGCGACTTCATGCGTTCAACGTGACAGCAGTGTTTGAAGCGACTTCATGCGTTCAACGTGACAGCAGTGTTTGAAGTGACATCATGCTTTTAACGTGACATGACGTGTTTGAAGTGGCACCAAGTGCTGAAAGTGACACTACCTGTTTGACTTGAGCTCACGTTTGTCAACACCTTACCGTTTGTGGGTTTCTCCAAGTGGTAAAAACCACAGCACCAGCACCACTTCGCCCATCCACTCACATCTAGCTGACACGCCGGAAGTTCTGTTCATTGCGACGTTCACCCCAACTGACACACGTCATCATTGGCGGATCCAGGTGCGTGCGTGCGTGCGTGCGTGCGTGCGTGCGTGCGTGCGTGCGTTACTTTATACTGGCTTTCGTTCAAATAATAAACGTCAACGCCAGAGAATACCCAGTCTCAATTATCCGCCGAAACAGATTCCATTGGCACAAAAGGCAAAACAGCAGTGAAATTTATATGTGAATGGATAAATTTTTGACACCAGTTGTACTCGAAAAGGGCAAGCATCCACTACTCACACATCTTGCTACACATATAAGAGCCTGCTGGCCGACGTCGCACAGCAATACGTCTTCCCTGTGACGACGGCCTCAAACTTATGTTATCAAAGGCTCTGTTTTATGTTTTTCAACGACACATAATGTTTTCATTCAACATTAAAGTTACTTTATGACGTATGTGTTTGTGTAAACCGCCAGATATTTGCTGCACTGTCTGCCTTGTTGTGAAATACTTGGAAATATATTTTCATATATTCAAGGCTTCAAGGATCTACGGTGACTTTGGAATCGGACTGTGGAGAAAGAACATAACAAAGATATCTGGTAGGCATGTTATAACACTGTCGAAGGTGCTGCAGTGTTCCTTTTTCACTGGAATACGGACCGCCTCCGTGGTCTAGTGGTAGAGCGTCCGCCCGGAGAGCGGAAGGTCCGGGGTTCGATCCCCAGCCGCGTCATACCAAAAGACGTTAAAAGATAGTACTTGTTGTTACCCTGTCTGGCACTCGGCATTAAGGGGAGAAAACAAGGACTGGTCGGCTCGGAGTCAGTATACTGTGTCATGTTTCGTGGGTATTCATGTTTAACTGCGGCATGGTATCTCAGTGAGCTAGCACTATAAATCGGCATCAGTCCGGACTAGTACAAGCAGCCACACAAGTACATGCACGTCGCTATATAAGTGCAATAATCTTGGACGCGACGTTAAACCCCATTTCACCTCACCTCACTGTAATACAAAATGCACAGAGAACTTCAGCTGACCTCAGACCAGGGATGAGTACTCCATTACTCAGTTGGACCACCATGCCGAGATTCCAGGTTAGAACAGGACCCGAGCCACCTTTGAGGCCATTAAGTGGATTGGGTGGTCAGGCTCGGTGACTTGGTTGATGCGCTGGATCATTGCTCTTAATATCAATCACTGGGTTGTCTGGTCCAGACTCGATTATTTACAGACCGCCGCCATATAGCTGGAATAGTGCTGAGTGCGGCGTTAAACAAGAAAACACACACACTGTACAGTTGATTGGATACGTTAATCAAAGAGTATCTGAAAGAGCTTATGGTGTCTGTTAAAAATACTATATTATGGGCTATGTTGTATTCGCTCCCCCGGTAGCCTACCACGGCAGCAACGTCGCCTCCTACTTCCTCTTCCTGCGGTTCCTCACCTACCTCAACGTATTCATAGCCCTGCTCCTCCTTGCCTTCATCAGTGTACCACAGGTAGGCAGGTTCTTTCATCACTATACCACAGGTAGGCAGATACTTTCACTTGTATAGCATAAGAAGGCAGATACTGTAATCAGTATACAGGTAGGCACATGCCTTCATCAGCTGCAGGATACAATCTAGAGACAAGAGGTAGGTAGAAACACTATTACTAATCACCGGTGTACCACAGCTAGGCATATATAGTCACCAGCGTACAACCAGGTATATTATTTTCGCGAGCCTTCTGAGAGTACCAAACAATTGAAAAACTTCATATTGTACCAACCGAGAAAGTCTGTTACAACACATATGAACATTACTCCGTTAATCCGGATATACCTAGTATATTGATACAGAATATTTCTCATGAAGCGGTACCTTCCATATTAGAATTTTCCACAATTCATGTGTTTCAGATCCTCTCAGGGGATGCGACCATTCCAGACGACGTTGTCGGATATTTTGTACGTAGATGATGCAATGTTCATTCCCCGATTGCCAATCGTAATTTGGGAAACGAGGTCTTGTCCATCTTGAGTGAGTGACTGAATTGGGTTTCACGCCACTTTGAACAGTATTTCAGTTGTAGTATGGCGTATCAGATCATTTTAGTGGGGATGGTCAACATGTAGATTTGGTTTGGTCGAAATAAGTGAGTTTTACGCACCTTTTAGCAATAAGCCAGCAATATCGCACTTTGTACCCAGGCTGGGATTTTGGAGCCATATTTGAAAAACAGATATTTTTAAAAATTAAAACGATGAGCCTTAATATTTATTTTGCAACAGTGTATTTTTCTTTGCTGACAATTTCATTTATTTCAACTGCCAGAAGATTTATTATTTTTTCAAGCTTAATCTGGGACAATCTAAACTGAACTGCAAAAGAAACTTTGCACATTTGAAAATAATGTGATTTTAAATTAGTTGTACTGTGTCAAACCAAAATAGGCACAAACACATAGGCCAAATGCATTGTTGTTGTACCTGTACGTGCTTTTGAGAAAATGCGAAAAATGTAAAATCACATGATGACATTGCTGGTAGAAATGCACGTGCAAAGATGGGGCTATAAAAACTGCACAGTAGTAGTGCCAAACATCCCCATTGTAAAATAACACACATTTGAAATGCCAAGAACAACGTGAGCGAGCAATTGGGATGCTCAAGATGTGGGCCACGCAAGAACCTTTGGCTGTTCCCGTGTTGCCGTTGGAAACAGTGTTTCAGACAGACTGCAAGGACATCTGACAGTCCCAGGACAGGAAGACCACGGGTCACTACGCCACAGGAAGACCGGTATCTGCGAACGTTGTACCTTCGCAACCGCTTCCTCACAGTGACGTTATCAGTGAATGCTTTTGGTCGGCGGGTGAGCACAAACACATTGACCAGACGACTTCGGGCAGCAGGTATCAGTGCCTCCCGACCTTTCAGAGGACAGATGTTGACCGCTGAACATCGACGCAGACGAATACGATGGGCTAATACAATGCGACGGTGGCAGCGTCGGGATTGGCAACGCGTGGTTTTTACGGACGAAAGCAGGTTCTGTTTGTTTAGAGTTGATGGCAGACAGCGTGTTTACCGTCGCAGAGGTGAACGGACAGCTTCTTGCTGCGTTCAAGAAGTCGTTTTTTACAGTTGAGGTGGTTATAAGACGAGGGGTGGAATTTATGGGGACCAGACAACGCCACTCGTCGTCATCAATGGAAACCTCAATGCGCATTGGTATAGAGATGACATCCTCCGTCAAGTAGTGCTGACTTTAGTACCAACACGATAACGCCTGGCCTCACACAGCTCGTATCGTTGTGGACTTCCTTGCCAACAACAACGTCAACGTCTTACCGTGGCCGACATGTTCTCCTGACTTATCACCCATAGAACACCTTTGGGACGTCTTGGACAGGCGAGTTAGAGTCCGACCACACCCTCCCGCCAACAGACAAGAATTGATACGAGCTCCACAAGGTGAATGGAACCGCTTGCCACGTGACCACGTTTGACGTTTTCCGTCCGACGCAGAGCCTTTGCATATATGAAGGCCCCGGGAGGCCACCTTCGATATTAAAGTAACAAATTTTATGTCTGTGACCACTTTCCGTGATTGAACGAATTGCAGTGAAAACCTGGACAACTAAATTTTCAACTCCCACTGAGTTTGTTTGTCTAGTGTACACTATTTGACCACAAAATGTCAAGTTTGAATTGTTCAATACTTTGTGGAATTGTTGGTTTATTAAATATACTTTACCTCAAACTTCTGTTATCTTATAGTTTATAAATTACAGTCACTTCAATCTGGTGCAAAGTTTCTTTTGCCGTTCAGTTTATTTTTTTTCGATAAGATCACTAAATTGTAAACATTTGGGTGGGGCTTATTTATTGAGTCGGACTGTCCTGAAAATCGAGGTATGTTTAACATTGTCTAATGTGGTTGAATGTATAGAAGGTTACGTGTTTGTACAGGGGGAGCTATCCACAAGCGTCATGTTCTACGGGGCGTACAGCAACACAACATGGGGGTATTATGAACGACCGATGGCATACTTCCTCACATGGGGCTCCGTCAACTTGCTGTCTTTTATTGTCATAATTCTCAGGTAAAACTATTTTATTCCAAAGTGATTTTAAAAAAAACATGACCGCAAAGTAAATTACATCACACGTTAGGTCTTAGGAGTAACTCTGCTCCATTACTCTTGCTACCTAGGGCAGCCTTTAAAAAAGACAAGGTTGGTGCACATACTACCACGGAGTACAGATATCAGATCACCGCTTTATCGACAGAAAACATAAACAGGCATAAACATTATATTTCATATCATTATTTTCTGTATTTGTGCGTATTTTCCATCTGACATAGCCCATTCCCTCTTCGTTCAACGGCGCTTAGCGAAAATGGGTAATATTAGCACCTTTCCCTTCCATTGTGGGCTGAAATTTAGAACTCCGTTTTCTTCTCGTGGCACCTGTTGGATTATAACAGTACACACATTTATTTATTAACCTCTATGCTCTCTAAAGGTACCGCGATTTGCCATGCAGAATTGCCAGGAACTTAAGATCGTAGATTCTAATCCCAGGTTCTCTCTTATATTTCTAGGTTGTCAGCTCGTGGGTTTCACTGAAGTTGTAAAGGTCTTAGATGTGTATCACTTTGAGCTCCCCCTTCCTTTAAGCCGACTCGCCGTGATATAACTGAAATATTGTTCAAAGCGGTGTTAAACCACACTCAATATATTGTCTGGTCGCATAGTACTGGTGACGTTATAATCTTGAACTGTAACTGGTTTTAGAACGGCAGTATAGTAATTCCAGTTATCTTCTCCAGTATGTTGTTTCGGTTCCGGAGGACCAAATACAGCAGTTCTGACGAGGAGCTGACTTACACCTGGCGTCTCTTCACGTCCTGGGACTACTCTGTGTATGAGAAGCAAGGAGCCAGTGACCGGAAGGAAGCCATTAAAACGGCAATGTTGGTAAGGGGGAGTAACTCTGTTCAAGGGAAACTTGAACCTTATTGATAACAGGATGATAATTGTAAGTATTATGTTCTTTGGACTGTATGTTTGATTAATTTTCTAACAACAAATCACTTTTAAAGACAGACTAACTTAGCTTGTTTTGTCACTTGCATTTTGACACACCTAATATTTTCGTTCCTTTCTACATAAATACTCTAATAGAGGGTGAAAAATCTGGACATTTCACCATTACTTTTGTAAATAACATAAACATTGTCAGTCATAATTTGAATTTTGGTCGGTGCACAATCAAATGCAAGTAAACATTTTGAATCGTCCTTGAAAAGGAGTTACGTAGTCTTAAACTCATAATTGATAAGAATGCGATTACACTGACATCTCCAAAGACCGACTAGGACAGTGAGTGAGTGAGTTGGGTTTAACGCCGCTTTTAACATTATTCCAGTGAAGAACAGAAAGGTGTGAAGTAGAGTTTCCACGTCCACATACGACGTAAGCAGTATAAATATTCCGTGTGTTTTATGGTAAATGTAGCCATAGTGGTGAGGTGAAATTGGGTTAATGTCGCGTCCAAGATTATTGCACTTACATAGCCGAGCGCCAGGCAGGGTAGCAACAAGTACCAACAAGTACCATAGAACAGCCTGTGCATATTTTGTCAGCATCCATCCACTGATTTCTAGGAACTTGTGCGGGAAGACCGAGGGAGGAAAAAAAGGAAACAGCGTGGGCTGTGCTCAAGGTAATGATGAGTTTGGTGTTGCTGCTGCTCATGATAATGATGTTAATGGTGGTGATGAGGTTGATGATGTTGGTGAAGTGGTGTTGGTGATGAAGTTGATGGTGGCGATGATGTTGATGAAGCTGGTGATGCTAATGCTCACATGTGGACTTCCCACATGCGCTAAGCTGACATACCGTGATATAATTATAGTACGCTAGGCGACGTAAAAGACAACTCACTTTACATTTGTATACGCCCCCTGAAGATCAGGATTACAGCTGGTCTTCATCAACCCATGCTTGTAAGAGGTGACTAACGGTTTGGGTGGTCCAGCTCACTGACATGGTTGATGTATGTCATCGTATCCCAATTGTGTAGACTCGATTATTTACAGACCGCCGTCATACAGCTGGATTATGACTGACTGCATCGTTAAAAACAAACCAGCCTTTGTATACACTGTGGGGTAATGAACGCTTTACCCCAACCACGACACTCACTCTGAAATACCTGATGGTATGTGAACATGGATTCACGTTTAGATTGGTGCCAAGTGTGCTATTTTTCATATCGCTATATAACTTCGAAATGCCTTACAAATGTCATGGTTAAAATGATAACGAAGTTTAAAATAAGTTCTGGTACCTCAAGGACAGACGTTGAAATAAATGTATTGTTAACATAAATACGTATATACGTGAATCCAGTTATAAATATACCGTTACACGAGTAAACTGATCAAATCCATGGTCATTGAGCACATGACCACGCTTAATGGACAGAATAATTCACAATATAAACCTTTGGATTCAGAAATTGAAAAGGGGACGATCAGTCTTAATCCAAAGGGGCACACTTTCTAAATTACAGCTGCTTAGTTTCACCGATTTCGAAGATGGAGCAAATGTATTATTCTTGGCACTGAATTAGCATGTCAGTGAGTGTTCCGTGGCGCACCTGAAAAAGGAAACATTTCTATACTGTATGCTATCACAGTTTGTACAACATTTACGTCACCGTCGGCGTAGGTGCTTGCTGGTGTTGCTGAGGCTGGTGGTGAACGTGCTGGTATTGGCGGTGTTGGGAGGCAGTGGCTACCTCATCTTCCTTGTAGCCAACATCAAAGAGACGACGGTGCCTTTACCAGATTTCTTCAACGATTTCCTGGATAGATACGAGGTGAGTGGGATCCTAGCCCAGTCATAGCGCCATTTGGTCGAGTCTGGTGCACACAAATCGCAGGCTGATGGAGGGAGCATGTTTGTTTTCTTAGGGGACACATCCGAATCCAAGTTTGCTAATGAACAACATCCTCGGGAGCCAGGGGTATATTCATAGTTGTCAACAATTCTCTTAGCTTCACCTTGCCTCGGCTCGTTAGGGTCAAACACATTTCCCCTCTTGGCGGTAGCGCCGATTGAACTAGCAGTACCCACTTGCAACTTTGCTCGGATATTTCCGGTGCCCTCACATTATTCTCTATCCATAGCTATACATTGCCTTTCAACAAATTGCCTTTGCCAAGCGCACATGTGCCGTGCTTGGCGCCAAGAAGACTAAGGGAGATAACTCTCAGTTCCCTCGGGCTTAGTGAAGTTCTATTTACCTAACACTTATTAAAAGTGAATTTAAGTTACTCCAAATTACATACAATATATAACCAACGAGCTACCCGGGATTACGGTGTTAATGTCCGTATATCCATGATCGTATATCGTTCAATAATGTTCAACTTCACAATTCCCTGTCACTGACTTACCCACCTGACGACGGAGACGAGGGAAACCGCCTCAACTGTTTCACATTTACATCTATGCATAAACATTCAGAGAGACAAAAGAACTATCCACAAGAATATTTTCAAAAATGTTTTATAACTAAAACAGATTTAGACATAACACTCTTATGTTTCAAATATATTTTGTTGCAGCTCCCTCTGGTGGTTACAGGTCTGAAGTTGATAGTCCCCCTTATATTCGACCAACTGATCAGGCTAGAACAATGGCACCCACGAACGGAGCTGAAACTGACAATTGGCAGGTACAGTTGGAGATATTAACGAACAAATAGATTATTTGTTTCTGTTTTGAACTTTTGATTCTGCGAAGCGAAAATATATCCAAAATAATTAAAATATGATAGTGCCATTTAATACCCGTGAAAATCTGGGTTAGAATTGGTCTTAGCTGACTTGCTTGCACACTAAGCTGTCATACCATGATATACCTGTATTACCCTGACCGACGTTAAACCCAACTCTCTTTACATTTGTATACGCCCCCGTGAATATCCGGGTTAGAATTGGTCTTCAGCAAGCCATGCTTGTCGTAAGAGGCGACCAACGAACGGTCAGGCTCCCTTACTTGGTTGATGCATGTCATCGTATCCCAATTGCGTAGATCAATGCTCATGATGTCAATCTCTGAATTGTCTGGTCCAGACTCGATTATTTACAGACCACCGTCCTATACTGGAATATTGTTGATTGCGGCACAAACAAAATGCTAATCATGCCATAGTGTACTGGATTGTCCGTTCCATACTCGATTATTTACAGACCGCCATCATACAACTGGAATACAACGAACGTTAACAACAAACAAACCATTTAAAAAAACAACTGTAAAAAATCTCTAAGCACACTGTGGAAAATGGGTATGGGGATCTTCACTCACCGCCTTATTTCCGTTATCATACAGAATATGCACACATTATTATACAATTTAAAAAATCTCAACGAACATAATTTCGGATAAAGGGGAGGTAACTGTTCAGTTGTCTTAATTATGTTTACTTATTACCTCTATATGTGATGCACATCGCCGGGAATACTTGGGAAAATCTCTGTGTCGAAAGCAAAGCACAATAACTGATTGGTTCCCGCATTTTTTCTGTTAAGAACCGGGTTTGGGGGTAGGGTTATAATGACAAATGTTATGTCCGATTCATGTCCCTATTTCGACTTGTGAACACCAGGTCTCATAACTGTTAGGACGTTATTCATAAACACATGCTCGTGAAATCGTACTGTGGAATCTGCTTTTAGTAAATATTTCTTATGATTATAAAAATGTTTTTGTCGCTTTTGTTATAAAGTAAAAAGCCTGGTACCTATTATAGATCGGGTCACCTACATGTACACTTGGTTTTGGTTGGTTGGTTTGTTGTTTAACGCCGCACTCACCAATATTCCAGACAATCCAGTGATTAATATGATGATCATCGATCCATGCAATTGGGATCGATGACATGCATCAACCAAGTCTGCGAGCCTGACAACCCGATCCCGTTAGTCGCCTCTTACGACAAGCACAGTCGCCTTTTACGGCAAGCACGGGTTGCTGAAGACCTATTCTACCCCGGATCTTCACAGTTAAAGATTCCTCCCCATCACATTTGAACTGCACGATAGTCTACGAGGTTTACTAAACTAAGCCGCTCCTGTTAGTCATAGATACGAATTAAATAGAGGTCGGGCTCTAATAATGGCCAGGTCTAAAGTTCACTCAAATTGTTGAGGTCCCAGGTCTTAATAGAGGAAATGTGGTACTCAGCCCCTCACTTCATGATCTGTTATCGCCAACAGGACAACGTTGTTCTACGTCGCTAGCCTCATCGTCTTCGTCGTCTCCTTGTATGACGTCACTACCGAATGTATCGGCAGCACTGCAAACTCCACCATTGAACAGGTAGTCAGTCTGTTGTGCCAATGGGCGCGGGTGGCCCAGTGAATTCATGCGTCGCATTTCGCTGTAGAGAGCTCCGTCCCCATTCGTGACCAACTCGTGTTATTCCGGGACAAGCCGAATAGCGACTCGTGCCCCTCTCGTGGCCATTTTTACGTACGGGTTCCGTCTTAGCGGGCATACCTAAAACAATTGTCTTCTCGTTGCGTAATGGCTCACGTATATTTCCCCATATACTATTTATATTTCAGATGCAATTAAAAGGGGCACTGATCTAACGCAATTCCCCGGGGCTGGTTGTTGCCTTTGTTATTGTTTTTTTCCCATAGCAGAAATCTAGACTAGTTCGCGACCTCTGCTGCGCCATTCGTAAGCGCATTAGTCACTTTTATGGGTACTAGTAATAAGGGCGTATGGTCACATTGATCAACAAAAGGAAATACAGTTTTCGAGATAATAAGGAAATGTAGGTATCTTTGCGGGTAGCATCGGTAATGGTGACGAAATTTTGATGAGTCACTTGCTTGGTAATTTTGCGATTTTCGTTTATACTATTTTGACTTGCAACACAAAGTAAATATTTCACCTGAGCATTGCTTGGATACTTTTTTTTATTATTAAACTATAACCATCTGGGGTATTTCCAAATGACGACATACGATGAGCTCCGCCGTTCTTTTTGTCTGTTTGTTTAGGCTGAAGAAATTAAGTAACATGCGCCTTTTGTCGAAATCTTTATAGATCACGGTTAAACTAATCAGTGTTCAAAAATGCGTAGGGCGGTCGGGTAGCCTAGTGGTTAAAGCGTTCGCTCGTCACGCCGAAGATCCGGGTTCGATTCCCGACATGGGTACAATGTGTGAAGCCCATTCCTGGTGTCCCCCGCCGTGATATTACTGGAATATTGCTAAAAGCGGCGTAAAACCATATTCACTCACTCACTCAAAAATGCGAAAAAACAAATATTGCCTCCAGCCTCCAAGTTTATTTAGCTGTCCTTGCAGACGGTAGCCCAGTCTCTGGTCACGCTCAGTTGCGTTGCGTATCATCCGGGTACTCACGGGGAAAAAAAACAACAACAAAGGCAACAACCAGTCCGGGGAATTGCGTTAGATCAGTGCCCCTTTCAAGCACATCGGAACATGCGGAATTATACAGTATGCTTGTGGACATATGTAAAATCAAAAATTATTTCTGAGGGATTCTTTGACAAAGAACTTCAAATCATACGCGCATTCTGATAGGTATGTCGTATTTTCGCACATAACATTCATCGATAGGGGGACGAGTCTTCTTGCAGGTTACGGAAAGGGGCGAGTGGTGACGAATGCTCCGTCCCATAACTGTGCCAGAGTCCGCTGCAGGCTCCTCGACAGCGCCGTCCGGTATCGCTCGTTCCTCAAAGCCTTACTTACTAAAATAGCTTGATATCAGCGCCACCTGTCGGTACTGCGAAAAACTTGGGACTCGCTAGTGGTCAGGCGGTCTTAGGCACGTCAGGAACCCCTGGTTCGAATCCAAATTCACCCCCGAGCAAAATCGTGGGTAACGCCGCTTTGGGCAGTATTTCATTTATATCACATCATTGCAGCTGAATGTCGGAGGAAAAAGCCCGAAGTGAAAAATGCAAGTTAAGTAATAGTGAGTGAGTGAGTTGGGTTTAACGCCGCTTTTAACAGTATTCCAGTTATATCGCGGCGTGTCATCTTAATGTGGGAGGAAAGCCCGAAGTGATGCAGGTCTCAGACGTTTACCACTTCGGTGAAACCCACGAGCACGGGTATGGTGCTGACAAACCTAGAAACATAATCGGGTCGAACCGGGATTCGAACCCACAATCATAGGTTTCTGGCGTGCCCAAGGGACGCAACTCTGCACAGCGAATCGCGGCGCCTTAGACGACTGTGCCACCCGTGCCCCCCAGTTAAGTAATAGGTCGTGGCAGATCTGGGAATAGAAACGACGCCAGTCAAATTTGGGACGCAACTGATGCCGTGTATTAAACCACTCGGCCACCCATGCCCCTGGAACACTGAAAAAGTATAGGCCAATTCAGATTTACATGTAGAGAGCACTTCAATGGGATTTCACGAGGACAGGAATACTATGGCAGGCTTCAAAAGGCTTCACATAAACTGTTAAGCTACTTGTTTGGACATTCGCCACCACTCGCAACTTTCCCTGCCACAAATGATGTTGGGAGTGCCATTCATTTCAATTATTACCTGCTCTTTCTCATAATGTATTCATTCTCATAATGTATGTACGTTTGTAAGCCTAATAGAAACATTGATATTGAAAAAAGACAACTACTTTTCACTTTTTATTTTGGATTTGTTTCCGTCCCCCCAAAATGATGGTAAATCCTCACGTAGTATATCATCGAAATATTTTTATGGTAATTATTTTTACTATAGTTATCATTGATTGAGGTTTGTGGATGCCACACGCATGTTCTATTTACGAGTGTTAATTATCAGTACGAAAGAAATAAGTATCCTATAAGTATGTAAAATTCTTTCGGATGCGTTCGGAAGCAATATTCACCAAAGAGTTTCACTTCATGTTAAGAAAACTGCTCAAGAAGACAACTACGGAAACCTATTGGGGACATTCAAAATACACTTTGATTTTAAGCTAACTATATAAGATAATATACTGCATGTGTTAGTGACGGACACACGTTATGCCGCTGTTTTGATTTGTTAATATATGTTTTTTTATTCAAAGAGAAACGCCTCGGAGTTCTGTTGCTGGGAAAACGAGGTTGGAGAGCAAGTGTTTAAAGTACTTATCCTCGATCTGGGCATCACGCTCGTCGTGACACTCCTCTTTGACGTCCTCAGGGCTGTAGTTGTCAAGTCGTGCGGCTGCATTAAGGTATTGAGATGAGCCAGTGTGTTACACCGTCTCACTCACGTTTATACAGCACTGTACAAACTTGGACACCCTTTTACACCGGCGTGTACGGATGATAACGGCTGGGACTCTCTCAAGAGTTGCGTCCCTTGGGCACGCCAGAAACCTATGATTGTGGGTTAGAATCCTGGTTCGCCCCGATTATGTTTCTAGGTTTGTCAGCACCATACCCGTGCTCGTGGGTTTCAGCAAAGTGGTAAACGTCTGAGACCCGCATCACTTCGGGCTTTCCTCCCATAATTAACTGACAAGCCGCGATATAACTGGAATACTGTTAAAAGCGGCGTTAAAACACAGCTCACTCACTCACTCAATGGGACACTCTCTCATACGCATGCGTGTACAGACAATAACAGTTGGGACACTCTCATACACATGCGCGGACAGAATTATGTCCTATAGGTAACCCTCTCACACACACGTGTGCACAGCTTAGACACTGTCACAACGACATTCGTTCACCCACATGTGTGAAGATCCGGGGTAGAACGGGTCTTTAGCAACCAATGCTTGTCGTAAGAGGCGACTAACGGGATCGGGTGGTCAGGCTCGCTGACTTGGTTGATACATGTCATCGATCCCAATTGCGTGGATCGATGCTCATGATATCAATCACTGGATTGTCTGGTCCAGACTCGATTATTTACAGACCGCCGTCATATAGCTGGAATATTGCTAAGTGCGGCGTTAAACAACAAACAAACAGCAACAAAATTTGGACACCGTCTCACTCTTGTGTGTTCTCTCTGTTGAAGATACAGTACAGTGAGATGGCCGTAGCTTCCGGTGTGTTGGATCTGACCTATGGTCAAGCTCTGGTCTGGCTTGGTCTCTACTTCTGTCCATTTCTGGCACTGGCGGGCGTGGTCAAACTTGTTATCCTCTTCTACTTTCAATATGTCATTGCCCGCACGTGCTACGTGGCGCCAAGAAAGGTGTTCCGAGCCTCAAGATCCGGGAACTTCTACATGTTTATTCTGCTCCTCAACCTCTTCTTCAGCCTCCTCCCTCTGGGATACGCCGTCATAGAGTACGTTAAGGGATTTTTAATATTCTTGTGCGTTCTGGGAATTTTGTTAGAGACAGACTATTTTCTTTCAGCCAGTGCTTCAAATCTATTTACTTTTCCGACTCAAAACACATTTAAAAAGCACGGTATGGTGCTAATTAAACTACAATCACACACAGGGCGAACTGGGGTTCAAATCCATGATAACAGACTACTGGCCCGACTGAAACGATCTCACTCTGAACAGTGAAATTGCACTTAGAACCCGTGAAGATCCGGGATAGAATTGGTCTTCAGCAACCCATGCTTGTCGTAAGAGGAGACTTACGGGATCGAGTGGCCAGACTCGCTGACTTGGTTGATGCATGTCATCGTATCCCAATGGCGTTGATCGATGTCATGATAGCAGTCACTGGATTGTCTGGTCCAGACTCGATTATTTACAGACCGCCGTCATAAAGCTGGAATATTGCTGATTCTGGCGTTATACAACAAACAAACAAACAAACAAACTAACAAACAAACTACAGAACAAACACAGGAACGCACGCACTAAGACGACTGGATCACCCGGCCCCCTTGGGATTGTGAAAGCTGCGGGAAAAGAGGCGACGAAAGGTTTTATTCTCGAGGGTTCAAAATTCGTGTAGTCGATAAAAAATGTTTATCTTGCCAAACAATAAAAAACAATATGATACTCTGTGGCTCGTTCCCTATTCAGAAACAGACTCGTCCGACGCCAAATTGCGTGCAACACGAAATTCTATTAAAAAATGGCAAAGGACAATTTGTATTTGTGTAACATTATTTAGATTCAAGATAAAGTGTAAATTATTTAGATTCAAGATAAAGTGTAAATTATTTAGATTCAAGATAAAGTGTAAATTATTTGGATGCAAGTTAAACTGACTTGTTAAGATGATATTTTAAATGAGAAACCGTAGCCAATCACATGCACTTTATCATTAATAATTTTGAGACATTTTCAAACATGACACCCAGTGGCCGAATTGGAAAGCCACTGTAGTTTTTTAAATGTAGACTTTTTCACGCGATGTACGGGTTCGATTCCCAGGGATGCGGTTATGTTTTATGAAAATTGGCAGTTGTTCGGATAGATATTGTAAATAATATTTACATGGGTCTGACACAAACAACTTTATTTCAAATATGTAGAAACTTAGAATCCACCTTTTTATCACGAGACACGTATGTACGTACTAACAAACAAACAGAATAAACCCCCTCATCAAAACTAACAACAAAACTTATCATTTATTTTGTGTTCTTTGTCCTTTTTCGTTATAATAATTTCACACTTTACTAAATAAAACTTTTAAACTGCAAACTGTGCGCAAAATGCCCTTAAGATCGGATCTATCGGCTTTGTGGTGTCATTGATCGGATCGACCTTCCTTTAGTGCGGTCAATTTTTTTAGCTTCGGATCCTAGTTATCGGGCGACGCAAAGCTTGCCTTTGAGGTCTAAAAGTTCGTATACCTTAGTGAATCCGAATTAATGTCCATGCGCACGCGATGGACGACGAAAGTACTGACTGAAAGACCCGGGTAACGGGGATCCGAACATACTGCCAACTGGCGGACCCGCAACGTGTGGCTTTTGGAGCGGTTGACATTAATTAAAGGGGATCCGAAATTGAAGTGACAGGTGCGCACGACAATGTTTATTGACTGAGATCCGAATATTTAGAAGAAAAAAACAAAAACGTATTAAAATCGTCCACTCCCTCTCTCTCCACCAGCTACAAAAAAGTGGAGTGGACAAAATGATGTTTCAAGCTTTTCGGGAAGAGTATGAAGTGTCCACATCTCAACGATAGTCTTTAAATCGAGAATGAAGTAGGATGTGTAATGAATGTCAAATCTTGCGGGGTGCGGGTACAATGTTAAATCTAGCGAAATACATGTGCGTGAAAAATCAAATTAAAGATGTGTTAATGCCAAATATTTTAGAACATGCATGCATGTCTGAATGTCACCATAATGGGATATAGGAGTGTGATTGCCATCTTCTTCTTTAACTTCGAGGAGTGGTGCGACGCTATTCACTGTACAGAGTTGCGTCCCTTGGGCACGTTGGTTCGAATCCCGGTTCGCCCCGATTATATTTCTGGATCTGTCAGCATACCGTGCTCGTGGGTTTCAACAAAGTGGTGAACATCCTGCATCACTTCGAGCTTTCCTCCCTCATTTTCTGACACGCTGTGATATAAATGAAATCCTGTTCAAAGTGGCGTTAAACCTAACTCACTCACTCTTTCCCTTCAGACTTCAGCCATCCGATGACTGCGGTCCGTTTCAGCTTGAACGACATGTTTATGACGTCATCGCCAAGCGCGTCGGAAACCTCCCTGATTGGCTACAAGACGCCCTGGATTATATTGCAACGCCCTCTGTTATTATCGCCGTAATAATTCTTCTGCTGTGAGTTACTCATACTTATAATGATAATAACCTTTAACGACAAGCAGGAAACTGGACGAATTGATAGTTTGAAGTCATAGTATATTTCACCACAGAGGATATGCTTGAAAAGAACGTTCGACAAATAATATTGGTGTTTATTATCAAATGTGGTCTGAAACGTTGGACCCGTGAAGACCCGGGTTAGAAAAGGTAGAATAGGTCTTCAGCAACCCATGCTTGCCGTAAAAGGTGACTATGCTTGTCGTTAGCGGCATCTAACGGGATCGGGTGGTCAGGCTCGCACGTCACCGTGTCCCAATTGCGTGGATCGATGCTCGTGATGTCAATTACTGGATTGTCTGGTCCAGGCTCGATTATTTACAGACCGCCGTCATATTGCCGAGTGCTGCGTTAAACACAAAACATCACTCTTTCACTCACTGAAACGTTGACCCATTTCCGTGCAGCGAGTCCTGCCCATCGAGAAGGTAGGGGAGAGAGGCCTACAGCATATCGCTATGAAAGAAACGTTGACCCAGTTTCAGTGTTGCGAGGTATTAGCTTTTTTGGACAGTGTGATAATTGACGTGTCATGGTTAAAAAAACCGCACTCACGTCTGCAGGTTCCCACTAATCTACTTCATTATAATTTTTGTATTACAACTAAGTAGACATTACCGTGAAAAGATTAATTATGATAAAATATATTAACTTTACCACTGACGATATATCAATGTCAACATATTTAAACTTAAATGTCCCATATTTTCATTCCTGATTCTGAAGGTACCACATGCAAATTCTGATTTGTCTAGGTTGTTATGTGCACTTTATGACAGTGGGGAAACTTGCATCAATATGTACGCACGCTACATAATTTCTTATTGCCGTGTTGATCCCCTGGGTCAAAAGTTATCGAAACTTATAGTGACTTATATTGTTCTTAAGTTATCTTCAAGTTGTTGAAAGTTGCCAGTATCCATGGCCAGGGCATCCCCCGTTTCTGATTTCACTGAAGAGGAAATCAGTCACTGGTTTTAAGGAATACAAAACAACGAGTTTCAGATGTTTATTCATAATTTCAAATGCAATTGAAACTAATGGTTATATGTCGAAGACGCGGTGTTGCTGTTGTGGTTCATGACCGGGCGTTGTATTATCGTCTCCCACGTTGCAACTGTCGTTGAGGAGGTCCATTCTCCTTCGTTCCGACAAACTGATGACGTCACAAACTACTGGCGTGTGTTCAGTTGATGTTCTGTAACAGGTGCGCACGGCCTTACGTCTGTGCCCTACAACCAATAAGATGTTTTTCAAACTATACATATTCATCATTTGAACTCAAGGTGAGGTGAAATGGGGTTTAACGTCGCGTCCAAGATTATTGCACTTACATAGCGACGTGCATGTACGTGTGTGTGTGTGTGTGTGTGTGTTTGTGTGTGTGTCTGCCTGTACTAGTCCGGACTGATGCCGATTTATAGTGCCAGCTCACTGAGATACCATGCCGCAGTTTAACATGAATATCCCACTCAGACACGGTATACTGACTCCGAGCCGACCAGTCCTTTTAGCCCCTAAATGCCGAGCGCCAGACAGGGTAACAACAAGTACCATCTTTTAACGTCTTTTGGTATGACGCGGCCGGGGATCTAACCCCGGACCTTCCGCTACCCGGGTGGACGCTTTACCACAAGACCACGGAGGCGGTCCATTTGAACTCAAAACAAATATTAATATTCTTTAACTAGTTAACAGTTGCGAATTGAGTGACTGGTAGTTTTACGTCCGCCATAACCTTGCTGTAACCGCATGATGGGCATACAATGTGTCCACAACGGGAATCAAACCGACCTGGGCCGACACTTCACTCATTGAGCTATGACGCCACTCCCGTTTAGAGTGAGTGAGTAAGTATGGCTTTACATCGCTTTTAGCAATATTCCAGCAATATCACGACGGGGGACACCAGAAATGGGCTTCACACTGTTCCAATGAGGGAATCGAACCAGGGTCTTCGGTGTAACGACTCCCGTTTAGAAATGATTAAATGTTTTCTATGCAACACATTTATGTGAGTAGATTTACGGATATGTTCCAGTTTCACATCAATACCATCTTCACGTGGCATATATAAGTCAGTTAACGCCCTTGCCTCGGGAAGATGCATCTATACATGCGTAAATCAGTCAAAGACAGTTGCAAAATTTGCAATTTTCCCGGACTGTGCATAATATCATTTTAAATATCACCTGTCCGTCTAATTCTGCCTTGTTGCCGCCGTCTTCATAGTTGCTGGCAACGTTTTGTTACCTACGGCACTCGTCCTGTTGGCCTTTCCTTTGGTTTAAAATAGAACCAATCTGTCATTTGTAAAAGTTTGCTGGTGGAAAGAAGGAAATTATGAAACCCATACTCAGGCCATTGAGTTGTGGTTTATCTTTACTGCGACCACAAACAGTAACATATTCGCCAACATCAAAATGAGGATGACAATTATATAAAGGATTATACTCACATACGCACGCCTTTAAGGGCCATTTGCTTTTTTTGTTTCCTGAAATTTGAAGATACTAAGTTGACATCTTAATATAAAAAATGCATTTGAAGATTAAAATCTTGAAATTTCAACATCCAAAGAGGATTCCATACCTGCGTCTTTGATACCCACAAAGTTATTCTTAGAGACGTATTTTCCCGTGTATATGAGGTACTGTCGGCCAGTGGGGCCAGTGTGAGAGCCTTCAGATTGGTGGGGTGAGTTTGGTTTTACGCCGCTTTTAGCACTATTCCAGCAATATCACGGCGGGGGGCACCAGAAATGGGCTTCACACATTGTACCCATGTCGGGAATAGAACCCGGGTCTTTGGCGTGAAAAGCGAACGCTTTAACCACTAGGCTACCCGACCGCCACCTGCAGATTGGTGAACAGCCTTCAGTTCCTCTGGTCCCTGACGCCACGAACCGCGAAATGCAGACCTGTGAAAATATATCTATTCTTATAATTAGTACATAATAATTCCATTCATGTAAGTTTACACAATCAGGCACAGATAAAGTTGAGTGAAAATAAACAGTTTATTTTTAAGAATAGAAGTGGAGACATTATCCAAAGCTTTCGCAAAATAAGGACATCACATCTTTTTCGAAAAATGTTTAGAAATATCACAGGAAGGCATTAACACGTAATATTGAAACAGGTGTGTGGGTTAAATATTATAATAGTTTACCTAGGCAGGAGTTGTGTACTAGTGAAGATAAAGATATTTCCGATGAGTGAGTGAGTATGGTTTTCCGCCGCTTTTAGCAATATTCCAGCAATATCGCGGGGGACACCAGAAATGGGCTTCACACATTGTACCCATGTCGGGAATCGAACCCGGGTCTTCAGCGCGACGAACGAATGCTTTAAGCACTAGGCTACCCGACCGCCCCTATATCTGATGAAGTAACAGGTGTACTTCTAGCTCACGGTGATGTTACATGCGATACTTGTATGAATGACAATAGCTTGTCTTCAGAGTTGTCCAATGTTGGAAACAACTAATGGTATTAGAAGTTTAAATTAAGGTAGAGCTACCTGTGATGATAGCATCTTAAATGAGTTCTTAAAATATTCTTACACCATATCTAGTTTTGCTTTTTAATAGAATTTTGCCTATGCGATCCCTTCCAAAGGCATGGAAATCCAGTTTCATTGTTCCTTTGAACAAGAAGGGGGCTTAAAATGATACAAACAGTTGCAGAGGCATTTCTCTTTTAAATTCGATCAGCAATTTTTGGTTTGTTACAGTATTAGGATCAAGTAACTTTATTGAATCTAACAATGCCATTGAAGACTACCAGGGAGGCTTCACAAAGAATCATTCCACTTTTGATAATATCTTCATGTTATTATCCCTGGTCCTATGTATTAGGTACTCGTAAGAAAGGGAAATTCTACTTATTCACAGATTTCAGGAAGGCTTTCCATATGGTTCATCGTGATAAACTGTTATTTGTATTACTTCAAAATGGAAATCATGGCATATTTGTTTATATTGTCAAACATATTTATGATAATGTAAAGTCGACTGCAGTAGTAAAACACGGGAGTAATCTGTCAGTATATTTTAGCTGTTTTGTAGGTGTCCAGCAAGGGTGCATATTAAGTCCTCTACTGTTTTCTCTTTTTGTTAAGGAGCTCGTAGATTTTTTTAGTCAATCTTTGAAAGATGGTGTCTATTTCTGAAAATTTGTATTATATTCTTGCAATTCTCTTTGCTGGTGATCTCATTTTAGAGGCTGATACTGCACTTAGGTTAAAACAAATAGACAAGGCTTATCAACAGTAGGCTGTACTAAATGGGGAATGGCGTTAAATACTGATACATCTTAAATAAAGGTACCAAACTAGAAGTAGAACACTCCTATCAATATTTAGGATTAAAGGTGACTCCCCAACTTGTCTGGACAATTAGGGCTTGCAATGTACCTGCAGAACAAGCAAGTAAAGCACTCATTCCTGTTAAATATTTGATTTGGAATTATAAGATTTTTATTAAATAGATTTTTGATAAAATGATACTTTCTATTTTCACACGTAGAAGTGAAATTTGGGGGTTCTGTCAAAGAGAAAGCACAGAGAGTGTTCACAGAATTTCTGCACGTTTATACAGATTGCCACATGCTTTAGCTTATGGGGAATGTGGATGATACCCAGTGTATTTAATAGTTGCTGCGCCTTATCACTATGCCATTTTTTTATGTACCCATCAACTTTTCCAAATGTTACAAAGTATATATAATAGAAAAAGCTAAATTGGGCCACTCAATTTAGAAAATTGCTATTTACCTATGGTTTTAGCATTGTTTGGAAATCTTAAGAAGCAGTAGGAATGAACAAAACCTAATTGTTAGATGAAAACTGAGAATAATAGACTGTACAGCATAAGACAGGCATTCTAATCTAATGGAGAAAAGGACACTAGTGACATGTGACATCTTATTTGACATCATACTTGTGAAGCGCTCATAAAATATGACATTTTCATTTGTAACTGTATACCGGTGTCGTGCAACAGACAATTTAGTTTTTGTGGCTGAAAATTTCCTTTTTTCTCAACAGTCTGAAGCATAATTATATTTTTCAAGCTTTTTCTGGGACAAAAGCCCAGACACCTGTACTTTACAAATAAGAATACCACTACCATATGAAACTATAAAAATTAATCTGTTTTCACAAATGTGTCCCCCCTTATTATATACTGCATCGAGAAAACGGACTGCCAGTCGGAATATGATATACAAAATGAACGAAATAATTGTGGCGGGAAAGACTTTCCTTTAAGATAAACAGTTCCGAGTTAGCCGTCGCGGGCTGTCATCAATTAAGGTATGCGTAATCACTTCTGTTACCTTCCTGGCCGAACTTCCAAGGTCATTCCCTCATTGGGGTGCACGGGTTGCTGAATCGTCTCGGGCGCCGTAGGTCGCTGTGCAGAGTTGCGTCCCTTGGGTACGCCAGGAACCTATGATCATGGTGGGTTCGAACCCCGGTTCGCCCCGATTATGTTTCTAGGTTTGTCAGCACCATACCCGTGTTCATGGGTTTCACCGAAGTGGTAAACGTCTGAGACCTGCATCATTTCGGGCTTTCCTCCCACATCAAGCTGACACGCCGTGATATAACCAGAATACTGTTCAAAGCGGCGCCAAACCATACTCACTCACCAGTTCCCTCAAAACGGTGTCTAATCACTTTCAGCTTTCTTCAAAAGCTTGGTCTTCAAATAAAATGATAATCTTTTCCGTCATTTTAGACAACTCTGCAAAGCAGCAAACAAACCATACAATAGTGAGTGAGTATGGTTTTACGCCGCTTTTAGCAATATCACGGCGGGGGGCACCAGAAATGGGCTTCACACATTGTACCCATGTGGGGAATCGAACCCGGGTCTTCGGCGTGACGAGCGAACGCTTTAACCACTAGGCTACCCGACCGCCCCAACCATACAATAGAAATAACACCCTCAGAGCAGTATTTAGTTTTGAAGATGTCAAATCAAACCTATCTTGGGTGCAGCAACGTCGAGGCTTCTTCACATTGTCGCCAGGCAGCGTTCTTCTTGCTATCTTCTGACAGTGGAGAAAAGCCTTGTCGTTCTTGTGTCGTGTTGACCTCGGTATGCGAATTTCAAGCTTCTTGGCAACGTTAGATTCAGATAAAGGATCACTAAATGTAAACACAAAGTCATTTTCGTCATTTTTGTTGTCATTTGGGTCAACGGAACTTGACTGAGAAATGAAAATGTCGCCCGCCTCGTCTCGCTCGTCCGTCTGTCTCGGCTGACTGTCGAGTGGTCTGAACCACGTGTTTCTATGTTTTACACGTGCAGGTCGTGATCATGACTGAACTCATTTCACATCAATAAATGTTGTAATCTTCAACAGGTATACCTTTAAAAAACTTTTAATATGTTTCACTCCGAGGTTTTGGTTGAAAGTGTAAAACTGCGAGCAAGGGAAAATCCCTCGGCTTTCTAATTTAACTGAAGAGTGTTACATCACCAAAGACATACAAACATCCTCTTTATAGACCTCTAATGTTTATCTTTGACTGGTTAAAAATCACGATTTGTTAAGATGAAATTCTATTGATTATACTGATCATAGGGCTTTTATTCTCACAGGTCTGTCGGCAATATATGGCTGAACGAATGCCGATGAGACGTTTAATGTAAACTCACTCACATGTCACTGCGTGTTAGTTTGTTGTTGTTGTTTGTTTGTTTGTTGTTTACTTCCGCACTCAGCAATATTCCAGCAATATGATGGCGGTCTGTAAATAATCGAGTACTATAATACAATATATAGTACTTATTTGACATGTCCTTTCTTCCTGCAGACTAATTATTTTCTACTATATGGCGCGGTCCTCGTCTTATAAAGAGGTTGGCAAGCAGCTCCGGAAGCAACTGACTCTGGTATGTAAGTGACACAGACACAAAAGGGTTAATCTCTCATCGCCTACACGCCAATTCGCCTACGATTCAATATGCACGCAGACAGGATGTAGGCGATTAACATCACCCCTATGTCAACAATAGCTTTACGTCACAGTTAAAAGATAAAAGAACTGCTTCTGATCACATTGCCAATTACAGATTGTTTTGTTATATGAGTAGAGGTTAGGTGAAATGGGGTTTAACGTCGCGTCCAAGATTATTGCACTTATATAGCGACGTGCATGCACGTGTATGTGTGTGTGGCTGCTTGTACTAGTCCGGACTAATGCCGATTTATAGTGCTAGCTCACTGAGATACCATGCCGCAGTTTAACATGAATACCCCACTCAGACACGGTATACTGACTCCGAGCCGACCAGTCCTTGTTTTAGCCCCTTAATGCCGAGCGCCAGACAGGGTAACAACAAGTGATTCTTCACAAAGGGCAGACTTGTGACTTATCAGAGCATATCTACAAGACCGCTAGACCACAACTTGTTATAAGACTGTGGGCAAACATCTTCCCGAGGCAAGAGAGTTAACTGACTTTAAAAGTGGAAACTGGACTTTTATAGTCAAGTTAACTCGCTTGCCTCGGGAAGATGGTGGGCAAAGTGATACCATATCTTCAGAAATGCGCTGACGTCCTTTTTCACGTGTTATAGCGAGGCATTAGGGGTAGCAATATATCAGGCCATATTTTGATTACTTCTTCATTTTGATTATATTGATAAAAATAAAATGGCAAAACTAGGCAAGAATGCAGTATACTGGAAACCCTCCGCCATTTTAGTTAGGGATGTCCACGAGCTCATTTTTGCCTGTACGACTACGGGCTAATGCAGATTTTATAGTGCTAGTACACTGAGATAACATGCCGCAGTTTAACATGAATACCCCAATCAGAAACGACCAGTCCTTGTTTTACCCCCAATATGCCGAGCGCCAGGCAGGGTAACAACAAGTACCATCGTTTGACGTATTTTGTATGATGCCGCTCTCCGGGCGGATGCTCCACCACTAGACCACGGAGGCGGTCTCAACTGGAGAACATCTCGGACCTACACGATAAAATCAGTTGGAGCGTTCCTCATACACCGTAGAATGTATTTAGAATGTAAACAACTACAATACATGCTTATATCTCAACATATTTGGTGTGTATTGTCTGAACACCTGTAGGGTGAAACACATGAAATGAGCTATCGTCTCATAGCCAAAACACAACATCCCCGTTATCTAAACACCTTTAGAATTTTAACATGATTACGACAAAGTGCATATAATTTTGAATTATCCTCATCATCTAAACATGTTTAGACCCTAAACGCGCAAAATTGTAGTGCTAGGAACGCGCTGAGGTTTGTGTTTAGAGACGTGTTTACAGTGCAGTTATTTCCATGCCGTGATATAACTGAAATACTGTTGAAAGCGGCATTCAACTCTCTCACTTTGTCCGGAGTGTTAATTCTAAACAATACGTTTCATGAGACATGATATGGTTTGCAGGAAAGGACAGTGGAGAAAAAGAGAGTGTTTGCAAAGGCCAGAGCGCTTCAAGGTAAGTGAGTGAGTGAGTGAGTGAGTGAGTGAGTATGGTTTTACGCCGCTTTTAGCAATATTCCAGCAATATCACGGCGGGGGACACCAGAAATGGGCTTCACACATTGTGCCCATGTCGGGAATCGAACCCGGGTCTTCGGCGTGACGAGCGAACGCTTTAACCACTAGGCTACCCGACCGCCCCTTCAAGGTAAGTGGAGAACTAAAAACATGCATCAAGTTGAACTGTCAATGACCCAGCGTGATCTAATCCCTACCTTACTATTAAATAGTGTTAAAAATGCAGTCGCTTTATGCCACTAGGTCGTGGGCCAACCAATGCTCCATAACTGCAAAGTATTAGTAAATGCATGTTATTCAACGCCACAGTAAACAATATTTCAGCCCTATTCCGATGGCATGTATATAATGGTTGGTTGGTTGGTTTGTTTTTTTACGCCGCACTCAGAAATATATGACACTCAGCATCTTTTGTTTTGTTTGTTTGTTTGTTTGTTTGTTTGTTGTTTAACGCCGCACTCAGCAATATACCAGCTATATGACGGCGGTCTGTAAATAATCGAATCTGGACCAGACAATCTAGTGATTGACATCATGAGCATCGATCCACGCAATTGGGATACGATGACATGCATCAACCAAGTCAGCGAGCCCGACCACCCGATCCCGTTAGTCGCCTCTTACGACAAGCATTGTCGCCTTTTACGGCAAGCATGGGTTGCTGAAGACCAATTCTACCCCGGATCTTCACGGGTCGCATGTAAATAATGCTGTCCACGCAAACCAGAGACTGAAAACATAATCAACGTCCCGCGCCATCGGGGCATGGTTGTACGCCATCAGCCAAATACTACCACCCAATCCCCAACAGAGCTGACATACATGGGGACCAGGTGATCACAATGGCTGTGGCCAGGCACGATGTCATTGGCCCGACAGCACTCATCTATGATCATAATATCGACCACTGATATTTGTTAAAATTCATTATTGACTACAATCTCTTCTCTGTCTCTTTTCAATTCTCGAACTTAATTACCTTTTACCAATACACGGCCTTTCAAACACGACCGGTATACTTTTATTATAAACCAACCGAAAAGTCCTCTATTTCATTTCCTTCGCGGTGATTCCGGGGAGTATTGGTGCCCAGTACCCTATGCTTGTAAGAATCGGCTAATTTGGCTCTGTCATGATAATACGTGAAGATCCGGGGTAGAAAAGGTCTTCAGCAACCAATGCTTGCCGTAAAAGGCGACTATGGTTGTCGTAAAAGGCGACTAACGGGATCGGGTGGTCAGGCTCGCTGACTTGGCTGATGCACGGTCATCGATCCCAATTGCGTGGATCGATGCTCATGATATCAATCACTGGATTGTCTGGTCCAGACTCGAATATTTACAGACCGCCGCCATATAGCTGGAATATAAGTGCGGCGTTAAACAATATATATATTTCTTTCTGTTCTCAGGCCGTTCCTCGTCTAGACGGTCTGGTGCTTCATCTGCCTCTAACGTCACAACCCCATAACTATATTCGAGTGGGTGAACTTTAAATCAGTTCACCAGAGCGTGTCAGCTTCCTGTGGTCAGAAAGCACAAAGTGATACGGTTGTAGACGTTTATCATTTTGTTCAACCAGTGAGAACGTGTATGGTCCTGAAAATCAGGGCGAATCTGGGATCATCGGATTCTGGCACAACTAAGGGACGTAACTCTACAGAGAACATTGTGCGCTTCAGACTACATGATACAAAGGAAGCCATTATGTTACAATGGACTGCGGGGAAAGGTGGCAAGGTTTCTGTGATTGCATGATACGACCATGAAATAACTACAGAATAGTTTAGGTAACCAGTAAAAGCCTAGTAGAATTGCTCTAACATTGAAGAAACATGTGTTCATTTTAAGTTGTGGTTTGTTTTTACATGTAACATATTGAAATTATATTCCAAAATAAGTTTGCTTTTGAGTTTTTGTACACCACAACACATGAACTTATCACATGTCAAGAACTATGAAGGTTCTATTGTTTGTTTAACGCCGAACTTAGCAATGGGATCACAGGAACTCGATGATAGCGTGTATAACATAATATATTCGTAAAGAAAAAACTCACACACCTCTATAAACATAGAGACTATATGTTTATAGACCCCTCTATAAACGTATAGTCTATATATTTATAGAGGGGAGTGATTTTTTTCTTTACGAATATATTATGTTATGCACGCTATCATCGAGGTCCTGTGAATGGGATGTCCTCAGATCTTTGTTTAGCGGAGAGGTAGGGTGAGATCTTATTTATCACCCAACATCATTCTTCCAACTTGTTCAGTTTGTAGACACTAATAAGCCGTGTCTTAAGTGTAAAAAGTACTGCTAACAGCTTCAGTAGCAGAGCCATTAGTGATGTCATTTGATTGTGACGTCGTACAGGTTTCACAGCTATTTTGCCCTTTACGCCAAATGGAACATATATCAGCAAATGTGAAAAGAAAGCAAACATATATGGCCATCTAGTTTCTAGTAATGTGAGGGGCGGGTCGGGTAGCCTAGTGGTTAAAGCGTTCGCTCGTCACGCCGCAGACCCGGATTCGACTCCCGACATGGGTACAAAGCGTGAACCCCCTTTCTGGTGTCCCCCGCCGTGATATTGCTGGAATATTGCTAAAAGCGGCGTAAAACCATGCTCGCTCACTCACTCACTCTTGTAATGTGAGCATAAAAAAATCGAGACGATACTTTATTTTTAATTTTTTGATTAATATAATGCTTCTTCCCATATAAAGATTGCAACAAAAACAATGTCAACAGCTGAAAAATACATGTGAAAAGGTTACAAAACTTGTTCTTTGCATTTGTTCCCTGTGGTAATATTCTTTATGATGTTGCGTCAAGAAACATGTGAGGTGAGGTGAGGTGAGGTGAGGTGAGGTGAGGTGAGGTGAGGTGAGGTGAAATTGGGTTTAACGTCGCGTCCAAGATTATTGCACTCTTATAGCGACGTGCATGTACGTGTGTGTGTTTGTGTGGCTGCTTGTACTAGTCCGGACTAATGCCGATTTATAGTGCTAGCTCACTGAGATACCATGTCGCAGTTTAACATGAATATCCCACTCAGACACAGTATATTTAACTCCGAGCCGACCAGTCCTTGTTTTAGCCCCTTAATGCCGAGCGCCAGACAGGGTAACAACAAGTACCATCTTTTAACAAGTCTTTTGGTATGACGCGGCCGGGGATCGAACCCTGGACCTTCCGCTCTCCGGGCGGACGCTCTACCACTAGACCACGGAGGCGGTCTTCCCACTCTGATGAAACCCACGTGAAGATAGTGCGGAGAGATCAAGGGTCATAATCAGGGCGATTCCGGCACCCGTCCACTCCATCATCGGATCTGACATGCTAAGGAACGCAAATATACATACATCAATAAAACATAAGGCTTAATTAAAACATCCCGACCAATCAACACCAGAATGAAAGAGCATAAAACCTCCACCATTAAATCCGACAGCAAATCAGTCATCTCGGACCACATCAGCAACTGTCCCAATCACATCATCAACTGGGACAACGTCAAAATCCTCGCCAACAACCTCCATGATTTCACTAAAAGAAAACTAACAGAAGCAGTCCACATTCGCCGCCACAAGCCATCAATCAACAGAGATCAAGGCTATTTCATCCCATCCGCCTACTATGAACTCATCAAACAATAATCACGTATCCTGTTTATTGGCTTCATGTCCCTATTGGCTTCCACCTATGTGTTCTCTGTCCATCGTGTTGTGACAGCATCATCCCTTTGTTGTCAACACCTACCAATGTTATCCCCCTCATGTATGCAATTGTTGTTACTGTTAATCCTCCACCAAATATTCTGTACTATGTCCCTCATTCAGTCTATACCGAAACGTCGCTTTTCACAGACTTAAAAAGTTATTATCCATAAAATTGTGTCTATCTTTTCATCCGTCAACCTCTAAGTAATGCCTATCAAACAATTTAATTAGAATAATTAAAAATTTCTCGGGCTTATTCTGTTTTGTTTTTATTTTTCAAATTTAGAAGAAAAATAATGAGGGAGGTCAACGTTTTGTTAAGTCAAGTTTATAATACGTTTTGGAGCTTTGGAAGAGACTAAAACATTAATTGGCTATGTATTTGTTTTTAAATAGAAACAAAAAACATCCGATGTTCAGATTTTAACGTATGCAAGTATCCGGGTATGAAGCCCTAACATTAATTTATTAATAATCTGCATAAATTAGAGTTACTGGTACTGAGTGGACGGTTTCGCAGCAATTATCCGCGTTATTCTAGGTGCATCACAGCGGCCATAAATCAAGGATAGTCAAACTAGTGGTCGATAACACGAGCATTGATCCACGTCCTCGGCACATGACTTAGTCATCCAGGCCACATGCTGGAGGGGTGGTGAGGTAGCCTAGTGGTTAAAGTGTTCGCTAGTCACGCCGAAGACCCGGGTTCGTTTCCCCACATTGGTACAATGTGTGAAGCCCATTTCTTCAGCAATGAGGCGAATTTGCTTGTCGTAAGAGGCAACTAACGTGATCGTGTGGTCAGGCTCGCTGCGTGGATCGATGCTCATGATGTCATTCACTGGATTGTCTGGTCCAGACTTGATTATTTACAAACCGCCGTCATAAAGCTGGAATATTGCCGAGTGCGGCGTTAAACGACAAACAAACAAACATAACCCCATGGCGTTCAAACACAGACACACAGACCAGCAGACAGGCACACAAACACTCACGCCTCCACAATCTGAGATGTTGGTCGCAAATAGACCTTTGTAGGGTTAACTCTGCTCTTAAATCTAACCGCCATCACCACCTATTAATCTGTTAAATTGTTCGTCCGGGTGATTTATTGGGATCTCCACTGAAGTACTGTTACGGCCACCATGCTTCCCAGATCCTTGATCATAAATCATACAGTGATACAACTGAAAGATTAAGCAAATCTAGATTGCTGTAAGGTTTTTCCGAATCTTTAGGGTTCACAGGCGAGATTCTGAAATTAAACTTTGTTCTGGGCTCCATTTGGATTGTATTTTATATTTTGCAGACATATATTTTTAAACGAGATTATTTTGTGTCTTTGACTAAATGTGAGTCCAGTCGCCATGTCATAAGTCCGTTTAGACGTGTCGAGAGCAGTCGAGCAAGGAGTTTTAATGAAGATGACTTGTTTTTAATCCTCGTTTTGTCTGTAGGTGCACAGCTGACGACGAACTGTTTCAAATAAACTTATGACAAAAAATCAGAAAAATGAGAACAAGTCGCGTCATTTTCGGCCAAACCTAAAGACCAGAAACATGATACGTTTTGGGGCTTTAGCATTAACAAGGACAGAAACTCTCCATGTATTGCATTCCGAGAGATGTGTGGAACACAACATAGGCTGCAGAGATTATTTACTGTAGAAGTGTGTTTAGACCCCAAACACAAACAAAAACACGTTCCTAGTCCCAGAAGTTTGACATGTTCAGGCCCAAACATGTGTGGGATTGTGTTGAACAGCTAAACGTGTTTAGGGTCAAAATGTGTAATTCCAATGTAACGTCCGTATGTTGTAGTTGAACCTGACCTGGTATAGTACACTGTTAAATTGTCAGCTGACTCCAATGTAACATCCGTATCTTGTAGTTAAACCAGTTCTGGTATAGTACACTGTTAAATTGTCAGCTGACTCCAATGTAACATCCGTATCTTGTAGTTAAACCAGTTCTGGTATAGTACACTGTTACATTGTCAGCTGACTCCAATGTAACGTCCGTATCTTGTAGTTTAACCAGTTCTGGTATAGTACACTGTTGCATTGTCAGCTGACTTCACAAACGTAACGTCCGTATCTTGCAGTTGAATGAATAATACACGCTGATGCACGTTGAACTGACTTCAAATAAAACGCCCATGCCTTGCACCTCAATGCGTCCTCGTATCTACACTTCAGAAGTCCGTGGCATTAGAACAGCTGTCCTTATTCCACCATTTATTCACATCATAGTAAGTATTTCCAAATCTGTCTAAATCATGAAGTTTCACACAAATATCACACAACGATGAATCTAAAGTTGACTTCGGATCTGTGATAGTGTACTGTGATTTCCGTCTCAATATTTCAGCATACGCCGTATTGTTGGAATCTAAATATTTTAAATAATTGGCAAGTTTCTCTGGAGAGGAAAAATCGGCTGTGTCGATGAATGTTCCCCGAGGGAGGAGCTTTCCATACCTCACCCCGCCCCTCACCACGGGGACGATGTCCAAACTGTAGCTCCGAAACACCTTTTCTGTCAGGTATCCTCGACACAGTGAATTCTCAAACGCCAAATAAAATTTGTATGTCGTGTGCTGGATATTGTCACAACTGTTTGACCCTGACTTGCTACACTTCAGAGGTCCACATCCACCGTATATATCAACGCCGATGAATTGTTGAAGTTTTTTCACGTAGTCGTCGCGTTTCGACCTAGCATTACAATGACTTACCAACCACATGACGGGTTTACTTTTCTTCTCTGTGATAGCACCAAAATCTCGAGCATCCGCTGTAGGTTTCGGCAGGAGCACGAAATACGGGCATACAATGTCCGAGTCGTATCTGAACGTCATCGTCCAGTTGAACCGATCTCTCCATCGGGGGAAGTCCCATGGAGCCTCGTGTGCAAAAAATATCCACATCTGATTGGCTGGTTTTGGTGGTGGAATGTTTTGATCAATGGACAGGACATAGAACACGACAGCGTCTGCTTTTGGGAGAAGTTTATGGTCAGCTGATAATCGACAGTTTTGCAATCGGCAATTCTCCAAACTGTTTATGTACCTCGTTTCAAACGTATGCCACGTGGGCATGTTATAAATAACTATAACTTTCTCGTCTGTCTTGTTTTGTGTGAATAGTTTTTCAACACCTTTGAGATCGAAACGCGTCTTCTGGCGAAAAATGTCATTTTGGAACTGCAAAACGGGAGACAGGAAGTATGGTTGGTTGTCTTCGCCGTTTGGCCACACCAGGAGAGATGATGGGTCATTTTCGTACCGGGATATTGCAGAAATCATCCTTGAAGAGGGGACAAGTCGTCGTTCAGGCTTGGTTTTGGTGCGTACCCTGAAGATATTCATGAGCGTGTTTCCAATGAAAAGCACACACACCGCCGCGAAGACCCACTTCAACAAACGCCGACTCCTCCCAAACACCATCTGAAACATCAGGACAGGAAACATCAGGAGATTATTCCACTCATCTAATGAAGTGCATGCGCGTGTGGTGTGTGACTGTTTGTTTGTTTGTTTGTTTGTGCCGCACTCAGCAATATTCCAGTATATGACGGCAGTCTGTAAATAATCGAATCTGGACCAGACAACACAGTGATTGACATCATGAGCATCGATCCACGCTATTGGGAAACGATGACATGCATCAACCAAGTTAGCGAGTCTGGCCACCCGTACCTATTTTACCCCGGATCTACACGTGAGGTGTGTGTCTGAGTGTGTGTGTGTGTCTGAGTGTGTGTGTGTGTCTGAGTGTGTGTGTGTGTCTGAGTGTGTGGGGGGGGGGGGGGGGGGGGGGGTAGGTAGGTAGGTGGGAGATAAAAGCTTCTTTGACAGTATAAATGGATTAATTTGGGGTGGGTATTTTGTAAATATTGTAAGTCCTGGTGGTGCATGTGTTATGCAAGTGCCTTTGAATCTGATTTGCACAAGTCATCTTATATATCCATATATGACTTATTGCCGTATATAGATTAAGACGTGTTTTAACTTTAAACATCGTAAATTCTGAACTTGTTTAGCTAAGGGGATGTTGTGTTTAGGTGGTGTTTAGGCTGTGAGACGATAGCTCATTTAATGGGTTTAGACCTAAATGCGTTTCCATAGAACACACCAAATGTGTATTCCGTTTGGGATTGAAAAAACCCCTCCTAATCACGTTAAGATCTTAACATGTCTCTGTCAACATCCTAAACAAAGGTTTACAGTGTAAAGGAGCTGTGATATTGCATGATATGTCTGTAAACCGCAGGGGGCACGGGTGACCCTGTTTGTCTTAGGTGCCGCATTTCGCTGTGCAGAGTTGCATCCCTTGGGCACGCCAGAAACCTATGATCGTGGGTTCGAATCCTGGATCGCCCCGATTATGTTTCTAGGTTTGTTAGCACCATGGTGAAATCTTCACTTGGGCAATTTACAAGACGCCAAAATTTTACAATTATTTTCCTGTCAGATGGACATAAGGTTTTTAGGAAGTTTAAAAGGGCTTAAAAACAGCACAATGGACTAATTATGCTAGGATCAGAAGCCCAAAAAATAATCATATATACATAGAATTTCGTTCTCTTTTTATCCTATGATTTTCAGTTCCTGGGTGATGAAAAGGAGCAGAAAAAGGTTTGGAATTCGTTATAATTCAAAAAATGGAAAACAAACAGTTGTAGAATGACTGTCAGTGACATATTTTGGCGTTTTGTAAATTGCCTAAGTGAAAATGTCTGTCATTTTACACCTTGGCTGTATATTTCGTTAACATATTTATCGTTAAGAACTTAATGAATTCATGTACATATTGATAATGCCACACTCATCAATATTCCAGCTACACGACCGCTGTCTGTGAACATCCAGTCTTTACCAGGCAGACGAGTGATAGTGTGACAAAACGATAAGTCAGTTGAGGTACGTTAACACCCTACCAACCAAGTCCAGGTCTGACCATCCGATCCATTACGTGAGTGAGTGAGTTAAGCTTTACGTCGCTTTTAGCAATATTCCAGCAACTTCGTGGCGGGGGACACCAGACATGGGCTTCACACATTGTACTCATGTTTGGAATCGAACATCGAACCCGGATCTTCGGCGTGACGAGCGAACGCTTTAACCAGGAGGATAAGCCCAATGGTGACGTCAAAACGCCTCTAACAGGAAGTGGTAAATCCTGGGCTGTACACCTACCTCATTTATATCTTTCTATTACAAATCCTACACAAACATGTTACGCTTTCACATATTACTCAGGTCCACATTCCCTATTTATCAAAGACCGCCTCCGTGGTCTAGTGGTAGAGCGTCCGCCCGGAGAGCGGAAGGTCCGGGGTTCGATCCCCGGCCGCGTCATACCAAAAGACGTTAAAAGATGGTACTTGTTGTTACCCTGTCTGGCGCTCGGCATTAAGGGGCTAAAACAAGGACTGGTCGGCTCGGAGTCAGTATACTGTGTCTGAGTGGGGTATTCATGTTAAAGCGGAAGGTCCGGGGTTCGATCCCCGGCCGGGTCATACCAAAAGAAGTTAAAAGATGGTAATTGTTGTTACCCTGTCTGGCGCTCGGCATTAAGGAGCTAAATCAAGGACTGGTCGGCTCGGAGTTAGTATACTGTGTCTGAGTGGGGTATTCATGTTCAACTGCGGCATGGTATCTCAGTGAGCTAGCACTATAAATCGGCATCAGTCCGGACTAGTACAAGCAGCCACACAAACACACACACGTACATGCACGTCGCTATATAAGTGCAATAATCTTGGACGCGACGTTAAGCCCCATTTCACCTCACCTATTTAATCAAACCCACCAACACACTGTATATGCTGTACATGTTTGTTGAAGCCACAGGACCTCAGAATATTCTCATACAGGGTAAAAGTCATTCACAAAAGTATTGGTACTTTCTGTCCTACGGGGAGGGGCCAATTCCTGTTTCCTCCAATCACTGATCACTAAGCTTCCTAAATAGGAGGAGCTACAACTGTAAACATGTTTTAATTGGGCCCCGTTTGCCCCTTGAAGTGTCCAAGAAGTCCTAACAGTGTCCAGAAACATAAATAAATGTGTCACCTTACTGATCGTCGCATTTCACTGACAGATATATTACTTTAGGTCGGTTTAACACTATTTGTCTATTTGAGGGTCTCATTTGTGTGTCAGTGGTCTAAACTGATTGTTTACAAGTTGTGGTGTGTGACATTTGGTTCCTTCTGTCTTTAGCTTTTGTCACACCCAAACAGACATTTGCGCTTAAATTCATCAGAATTATAATCTAAGATATGCATTGGTTTGTCAGTTTAAATTACAGGAATATAAGCCTTCACAGCACCGGAAGTAGTCAAGAATTTTAGTCACGTGACCTCTATCAGTAAAATGATTGGCTCAAACCTATCGTCTGCTGTTGCAGAATACATCTGTCACTGTTGTAGATTATTCCGTTTGGAAGGTACCTTGGATATTGCATTTTAATATCAAGCATGGCTAAATTGTGTTTAACTAATGAATTCTGAGGTGGAAAATATCAAGAGTATATTTGTACCAAATGGGCTAGTGTGTACATTAATATTATGTAGAACATCCAACACTCCAAAACGTCAGGTACTTGGAATGATGGTATTCGTGGAAAGAAAATTAAGATGACGTATAATTATGGCGGCCCATGTCAGGTTTGGATGCAGTTTGGAAAATGTATCAAAGATGGTCCTGATCATAGAATAAATAAACCTTATCACCCAGGTGAGCATTTATATTCAGTGAATATATTTCGTCACATGGAAAACTACTATATAACTAACAAACAGCTGTTTTAGGAAAAACCTCTGTTTGTCCGGCTGAAAGAGTGAGTGAGTGAGTGAGTATGGTTTTACGCCGCTTTTAGCAATATTCCAGCAATATCACGGTTGAAAGAGGCTAGAGAGGGTATATTTGTCATCTGTTAGCAATTTCCTTCCTGTATGTTAGTCTCATTTGAGAACGAGGCTTGGTTTTTAATGGGAAAGATATCAATAATAAATTGAGGCAAAGCTCGCACGGGAGTCACGTGGGTGTTGATGCCGGCGAGAGGTAATGTCACGTGACCCAGGTAACGGCACTGTGACTTAATGCCGGTTCCATACCTGCCAACAACTGTCATGCCAATGACTGTAGCCTCGCTATGTTGGTTGGGACAGTGGACATTCGGGGTCTGGACCAACAATGTCTGTATTACCGAGGTTTCGCAATATGACAACACAGTACCTGTCGAGTGATGTCCGATGTCTTGGACACAACTGCATAAGCAATTAATGGCCTGGCTGGCGGGGAACAGCATACAATACATTGTCTGGCCCTGATAGACTGACTCATCAACGAGCATGGCGTAATACACGTTCAGGGCACGTCCTGCGATAAATACAACTTCGGGAAAAGCAACTTGTTGGAACATAAGAGGAACGGAAGAGTTTTCTGTAGGTTTGGCACTGAGTTACGAGTTTATAAACCCTAACCGACATCGATTAACTAATGTTAACGAAAATTAACGAAGATTAATTCAAATTAACGACGACTAACGAACTGAGGACCAAGGGATCATTTCAAGTCAGCTTAGAATGGACAGAAGGATATAAACCTCTATATTCAGCTACATGTAATGTATCTAAACCTGAATTCTCTGTAAGAATGGATTATCGATTGAAACGCATGCGTAACGTTCTAAAATGAACTATCGTGTCACCAGATTGTCTGGTCACGATTTGTTTACATGTCACTTTCTCTTTTATGCAGATTACGTGAGTGGCGGGTGCTTTTGTTAGAGTAGGACATGCTTACCCTTATTTGCGAACAGCTAGACTTGGTGTAGTCACTGTTTTGCCTTTTTGCCCCCAGTCGAATCTGTTTCAGCAAATATTCGAGACTGTTGTACTTTGGCGTTAACGATTAACATTATGACTCCAGGCTCCCAATACGTTGAAACAGCAGTCATTCGACTCTCAATATACTGAAACTTGTATGCAGTGGAACTCCGCTAATCTGGACAGTGTTAATTCGGAAACCCTGTCAATGGGAATAATCGTGTGAAGAACGTACGCGCACAATTAACAGGATATTTCTTTGCATCTTTCCTTACTGTTTTGCGCACCCATTCGTACTATGAAACCCACACTTGATAGAAAACACTTCCCTATGATCTGAATACATTTCAACGGTAGCTTCCTGCTTTTGTCATATGTCGGAGGTTTCGATATAACAGCCATGACTTAGTTTTGTTTTCAGGGAGGATAACGTGATAATTCAACTGTATTCACGAATACAATGCGCCAAGAATTTAACGCACACATTTATGTTGTAAGCTATACGAAGTAAACAGCGCATTGAAACTCGATCGATATTAATCTTCAGCAGCGATTTTGTCGAATCTAGAAATTTTTTATTAACATTCCAGCCCTTTTCAAGTACTGACATTAAGATTCCAGCACTTTTCAAGTTCTGACATTAAGATTCCAGCACTTTTCAAGTACTGACATTGAGATTCCAGCACTTTTCAAGTTCTGACATTAAGATTCCAGCACTTTTCAAGTTCTGACATTGAGATTCCAGCACTTTTCAAGTTCTGACATTGAGATTCCAGCACTTTTCAAGTTCTGACATTAAGATTCCAGCACTTTTCAAGTTCTGACATTAAGATTCCAGCACTTTTTAAGTTCTGACATTAAGATTCCAGCACTTTTTAAGTTCTGGCATCGATCCACGCAATTGGGATCGATCAGAGCCATCGGGTAAGATGACGAAGATCGGCAACACATGCACCATTTTAGCTGCTATATGTATTGGAAATCCTAAACATTAACGTGATCTCACGCCGGGTCATCGTTATCTACTGGAACGGTATCCAGGCAACAACTATCACGTTGCAGTGGCAGATGTTGCGCTGACATAACTATTGTTCTTCTAGCAGCGATAACAATGACAAAAGCGGTAATTTAATAAGGTCATATATATATTTATATATACATATGAATAAAATACTGGAATTTATCAGTGACGATAGATCAAGTTATCAGTCACTAGTGACTGATATAAACAAGGTGCCGGAACTACTTTCTCCTGAATCAAAACATTAAAGAGTTATCCATTTTAAACAGGAATGTTTAATTATGACAAACAAAAATGTCCACGGAACTTAATACTCGATATGAAATAATATATTTCGCATATCATATATTAACAGGGCTAGTTTTATTCACGAACTATATTTTTTTCGCAAACCCCCTTCATACGGCGGTGGTAAAGGGGCGATAGGGAGAACTTAGTAATTTATCAGACACTGTTTTCGAAAAAATATATATATTGGAAGTAATAAAAATAAAACATGTATATAATAAATAGAAAATTCAATGTGTTTTCTCAAATACCACTTTTATCTCATCTCGTGAAGTGGGGAGAGTCTAATATTTTCACTCGTGAAAATTAAATTAAATATCCTCTATTTAACCCTTTTGACAATTAGCCCTGTCCATAATAACGTGGAGTGACCCTTGGCCCTTTTCCAAATAAAGCAGGGTTACCATCATTCCTTCTCATCATAAGGTCGAGCGGTCATTTTGATCTCTCATTTCCATTGTAATCATTAATTGTTCATAATCATCATAAACTAGGATCAAGCATGCTTAAAACACATTTGGGGGGCACGGGTGGCCCAGTCGTCTAAGGCGCCGCGATTCGCTGTGCAGAGTTGCGTCCCTTAGGCACACCAGAAACCAGAAACCTATGATTGTGGGTTCGAATCCCGGTTCGCCCCGATTATGTTTCTAGGTTTGTCAGCACCAAACTCGTGCTCGTGGGTTTCACTGAAGTGGTCAACGTCTGAAACCTGCATCACATCGGGCTTTCCTCCCACATTTAGCTGACACGCTGTGATATAACTGGAACACTGTTAAAGGCGGCGTTAACTCTAGGAACCGTTTTGTGACTTATCAACATGTTCGCAAATGCACGAAAATGGTGCCGCCTAACCTGGAGGAGCCCACGACGCATTACACTTCAAACTTCACTGTGCCTGGGTATTAAACGATAAATAATATATAATGAGCAGTCATTTAGAACTTGTACATAGTAGATTGAGCGTTACAACGCGGCAGTACTGATTCAACTTAACCACACCTTTTCTAGACAATAATAACAATGAAATAAGAAGTTTAGTCATGAAATAGGAATATTTAAATGTTTCTTACCTTGAACCGAGAGAGAAGAGAGCTGTGAGGTCCTTAGGGTTTATTCAAGCAAGTGTGCTGAGGACCAACACCCAAGGAGTTCGTTTCCCCCATAGCTCGTATCACATTAACAATTACTTTGATGTTTTAATTTCTGGCAAAGTTATCTGCCATAGTAGACTGAGCAAAGCAAGTGGTAATAGAACAGTCTCGGTATTGCCTAACAAGTGTTGATTTTAACTGCAGTATTAGATGATGGTCGAAACCTGCGCCAGCTGGTAACAAAACATAATCAAGAGAACAAAGGCTGGTGCCGACTTTATCTATGAATACGTAATTTACTGTTCGAGTGAATGAGCTTTCCAAGGAGCAGGCGTCATGGTCGACCAGTGGCGCTAAAAACGAGAAATACTGATCTGGCGACTTTCGAATTTTAGAATTTCCTAGGTTAAGTTTAATTTGTGAAAAATATTAAAAAGTATAATGAAATACAGACACTGTGATATAAGGTATGTTATGTAATCAAGTCATGATTGTTTCGTTGTCTTAATTTTTTGTGTCTTGTTTTTCAATAATGGGTATGTATTGCAATATATGTATTGTTATCAGAGGTACATCCTTATCAGATTAAGTTTTTGAAATCGGCTAGGCTCTTACTCTATTCATGTCCTACACCCTACGCGTATACGCATTTAGTGCAGATCCACGATATCTGCGGGTTCCGAGTCCTCCCATACAAATCAGACTCCCGGTTTCAAGGAATTGTCTTTTAATTTGTGGCCCCATAACTATTACTACAGACAATAGCTTTCAAAGGTTATCCAATAAACTACAATTTCCTGCTTATATCTTCATTTATTCCTTTTTGAGTATGTAAGCACTGAAATTATTTGTACTCTTTGTGAAAAAACTGATAAAATCCATGTAGTAAGAGCGATTGTAGAAGTATAATAAGTTAGGGAGCCTCGGTGCTTACCAAGCTTATTCAGTGGAGACTGTGTATACAGTCTATATCCTACTTCTTCGTTTTGCCAACGTGATTTTGTGCTTAATTATCATACCGGCGAAAATTATGTATATTCGTGCGATCAACCTTTAATGGTCTCTGGCACACAAAATACGATTCGTTCAATGTATCTTCAAAACAATTTCACATGATTGAATTTTTTTTATCAAATTCCAGTCAAGACTTTTGAAGTTGGTTAGGTTTGCATACACGTTCTACTTTTTTAGCGCTGATCACATCCCACATCTGCTAGCCTTGTCGAGTCTAGGCTCACAATATAGGACTCCAATTTCAAAGATCTTAATGTTGTCATGAAAATATTACTTTCACATGTAAACGACAACGCTTTATGCACATTATGTTTTTGTTCCTACATCATCAGTGTACTTCTACAATGTGTATTGTCTGTTTCAATGTGATACCAGTGATACTAAATGTATCTAGCAGTCGGGTATTCCGACTCCATGGGCGACCGCGAGCAGGATGTGCCGCTCGGTGGAAATTCGTCTAATGTTCAACCTGTCGATGTCACATGCATTTTACTGTATGCTTGTACTCAACATTGCCACTATTTTAAAAACGCTTTTGAGGACAAAAGCTCCACGACGTTCAGGGGTATTGTTATAGTGCAACCCATTTCAATAATTTTATTTAAAATACTAAATACCTAACTAGTTCAAAATGTTTCCAAGTGCACCGACATTTTATGCCCTTTGTCTGTTTAAAATATTCAGCAAACATTCGGCGTTCCCCTCTTATCATAAACCCCCCTCCGGGCAGGAACATTAATCTTCAGTGCTATTTGTAAATGTCAAATTGCCACCTCTTAACGTTGCCGGATCTTGCCTCACGTTATCTAATACCTCTCTCTACAAAACTGCACACATTACCAGCAACACAGAACAACACTCCAATCCACACTAAATGACACTAGCAACGGTACTAAACCCCCTAAATGACCTACAAACCTTTAAAGCACTAGGCATATATCTAATAGAAACAGGCCTACTTGGCCGCATTTAAAAATAAAAGTACAACAAGTGAGTAGGGTTTTAAGCCGCTTTTAATGATATGCTAGCAATATTTGAGCCTGTTTTTTTGTTGCAGACAATATTTTTAAATATGTTTTTTAGTCAGCACGTCCAGACCCAAACTTATTTTGATTTATGAGATATTATTTCTTTTTACGGAAACAACTAGCAAATCCAGCGATCGACTTAGCCATGGGAGTTTCCCTGTCAAGGCAGGTCTTGCAAACTACTCACGCTTTCACAGGACGGTTACAGCTAGGGTGCCAGCTGTATCTGTTCCCCACGCTGTCACTCTAAATGTCGGAGGTGCTTGAATTAAAACGGAGATAAAGCTATGCACGGCAGCCCAACTTCACAGACATGTGATATCATGTCGAGGGCGGATGTCATCTCCGTC